CCCCAATCCTCTTAAGAAGCTTAGGATCCCTAAGAGATTACAAAGACATAAACTTGTTTTAGACTATTACCCACCAATTCCAACAAGAAGATGATTCATTTCAACTTTGTCATAAGCAGTAAAGGACCACACTTGCCTTGTAACTCCAAGGCCTACATTGTGCGGGAAAATGGTAGCGCCGTACACATTGTTGTGACCGTGAACAGCGTCGATCCCATAGATCATCGGGATCCCAAGGCGGGTCGAAAGAGAGGCCTTTTGGATCCCATTGACCATATTCACCCAAGTCTCAGGTGTCGCCTTTGGCGCAGGCACGCTTCCTCCACCACTCAACACACTCCCTACACAACAGTGTGTTGTTTACTCAGTTAGACAATACATCAAACACTTAACAGACACAATATTTTTCTTCTTAAGGTTTGCTCATACCGATAAAGTATTTCTTCATGACTTCAGGTGTTGCGACGCTGCGTTCGATCTGAACCATCTGGCCGATCTTCTCTTGGAGAGTCATACGCTTCATCAAATCCCTGATTCTTGCGCCCATGGGCTGCTTTGGGTCCTTGTACTTGGGAGAACCTCCAACAGCGGCAGCAGCAGCCACGGCACAGCACAGCAGCAGAAGGCATAACGCCTTACTCTGAATCTCCATTGTTCTTTAACTCAACTGCAGATTATCAGATCTAAGCTCTTTAGTCAGATGAACTGTTCCATTGTAGACCAAAAGAACCAGACTTTGAAGAATAGTGAGAGGCAAACTTGTTTCTAAAACTGAAACACTTTGACAAAATCGAAAACTTAAGGTGCATCACCTGAAAGAACTGAAAAATCAAAACTTTTAAAAAAATTTGGATAGTGGGAGGTTTTGGAAAAATTAGATCTTCAATTTGACACTGATAAAGAAAAGAAGAAGGAACCCCCAGATGAGATGTTAAAGTTAAAATGGGAATCCAACAAAAAACACTCGAGAATTTGTTTAGTCTTGGTAGAGAAACATACGAAAGGTATTTGCAAACAATTCGAAAAGAAAAGAATAAAGTTACACGATTGGAGAAGAGGAAACAAGAAACTTACAGTCGTCTTGCAAAATGGGGCAGGGGGAAATAGAATAGAAGAGGATAATGGGGTCTTTGAAGTGTTTTCTTGGAACTCTGTTGAGTGATCTCTCCTCTCAAGGAGACGATAGAAGAGAGAGAGTGAGTGAGATCTTGAGAAGTGTGCTGCTTCTCCGTGTTTTATAAACTCTGAAAAGTTGCTCTCCTTTTTTCCACGTAATTTCTCCCTTCTTGCTTTTTTTCTACAAAACAATTTTTGTTTTACTCGGAAGAAGTTTTATCTCCCAAAAATCTACACTAGTCTCATTAATGATGAACAACTTTATTCGTATTATACAAGACCACCACAAATGATTCTCTTCAATTTTTTCGCTTGCTTACGTTATGGATATAATCTTGTGTCCAATTAAAACACGGAACGAAAAAACATCCACATATTAAGATATTTGCAAAAATCATTAAGGTTTCTTGAATAAGAAGAGATAAGAAATTATCAACTCTCACGAGTCTTTAAAGTTGGGCACGAATAGTGGGCACACTGAAGTCAAAGTTAACACATCATCATTTTCGTATTGACAAGACAGGCATATATTGCCAAATGTGCCATGACTCAATACCAATGTTACCCAAATCTCTCTTCTTCTCACCGATCAAGTATATATATTTCTAATGCAGAAAATACTAGTGACAAGTATTTGTTACGAAGGCGGCAGTTTTATGAAACACAAGATCTAGAATTTTTTAGTCGATCAAGTAATATACTTACTGAAATGAATAAAACAAGAAAAACTAGAAGAAAAAGAATAAATTTGCTATTGACTAAAGACTATTAGCATCAATCATATGGGAAATCGTGTTAAGATGCTTGGAGGTCCCTCCCAGGTAAAGCACGTTACGCTCCAAACGGTCTCATTTTGCTTTCCAGATCTCTCTTCTAAGTTCTAACGCCTACATTTTCTTCGCTCTTCTTTTCTGATATTTTATATTTATCTGAGACTAATATGATGTTTGTATTCGAAATGTGTATACTTTTTTTGTGCAGTCTTGGTTTTTTTTTTTTTTTTTTAACCTGGATTTTGAATGTCATATTTTTGCTTACAGGTTGTTGATTTCTCTTTAGGATGCATGTATGATGCATGATGCATGATGATATCAGGAAGGTTGTTGTTTTCATCTCCTAATCAAGGCATGTGCATGTGCATGTGCAGAGACTTTTAAGGTATAACATATGTTTTCCCCCTTTGTTTCATTGATTGATTATTTGATTATTTGCGAATTAATCATTTTTATTGATTGATTATTTGCCTTGTTGCGAATTAATCATTGGGTTTTGGGTGTTTAAAATATAGAGTTTTGGCTTATACTGAAAAGATATGATAAATAACTTTTGATGTTTAATCAGGGCTGATTTTCAAATATGAAACTGTGTAATAAACCGAATTGCGGAATCTTTTAGTATGCATATAATAATTACTGATGGGCCTAAATTATACACAAAATGGGCTGATAAATCTTATCTAGTTCAAAACGTTTGGGGAAGATAAGCTATGCATGTCCTGAGTGATGATTATACAAAGAGAATGTCTAGTTTAATTTGTTCCATTCTCCGATTCCTTTTTTTCCTGGGACAAAAGCTGATTTTATAAAAAGATAAAAGAGGAGTACAAGTTAAAAAGTTAAAAAGACTGCGCGCTCTGGAAAAATTCCTTAAACTAATTAAGCTAGTTATATTTAAATTACTAATCTTTTTTAAACTAATTAAGCTAGCTTCAAACTATTTTTTTTTTGGATTAAATTTTCACTTTTTGAACGAAAATATAAGGTCTAAAAATTTAAAACTAAGACGTAAAAAGACGTAAAGAGGAGATCAATAGTATAAGATCAAAACTCCAGTTTTCCCTCCCGTATTACCACGTTATATCCAGAGTCTGGTGGTCCTTTCCTCAATCTTTGTTTTTCTACCAACGAAACCTTAATATATACTACAATAACAATACAAGTCGTTGTCATAAAACATTTTATCCAGTAGTTATCATTTTTATAGGAACGCTTTTTCGATTTTGGATGAAGACATCTGTCTCTGACGCATCAATTATAGCATATATTACGTTTCATGTGCGTTTTTTTCGTGTGTAGCATTCCTTTTTTGTGTGTGTAACATTCTAAAAAGACGATAAGACATTCTCAATTATCAAAAGATGTTTGGAGCGTTGTAGCATTTGAACACCTCAGCTGCACATGTACAGATTTTTAGTAGGAAGAGTTGAATAAATATGATTAGATAATATATCTAAAGAAATTTGTCCACCGCTTCTTTTCATCACTGTATCCACCGTTAAGATATAGTTTAAATTTAGCTAAGATTCTATTAGTGTTCTTCCTTCATTCAACCATTTGCTTTATTGCTTTCACTGAAGCCCAAAAGAAATTTGTGTATCGTTTTTGGTCCAGAAGGGACCATACTGCTCTAATGCTAACTGCTAACCATAAATAACATTAAAACCCATAGTTATACATGTCTTTTGTGGTGTTTCTTATTGTCATAACTACCGACATGAGTTTGGTTTATTTGCCGAATTGTCAGGGAAATTGACTGAAAATAATTATACCAATGGGATGGAAAAAGAAAAACTTTCGGTTGAAAATATTAAAGTGGTTTTAATTTTCTGAAACGGAGGAATAGTCATGTATGCACGTTTAAGAATAATTTTTATATAAAAATATTTATACTTGTAATGTAAATGTAGTTTTGCATCATGTAAAATATTTATACTTGTAATGTAAATGGAGTATTTATTATTTTGAAAAAGAAAAGAGACAAGCAGACAAGATTTTCGTGAATCAATCAATTGGCGTGATCATTTTCACATATTTTAAATGCACCACACACTTTTCAACAAAGTTGAAAATTTGATTATTTAATAGTCAAAAGTGATTGTGAGTGCCGTAATGTTTCTTCCAGTGGAATGGAAAATCTTGAATATTTAACTTAGATCTAATATATTGAAATCTTGGCGAAAAAAGGAATTGAAAAGAAGGATTCAGAATATGCCAAGGAGAGTAGAAGCTCGGTTCTTGGTATAAAACTAATAAAAGGACCGTGAGAAGAACTTCGTATTGAACCGAAGCTCATATTATACGAAATGTGTTATTTTTGTTTCATCATTAGCCATATGTTTTTTTCTCCTTTTTCTAAACTTAGCCAAATTAAATTAATATGGTATGAGTGTGTTTGATCATCAATAACGTCGGGTGATGCAACGGGGCCGAGAAAATGGATTCCATAATTCAACAATGTCCCATTTGGATATTAATCACCCATCAATTTTTTTATTATCATCTTAGGTTTCATTCAATTTAGACTTTCGTAAAGTATGTATACAATTTGCAAACTATAACAAAGTACAAATAAACGTTTGAATATGGCAACAACAACAACAACAAAAAAGTATAAGTTTGATTAGTCTAAAATAGGCACTTAAATCAAAACAAAGAAATAATGGCGAACGCTTTTTCATTTATTCAAAAACTCAATGTAGTTGTTAGCATAACGCAATAACCTACCTAATCCAATACGTTAGCAACATCCCAGCCATAAAAATAATCTCTCAAATTAATACCTCCTCCGTTCCCACATATATGATATTTTATATTTTTTTTCTTGTTTTATCAAAATTGATGTTTTAAAATATTAAATATATATATTTTTTAAAATTTCAAAAAAATAATTAAAACTGTTTAAATTCTTAAATTATTATAGATTAAGAGTTATTAAAGAGTAATGATTGTAAAAAAAAATAATGTACTAATAGCTAAAAAATAACTGTTATGTATGTGAACAAACCAAAACATTATACTATTTGAAATAGAAAAAATATTTTATTAATATAATATATATATATATATATATATATATATATTTGCTTGTTAAAAGGTCAAATATATTATTAATGTATATTGATGGCGACGAATCTTATCGGGTAATCTTCTTATACGGACGGACAGCAGAGGAATGCTACTAAAAAGACTGTGTCAGTTACACATCGGAAAGAACAAAGCCAAGATTACGAGAATTTGTGTCGTCTAACTAAATCTTGGTTTACACTGAGAAAAAATCGATGGGTGGGCAGAGAGTGATTGAAGAAACAGAAGAATCCATGAAGAGCAAGACCTCTCTGGTTTTCGCAATTAATGGAGAAAGATTCGAGCTCGAGCTTTCTTCCCTTGATCCTTCAACCACACTCATCGATTTCTTGCGTAACAAGACTCCTTTCAAGAGCGTCAAACTTGGCTGTGGCGAAGGTACGATGTGATTCAATAATCAAAGTTAACTCTCTTTCAGTCTTTCTTCATGTTCTCAAACTCTTCCTTTTCTTTTATTTTGGGTCTGAAAACAAAGATTTTCTGATTCAATAACAACAAATTCCTCAAGGTAAAAAAAAAAAACAAACCCCTAGAAAATCTGTTGAAATCTGCAGTGTATGTAGGAACTTTTAGCTCTTATTATGGGTGTTTTTGTGTTCTTGCCTCGGATTCTATGTCCGATTACTTACTTGAGATTTGAGAGTTTTAAATCAGCCTAATCCGTTTATATCAGTCTAATTTAGATTTTCTGATTCGTTTTGAACACTTATATGTAACACATGCATCTATATGTAACACAAATCCACAAAAAACTTATAATTGTAGTTTTTTCCTATAATCAAAGTTAACTTCTCTGTTTTCATATTCTTGTGTTGAAAATTATTTTAGATACAATAATATTAAGGCCTCAAGAATTCTGATTAAAATCTGCAGTCGCTATAAGAAGCTTTAATTAGCTCCTACAGGTGTTTTTGTTTTCTTGCCTCGGATTCTATACATGTCCCCATTGGGAGAGAGATTAAGTTTACACGTTGAAATTGTAAGTTTAGAGACTGATTCGATTAGGACTCTGATGTCTTTTTTTAAAAATAAAATAAAAAAGGTATTCAAAATTTAAAGGACTCTGATTAAGAAAATTAATGGCAAAACTAACGCCAGAATCAAAAAGATACACGGCTGCTGAATATGTAAGAAAAATCCACTACTCAGAGAGGCAACATTTGTCCTTTCCTTTCAATTCATGTGTTTAATTTTGATTTTGGCGTTACTTTTGCAATTTACAAAGAGATTTTGCTTTGCATATTAAGATAGGGTTAAAACATAAAATCACCATGTTTTTATAACGATTCCAATGTTTATATTGTGTGTAGTAATTGTAATGTATCTTCTCTGGACGCAGGTGGTTGTGGCGCTTGCGTTGTACTTCTCTCAAAGTATGACCCACTGCTCGAAAAAGTCGACGACTTCACAGTCAGTTCGTGTCTCACGCTCCTCTGCAGCATCGATGGCTGCTCCATCACTACCTCTGAAGGCCTCGGTAACAGCAGAGCCGGTTTCCACGCGGTCCACGAGCGCATCGCCGGTTTTCACGCCACGCAATGCGGTTTCTGCACGCCCGGTATGAGCGTTTCCATGTTCTCCGCTCTCTTAAACGCCGATAAGTCTTCACCGCCTCGCAGCGGTTACTCAAACCTCACGGCTGCAGAAGCCGAGAAGGCCGTGGCCGGAAATCTATGCCGGTGTACCGGATACAGACCGCTCGTGGACGCTTGCAAGAGTTTTTCAGCTGATGTTGATATCGAAGATCTCGGATTCAATTCCTTTTGCAAGAAGGGAGAAAACAGAGATGATGTTTTAGGGAGGTTGCCATGTTATGATCATACATCATCTCAGGTGATCTGTACATTCCCGGAGTTCTTGAAGAACGAGATCAAGATCGATATGAGTCTTGATCCGAGAAAGTACAGATGGTCTCGCCCGGTTAGTGCCTCGGAGCTTCAAGGGCTACTAGAGGTTGAGAATGGATTGGCGGTTAAGTTAGTTGCGGGTAACACGAGTACAGGGTATTACAAAGAAGAGAAACAGAGGAAGTACGATAGGTTTTTCGATATAAGAAGGATCCCTGAGCTAACTGTGGTGAGAAGAGGTGATAAAGGGATTGAGTTAGGAGCTGCTGTTACTATATCGAAAGCTATTGAGGCTCTAAGAGAGAAAGAAGATGTTTCTATGCTGGCGAAACTCGCGAGCCACATGGAGAAGATTGCGAGCAGATTCGTAAGGAACACGGGAACTATAGGTGGAAACATCGTGATGGCTCAGAGGAAACAGTTTCCATCGGACCTCACAACCATTCTTGTTGCTGCTCGAGCTACAGTGAAGATCATGAGTGTTGGCTCGGGTCAAGAACAGTTTACGCTGGAAGAGTTTCTTCAACAGCCTCCTCTTGAAGCCAAATCTGTTCTTTTGAGCGTCGAGATTCCGTCTTGGCGGCCCGTGACGAAGAAGAAGAACGGTTCTTCTTCTCCGGATACTCGTTTGCTCTTTGAAACTTACAGAGCAGCGCCACGTCCTCTAGGAAACGCGTTGGCGTTTCTGAATGCTGCTTTCTCGGCTGAAGTTTCTTTAAGCGAAGCAAGTGATAGCATCTTCGTACATGATTGCCTGTTAGCTTTTGGAGCTTATGGGACCAAACATGCTCATAGAGCGAGGAAAGTCGAAGACTTCCTCACAGGAAAAGTGATAACTGATGAAGTTTTGATGGAAGCTATTGGCTTGCTTAAAGATGAGATAGTACCTGATAAGGGTACTTCTAATGCCGGCTATAGATCAAGCTTGGCTGTTACGTTTCTCTTCGAGTTCTTCGGATCTTTAACTCAAACAAACGCTAAAACTACAAACGGTTGGCTCAACGGAGGATGCAAAGAGATTGAATCTTTGAAACCTGAAGCTATGTTGTCATCTGCACAACAGATAGTTGAAAACCAAGAATATAGTCCGGTAGGGAAAGGCATTGTAAAGTCCGGAGCTTGTCTCCAAGCATCTGGCGAGGCTGTTTATGTAGACGACATTCCTTCTCCGGAGAATTGTCTATACGGAGCATTTATCTATAGTACAATGCCTCTGGCGAGGATCAAAGGCATAAGGTTCAAGGAAAACAGAGTTCCAGAAGGAGTTCTTGGCATCATTACTTACAAAGATATTCCCAAAGACGGGCAAAATGTCGGTACCAAAGGATTCTTTACTCCGGACCTTTTGTTCGCCGAAGATATAACCCTTTGTGTTGGTCAGATCATCGGCTTATTAGTAAGTCTGCTTAAGATTTCTCTGAAGTATTTATGTAGAGCAAAACTAAGATTTTAATATGATGATTTATCTGCAGGTTGCAGAGAGTCAAAAGCTTGCAGATGTTGCTACAAATCTTGTTGTGATTGATTATGACACAGAGGATTTAGAACCGCCGATACTTACAGTAGAAGAAGCTGTCCAGAAATCTAGTTTCTTTTCAGTTCCTCCACCTCTGCGTGGTAAACCGGTCGGTGATATCACCAAGGGAATGGCTGAAGCGGAACATAAGATTCTTGGATCCAAGGTGGTTCTTTTCCTCAAAAGCTCTGTTCTTGTCTAAGCATCATATTAATAATCTTTTGTGATTTTCGGTGCATATGTAGATAAGTTTTGGGTCACAGTACTTCTTCTACATGGAGACACAAACGGCTCTTGCAGTGCCGGATGAAGACAACTGTATGGTAGTTTATAGCTCGACACAAGCCCCAGAGTTTGTACATCGAACCATCGCTGGATGTCTTGGAGTTCCTGAGCATAATGTCCGCGTCATCACTCGAAGAGTTGGGGGTGGGTTCGGTGGGAAAGTCATGAAGTCTATGCCGGTGAGTTCACGTTTTGAAACTACTACTCTCAAGTGTACTTTGATGTTTACTTTTAACATTGAGTTCTTTCTATCAACAAACATGTTCTAGGTCGCTGCAGCTTGTGCACTTGCAGCATCCAAAATGCAGCGTCCCGTGAGGACATATATGAACCGGAAAACGGATATGATAACTACCGGAGGAAGACATCCGATGAAAGTAACATATAGTGTTGGGTTCAAAGCCAATGGGAAGATCACTGCTTTGGATATAGAGGTGCTGCTTGATGCAGGGATAAGCGAAGATGTAAGCCCGCTCATGCCATCAGGGATACAAGGAGCACTGATGAAGTATGATTGGGGTGCTCTCTCTTTCGATGTAAAAGTATGCAAAACAAACACAGTGAGCAGAACCGCGGTTAGAGCTCCCGGGGATGTACAAGGATCTTATATAGGAGAAGCCATCATTGAGAAAGTAGCTTCATATCTTTCAGCTGATGTGGATGAGATCAGGAAGGTTAATCTCCATACATATGAGAGCTTAGGGTTGTTTCACAATGCCAAAGCTGGTGAATCCCCTGAGTACACGTTACCTCTGCTTTGGGACAAACTCGCTGAGTTCTCCGGATTTAACCAGCGGAGGAAGGTGGTTGAGGAGTTTAATGCGTCAAACAAGTGGAGAAAGAGAGGGATCTCGCGTGTGCCTGCGGTCTATGGAGTGTCTATGCGGCTAACACCGGGAAGAGTAAGCGTGTTGAGCGACGGGTCAGTAGTGGTTGAGGTTCCAGGGATTGAGATAGGACAAGGGCTATGGACAAAGGTGAAACAGATGGCTGCGTATTCTCTTGGACTGATCCAGTGCGGTACTACAAGCGATGAGCTTCTCGAGAAAATCAGGGTCATCCAAGCCGACACACTGAGTTTGGTACAAGGCTCAGTGACTGGTGGTAGCACAAGCTCTGAGGCGAGCAGTGAAGCGGTCAGGATTTGCTGCGATGGGTTAGTCAAGAGGCTTTTACCGGTCAATGCCGCTTTGGTGGAGCAAACAGGAGGACCTGTGACTTGGGAAACACTCATCAGTCAGGTACATAGTCTTGAAAACATTCTCATGCTTTTGATGTTCTCTGGTTATTTTGAGTGGACATGTATAGAATAGAACGTTAAGATTCTTGAATTGTCTTTGTGTAGGCTTATCAACAATCAATAAACATGGCGGTTAGTAGCACATACTTGCCGGATATGTCCACTGGCGCATATCTTAACTATGGAGTTGCAGCGAGCGAGGTAAAGCTTTAAGCATTGAAGAATAGCTCTTTTTAGCTTACTTACATTTTGTGAAATCATTTTAACTTCTTTGGTTGTAATCAACAGGTTGAAGTAAACGTTTTGACGGGCGAAACAACAGTCCTGCGCACGGATATTATCTATGATTGCGGGAAAAGTCTCAATCCTGCTGTGGATTTAGGACAGGTTAAACTCAGGAAGCCCATTCTATATGTGTCTGTTTCTGGATCTGGATTTGTAATGTGGTTATATATTTGTTCTGTTTCATGGTTAATTTGCAGATTGAAGGAGCATTTGTACAAGGACTTGGGTTCTTCATGCTTGAAGAGTACCTAATGAACTCAGACGGTCTCATAGTAACAGACAGCACATGGACTTACAAGATCCCAACGGTTGACACAATCCCAAGACAGTTTAATGTCGAGATTATCAACAGTGGACACCACAAGAACCGTGTTCTGTCATCCAAAGGTGACTTATGTTCTTACTGGAAACCCAAAAAGATCAAAACTAAGAAGTTTTATTTAAACTTTTGTTTTTGTTCTTGTTTTGATTCAGCTTCGGGTGAACCGCCATTGCTTTTAGCGTCATCTGTTCATTGCGCGGTCCGAGCAGCTGTTAAAGAAGCCAAGAGACAGATTCTGACATGGAGTAGTAACCAACAAGGGATTGATCTGAGCTTTGATTTGCCTGTTCCAGCAACTATGCCTGTTGTGAAGGAGTTTTGTGGACTCGATGTTGTCGAGAAATACTTGGAATGGAAAATCCAGCAGAGGATGAACATTTGATAGCTGCTGGAAGAACAATTTCATAGCTTGCGTTTGTGTGTATTATTGATATGTGAATGTATAAGAATGTTCGGGATTATGGTAAACCGGTTTCTGTAATAAAGCTGCATGTATGAATTGAGCGAACCTCTTCAACTTCTTTTGCCTCTCTAGTTTTAGTATTTTATAGAAGAAATCTTTAGTTTTCTGATATTAAAATCAAGTTTATACATAATTTAAAAAGATTGTGAGCATGATGGTGATGTTGGTGTGGATTAATCATCATCCAACGTTGCATGTGTATAACACAATATAATTATCTCATATATACACGAGAATAATAAAGAGAAATAGAATATAATAAAATAATTATTCCACATCTTGAAGCTCTAATTTGGTCGACAGACAAATGAAAAAGGGATACTTAATATTAAACTCAATCCAAAGAATCATCAAAATCTTCAAGACAAAGAAAACTCAAAGAAGACAAAAGAGGAAGTGGAAAACCCAAAGAATTAAGCCTTCGTTCCTTCAAACTAAAACCAAATCACAAAAATCTATGTTGTCTAATAATCTTCTCTGCCTATAAAATCAAAGAGATCTTTCTCTGCTCTCTCACAACACAAAACATTATTACTTATAAACCAAAGTAAAAAAAGAGCAACCACAAAGAAAAGAGAGTGAGAGAGAATGTCTATCATTGGAGCGGAACGTGTTTACCAAGAATTTGAGCCTGCAACTAGATGGATCTCTGAACCAGACGCCGAGACCCTTGTCGCTGATCTTCCAGGTTCGCTTTCTTCTTCTCAATCTTGTTTATTCATTTCCCTTTGTTTTTCTACATTAAAAAAAAACACAAAGAACAGAGAGAAATAGTTTGGTAAAAGCAACTAAACTCATAAGCATTGTCTTGTGTGGTTAGGATTCAAGAAAGAACAACTTAAGGTGTCGGTCACGGCAACAAGGAAGGTAAGACTAATTGGAGAACGCCCAACTGGCGGAAACAAATGGATTCGCTTCCACCAGGAGATTCCAGTTCCTTTGACCGTTGACATCGACTCGGTTTCAGCTATGTTCAAGGATAACAAACTCTACATCCGACATCCCAGAGTCAAGAAAGAAACCACTCAAACTAAGCCACCATCACCGGTCAAACCACCGGTGATCATGAAACACGGCGATCAACACGAGAAAAAGCAAGGCCATGGTTCAAAAGCAACGGTCGAGAAGACGAGCGGTGGTAAAACCGAACAGCTGAAACATGACGCAAAGCAAAAAGCAAAGGAAGTACAGAGTGGGGTAAAGGAATTAGTTGGTCAGCCTAAAGAACCTTTGAGCTCCAAGGATGAGGAGAAAGACAAAGTTGGAGCGAAATGGTTCGAGAAGTACAAAGAGGCAACTGGAAATGTGGTCAAGGAAGCTAAGAACAAAAGGCAGTTACTTTGCAATTTGGCTGCTTCGATTTTCTTGGTTCTGCTAATCCTACTGTATGCTCGAAATGCAGTACGTTCATCCCTTGTGTGGAACTCCGAGGAATGAGTCAGTGACTCTTGCATTTGCGTCTCACCAATGTATAAGCTTGCTCATGCAGAAAATAAATAATATTTGCTAATTCCCCTCTACATGTCTGTACAAATGTGTGCCGAGATAATGAGAAAAACTTTATTTAACACATTTATTACAGTGCCAGAAACTTATACTAGAATTAAGGAAAGCAATTAGTACCAACCTTACAAGAACTGCTAAAAGTGGAGAAATTCTACAAAAATATAGGATTTAGAGAGAGAAGAAAGTGGTAGTATGAGCCAACTTACTTGAGGAAAGGCGTTATGACTTATTTAGCTGAGCGCGGATTAGCTTGGCAGCAGCAACCATGTTGCTAAGTGCGGATTTAACTTCAGAGTACTTCCGCGTCTTTAGGCCACAGTCAGGGTTCACCCAAAGGACTTTGCTGTCCAGAACTGCAAGCATCTTGTTGATACGCTCAGCTATTTCTTCAGCAGATGGGATACGAGGAGAGTGAATGTCATATACCCCCGGACCGATTCCAGCACCGTATTTCACTCCTTCATGGAAGACTGATAAGAGCTTCTCATCTGACCGTGAGTTCTCAATGGTGATCACATCAGCATCCATATTTATGATTGAGTGGATGATGTCGTTGAAATTTGAGTAGCACATGTGGGTGTGAACCTGCATGAAGTACAAGGAGAGCATGGATAAATCAGATCTCTTCCATAATTCAGTCATTGTTTCACATCCTTCATCTTGATGTCACGTTCCATTTTTTCGTTGCATTGTACACGAAAATGGCAGAAACCAAATGACGCTCAACATACTGGCACAAAAACAATATTTTAAGTGGAAATGATTAATAAAGCGAGATGAAGATGACCTGAGTAGTGTCTTGCACATTGCAGTTTGTGATTCTGAATGCGTGGACGGCCCAGTCAAGGTAAAATTCTTGCTCGGACTTCCTGAGAGGCAATCCCTCTCTTAATGCAGCTTCATCAATCTGAATAACAGTGATACCAGCCTTCTCAAGGTCCTCAACCTCATCTTTGATGGCAAGTGCAATTTGGAAACACGTCTCATGTCTATAAACAACAATAATGGTGAAATGGAATACCATATGGAGTGAAAGAGAATTGGATAGGCTTAGTTGTCACACCTGGGCTGGTCATTTCTGACGAAGGACCAATTGAGAATTGTAACAGGGCCAGTGAGCATCCCCTTCATAGGACGTTGGGTCATTTTCTGTGCCATTGACGACCAGAAGACAGTCATTGCCTTTGGTCGGGTGACATCACCGTAGATGATAGGTGGCTTGACGCAGCGGGACCCATATGATTGGACCCACCCATTCGATGTGAAAGCAAAGCCAGATAGCTGCTCACCAAAAAACTCCACCATATCGTTTCTCTGCAAGACTATGGCACATCAGGGGCATATAAGAAAATGGAATAGTTCGAAAAATAAACTTAGGTTTCAGTATATTGCCACCTCTGCCTCCCCATGCACCAATACATCAATCCCAAGCTCTTCCTGAAGCTTGACAACCTTTTCAAATTCGACTTTGATAGCCTTGACATAGTCAATTTCTGATATCCTGAAAATGCAGCAGATGCAAGACTATTAAGATAAAATGACATATTAGAACTTTTCAGATACAAAATTGGCTTAGATAGGCCTACTTTTTGGCCTTGAATTCTCTGCGTATCCGTCTGAGATCCGTGGTCTGGGGAAAAGATCCAATTGTAGTTGTTGGAAGAGCAGGAAGATTTAGCTTCTTCTGCTGGGCTTCTAGCCTAACACTTACTTCTGTAGAACGGCGGTGATCAGATTTCTTTATTGCAGCAACCTGAGTAAGAAAGTAATTAAAGATACAAGTCCAGGATACAATATGTGAAAGAGAAAATTGTTAGGAAACCCCGTACATTCTGTTGTACAGCTGCATTTGTCACCCTTGGAGATGATCGTCTAGAAGCTTGACGCATAGAATTAGAAGCAAACAATCCCTACAAAGGGACCAAGACAATACAAAGCTGACTGTTAACTAATTCCGTATCAATAAGAACGTAGTTGCAGCAATGATCCATGAGATCAGGTCAAAGTCTAGTATATAAAACATAAATTCATTGGGCATCGATGTAGTTTCAGTCATACAAGCATATGTTCTAAGCCGATAAATACAACCCAAAGACATAGAATTAGAAAAGCAGAGACTACAGCATGTTCCAAGATATTGTACTGTGCATAATGTTATAAACAAAGATGTACCTCATCCTTAGCTCCAGAGAACGCTTTGGCAAGTGCATTCACTTCAACGACCTTTTGTGCAGCAAATGCAAGCCACGATTTTAGTTCTTTATCAAGTTTAATTTCGTTCACCAAATCAACGGCCGTATGGAGTAGAGAGCAAGATGTAGAAACCACGAGTTTTTCTGCAAAGAGAAGAGGACGGTTTAAGATCAACTCTGAAGCTAACTAGCGAAAAGAAGTGAAAGCAACCAGGTAAAATGTTGTTTACTGATACCTTTTCCAACAATGTCTTCAAGAGTCTGTAGTGTCTTGATCGAAGCAGAAAGATCATTCGCCCAAATGTTCCTTCCATCCACAACTCCAGCAAATAGTAGCTTTCCACGAGGAAAATTCACCTTGATGAAATCAATAGTCTCCAATCCACGGACGAGGTCAAATCCAAACCCAGTTACACATTTCAAAGACGTTAACGTCTTGTACGCTTCAGCAGGAACATCTGCAAAGTATGTGGCAATAAGAACATTCAAGCCTGCCAGAGATGACTCCATGTGAGAGTAGGCATCGGAAAATGCCTGCAATTGGCTGGTGTCAAGATCCATCACAAGAATAGGCTCATCGAACTGAATCCATCGTGCACCAGCAGATTTGAGATCAGCCAAAACTTCTCTGACAAAACAAATGCCGCAGAAACCAGTTAACAACTTTCAAGCATTATCCAAATGAAACAGGTATCCAAAAAACGTTGCAGTTGGTCTCAAATGATTCTTACTTGTAGACAGGAAGAATCTTGTCAATCAGAGAAAGAAGGCAGAATGATTTTTCAACACCTTTTGCAGGTTTTGACAGGAGCAAGTAGGTCATGGGCCCAATAAGCACAGGAACTGTGTCAATGCCAAGCTGTGCCATGAACAGCCAAAAACACAGCTATGAATAAGAAACTTGGGGAACGAAAGAGGAAAGCTGAAGATAATTATAAAAGAAAAGTAATTCCATGAATTTATCTATATGCTCACAACAAAAGTACAACAGCTCAACTAAAAGCTTTTCAGGGAAAAATACGTGAAATAGATCCGAGTCAACTTACTGCTTTCGCCTCCTTAAATTCATCCACGGCCTTGTGAGATGCATAGGAGAATTTGACATCAGGACCCAGCTCAGGAACAATGTAATGGCTGTTAGTTAAGGCATGTATTAGCATTATAATAACTGAGAAGGAAACTATGCAAAAACAGGGAAGAAAGAGGATTCATTACTTACTAGTTAGTATCAAACCACTTGGTCATTTCCATAGCAGGAACAGAAGCATTTCCCCGAGCCATGGAGAAGTAAATATCAAAACCGATCTCACCACTTTCCCAACCATATCTAGGGGGAACAGCGCCAAGCATCGCTGTGGTGTCCAACATCTGGTCGTAGTACGAAAAGGTGTTGCTGGGAATATATTTGATTCCTGCATCAGCCATATGTTTCCAAATGGAGTTTCTCAGGTTAGCAGCAACATTTTGCAATTCCTCAGCACCGGTTTTCCCATCCCAGAAGGACTCCAATGCAAACTTGAGCTCTCTCTTTGGCCCAATACGGGGATACCCGACAATGTGGGATGACATTGCTCTATGTTGTCACAAACAAAGACACAACAGGATTAGGGGAATACTCATGAGTCAATGTAACAAATAAATAAAATCAGTTTCTCATTTTTCTCCCATTTCTCAGTGAACAAGCGCAAAGGCAAATGACGTGAAACAAAACAAAGCTTAATATCCGCAAAACATTTCTGTTTTAATTGAATTTTGAATCCATAAACGAAAACAAATAGAGTTGCAAACACAGCAACAAGAAATAAACCAGGAGGGAAATAAAGGAAAACCTGGCGACGTAGAATCCGCGACGGAGGGGGCGGCGAGAGGCGGTTGCGAAAGGGAGTGATGGAGGAGCCGAAGAGGGTGGCGGAAGAGAGAGAGGGCGTCTTGGAAGCGAAGCCACCGGCGGGAGTCTCTGAAGAGCGAGCTGACCCATCTTTATACCTTCCGTTTAAAACTGCTCCTATTATTTCTCTTCACAGTCTCCGGGGAAGGAGGAGACTCACACAACACTATTTGATTTCGCTTCCCAGGTTTCTTTTATATCATCCACTTATAAATGGAGGTAAGTAACTAAATTATCCAAAATGATGATAATTTTTAATGTCATCGGAATATCGAACATTCCTCCTATAAATCATTTAGTCTAGTGTCATTCATCTGTGTAGTCAATTTATATTTCGAACACAATTTACTTTAGACATTTTTTTACATAAAAGAGACCTTATTACAAAACTACAACGATGCCTCCCGCACCATATCGTTGGGTTTCATGTAACTCTCAGTAAGTAAACCAAAAAAACTTGTCAAAAGTTTTACAGTGACACAAGCGCAGAGCAAAATCACTTGGGGGCCTTGATTCACTCACTGTGTGGAAATGCTGGATAGCTTCAGTGAGTACAACCACAACCAGCGTCTTTCGCCTCTCCTCCTCCCTCATAGGCAGACTTGTAGCTTTTGTCCCATGTATCAGTCGGTATGGTCGCTTCTGCGTGAGGGATGTGCTTTGGGTGTTTCTCTCTCTTATCGCCTTTAATCTGCTTCAGTGCGTGCTTCAACGCCGGCAACAGAGCCTCCATACACTCAGCCACTGCGTTTGGGTTTCCAGGCATGTTGATTATCTATGACACCAAAACCCATAGAAACGTGAGTGATGATGACAACTCAAGAGATTTGTACACCAATGTGATGAGCTTGGGAGATTTTTACCAATGTTGAGCCTCTAATTCCTGCTGCAGAGCGTGAGAGCATCGCAAATGGTGTGATCTGTTCACGGAGAGAAAAAAAGGAAATGGAATCAGATGGAAAATAGGAATCGAGTTCAATTTCAATCGTAAGAGGTAAGTACTAAAGTAGTATTTTACCTTTAAGCTCTCTTGCATCATAACAAAGAGGAGACCGGGTGTTTCTCTCTCGATCACCTCTTTTGTTGCTTCTGGTGTTACATCTCTCGGAGTGAAACCGGTACCACCTAGTTGCCAGGAAAGTTAAAGATTTTTAAAAATATGATTTAAGCCAAACAACACATCTACTACAAGTAACAAAATGATTATATACCAAGTGTAAGAATGAGATCCATTTCGTCAACATCGCTCCATTTCTGGAGAATGTCTTTGATTCTGTCCACTTCATCGGGGACAACAGCTGTTGCAACTACCTTAGCTCCTCCAAGTTTTTCAGACGAGGAATCAACCACTGATACAGCCCTGGGTCCACTGCACCAGTATCCAAAAATCAATCAAGAAATGATAATCAAATAAATACAATGTATATAATTAGACAACAAAATAACAATAATAACTTGCCATCACACTCTCTGAAGTAGAGATATCGGAAAAACAAAAAAAACTGCTAAGAAAGGGTCTGAGGCATCGAAATGAGATGTTACCTAAAAGATGTAAGCACTGTGATGCTTCACTGTCTCACTATGACAAGGAGCAATATCACTGTGCAGTTTTACTATTGCATCGAATAAGTGACCCCACCAGAATAACGAACTGGAGAGGTGTATCTAGATGCACTTTTTTAAAAATCGGAAAAAACTTTAAGCAAGTACTGGAAAAGCTCACTGTTCCAGAGTTTTCACTCGCCGCATTTAACTCCGGATCGACTCTACATTACTAATACTTGCATCGATTATGCTAAATTCAGAGAGAAACCCACAAAGTGAATCATGCTTATAAAGACGCAAATAAAAAAGTAGCACGTATCTGTAACGGGACAACCAAGAAAGTTTAATAGTAGTAATCATACCTTCGATCAGGTCCAGCCCTAGCTGAGACAGTATCACTGACAGTAAGAATAGCCACTTTGTACTCAGGCCCAGCTACTTCATCGTACTTTTTTTCTTTTCGAATAGACTCCGGTTCTGATAATGAGGGTTCCTTGTCTATAGAGAAGCCACTTATATCGGAAACGATTACAGCTGATACAGATGTTCCAGCAGAAAGCACATTGCCGGTAGCAGGCAACTCCAACAAAGCATTAGCCGACCTCATACTTAAAAGCCGACTGCTCATCTGATGTCCTGTGCTCTCAGCAATAAATCTGACATCCCAAGGTATACGTATATGGTTAATCTGTTTAAGATAGTAACACACAATACAACTTCCAACTCCAAGCAAATATAGGAAAGTTTTGACTCAAAAGCAGATATGGTTATGAAAAATCTCACCCGGAAGTCCCTGATCCATCGTTCTCTTTCCATTTGATGATGGCTCGATGAAACTCAGGACGGATGGGGTCGGACTTTATGGGCTCCTGAAGTCGAGCTCGCACTCTGCACAAAGATTAGACGATAATTTACCCTTTCACTGATGATCATTCATTATAGATAAGTTCATTTGGAGGATAAAATATTATGCAAACTTCAGTAACCTCAGTGGATGGGGGCTTGTCCATCCTGCAAGCTGGCGGATTGTAGGCACAACAAAGAGATTGAAACAAACCAAACAGCTTACAGGATTTCCTGGTAATCCAAATGCAAGAACTGTTTTTCCCATCATACTTTTAGTTGGTTTTGCAGTGAGCTCAGCAAACGTCAAAGGTTTCCCAGGTTTCATCAATACCTGAAGCAAATTTAAAATTTAAAATCTTCTCAGTTTAATCTGGATATCAAACTAAGCATTGTCAACTTGCTGAGCTTACGTTAAGAAAATCAAACATTCGAGTCGGGTAAAAACGACTGTTCGGGAAAACGTAGAAGCCAACTCTATTGCTTTTAAGCAGAGAAAGAAATAAATATTACGGACATGATTGAAGAAACTTATACTGCTTATTTACCTTGCTGAAATGTACTTTCCCTTTCTCTTTGAGCAATGGCTTGACAAAATCTCTGTCTCCCATCGAAACACCACCAGAAGTTAAGATAATATCAACTCCAGAGGAAATGGCCTCATCCAAAACTCTCTCAAGTTCCTTTCTATCATCTCTAACGATTCCAAGGTCAACAGCTTTGCATTGCTGCTGCATCACTGCTGCCACTAACATTGCTCGATTTGAGTCCCTAATCTGCAGAGAGCACCTTCTTTAGCCACTAAGGTAATATTGGGGTCCAATATCTTTTTCCAATGAATACACATGCATAAATATCACATGCATCAGAAATATTAGTGCTGCATAATACCTGACCACGACCTAAAGCCCCAGTTGTTGGCTCGACAAGTTCATCCCCAGTAGAGAGAATAGCAACTGTTGGCATCGGATATACCTACACAGAAGTTTACTCTTTTCATTTTTGGACACATACTCGAGTAATTTTGCTAAGGTACTAAAGACTATCCTACAGCAATACCTTCACCAAGGTTACTCCTGCAGTTGCTAGCAAGCCAATTTCAGAGGCACCAATCCTTTCTCCAGATTTTAGTACAGTTGCATCTTTCTCAATGTCACAACCCTAGCATATAAATTGAAAGACGCTTATGAAATCCTCAATCAAGTAAAACAATAATACACATAAAATGATTCCAAAACAGCTGCTTCATCTGTTCATCAATCTTATACGTTTGATGTTTTGATAATTAAGCGTCTTTTCTGTAAGAAGCATTGCAAGTTCACACCTACATGGTAGCAAATATTAGATGGTGTCCAACACTTCAAGTACATCATCTGCTTCCAATGAAAGGAATAATAATCCATTCAACAAACCGGTCTCGCATGCATCCTAACGTTTACTTAGATCAATAAACAGAACACTGTGATACTACAAATATTCACCAACCAGTCATAGAGAAAGGAAACCAAAGACATCAACCACAACACTGACAAATAAGCGGGAAAGAAGAAACCATACCACTCTGCGGATGTCAGTGCCTTTCTTGGTTTGAATCAGTATTTTTACTCTTTTTGATTCAGATGAGGCGTCTCCAACTAATTTAGTGTCCTCAACTTGGACAACTGCATCGGCACCATCAGGTATAGGTCCTAAAGAGCAGCATATCAAAGTAAATAATTGGTTGAGATCAAATAAAAAACTACTTTTGGTGACAGTTCCCCAATCCCCATGCATTAGAACTTTTAATGTTAAACCACAAAAAGGCAGGTTCAAAGCTCTCATATGATCAAATGATAAAAAAACATCAGTAAGAGACTCATCATCGAATGTGATAATATAATACTAACCACCAGTTGTTACATAAGCCACAGTCCCAGGAGTAACAGTCACACCGAGTCCATCATTCCCAGCTCTTGACTCTGTAATCACTGTGTATTCTCCTGGACCATCTGAAGCAACAACCGCGTACCCATCCTACGCAACAAATCATGTCAAAGCTATGTTAGCTATTCGCTCTAGTACTCATCACCAGCTTTAGCATCTTTTAATTTCTATCTGACAAATCTCCATAGAATAGAAGTATTGAATACAACTCGGAGCGTTTCATACAGTTTATCCAAAGTCATAAAAACGATTCACGAAGAGTAACGAGAAAATTAACCAAGCAATTATATCGACAAAATGTTGATTCACCTTGACGGAAGCAGGATACGGAGGAAGGGGATCAGGAGCACGAATATCCTCCGCCAACACTTTACCAAGTGCTTCCTGCAGCGATACGACAACCGGAGGCAGCCGCTCGGATACACCGAGTACTATTCTCAGAGCTTCCTCCGTCGGAATCATTTCCGTCTTTCCTCCGCCGCCACAACAACCTTCATGACCATCCATATTTTCACTGTTTGATAGAGAGAGAGACGACAGGTGTCACTTGAGTTCGGGAAGAAGGTGAGAGCAAAGTTGACGAGCTTGTTTGGCAATCAGATTAGATCTGACTTTCTACAAGTAGGAGGTTAGGTTTATACCGACAACCAAATACCCTTTTTGGCTCGTCTCCGATATTCGCAAGTTATATACATACAACTGGAGACGGTTTGTTTCACTTACTTCCCTCCTGCGATTTTCTTTAAACGGTCTGGAAACTCTCCTGAATTCATCCAAATTGAAATTCAGAAATCTTGTTTCCTTAGGAAATCGATCCCTGCTGTAGCACCACTAAATTAGCCGCGAAAAGTTTACTTTAAACGTGACCAATAAGTATTTAAAAACAAATAACAACAATAAGGAACGGATGTGTTATATTATTCAAGCAAAAGCCCAAAAAAAAAAAAAAAACAATCCACTTAACAGTCCAAATAACTTAGTCGTTTGTTATCTCATCCACAGACCTCGATGGATCATGTCTCGTCGCCAAGGCCACTGTATTTGCATGCCTTGAGCCGCCAAGGAGTAGGGGAAGGTTCCGCACTCCGCTTTTTGCCCTTTTTTGGTATAATTTCTGAACTCGGATCCTGGCCCACGAGATTGAAGCATTCCGTCTTCTCCTCATTGTCAACATACTCGATGGTTCTTGTCTTGCGCAGACGGCGAGAAAAGCCAAGGCCACTGTGTTTGTATGCCTTGCGCCGCCTAGGACTAAATAACAGCCGCCACGGTTTGAAACGCAGGCTAAACAAAAGTTGCTTCTTACCCCTTTTTTTGGGTAAAATATCCGAACTCAGAGTCTGGCCCAGTAGACTGAAGCACCCATGGCGCTCATTGAAGGCTCTTCTGACTACAGCTACGCGATCAACATCCTTACCAACTCGAGCCTCGCACGAGTCCTTGTACCTTATGTAGACAATTGCAAAATATTTGGCGTTCTTGAGTCCCTCTTCCACATCTTGGGTACTAGTATCTATAGCCACTTTGATAATCTTCAAGTGGGACAGATCATGATCCTCAAGGCTGTCCCTATTAGTCGCGGCAACTGCAAGTTCCAAGTAGAGACTAATCCAGTCTTTATTCTCTTGCAGCTCTGAATCCTTCAACTGCAAAAAAAAGCATATAATAATATCACTAACTACTTATCGATCATGAGCAAAGATGCAAAAGTCACTGGTCTTAATCTTACCACGTGACATCGCTTTGAATTTTCAAAAGGATTCTCTCGCGGCCACTTAGGAGTGGATTTTACGAGCAAGAAGTTTTTCACAGGTTTGTGATCGCTGCTTTTCTTTATTTCACTTACGTCACTTCTCTTGGTTTCGCCTATACAAGGTTCAGCAAATTTTAAGATGACTTGTTATATACAAGCTAATGCGTCAGGTAATTACCTAGCGGTCTAGCAATACCAGCCGACAAAATCAATTCGCCAAAACTTAGCTCCTGAACTCTAGTCTGAAAAGCTCGAGGCAAATTGGTAGCTGGATCCATGGCTTCCAAAGTTATGTAGTAACAGGAAGCAGCAGAACCCGTGGACCGGTTGTATTTCTTAACGCTAATGAGCTGTAAGTTTTTTCCCTAGTTGATCAACAAAGCAATCGATTTGAATGTAGGCAAATACATAGAATAAATAAAGTCATAGAGCAATATATAGTTTAATATACCTGGAGCAAATTATAACGATGAAGACCCATCTTAGCATAAAGGAGGACTAAGGGAGAACAAGTATCATTACATATGGTTTCCAGCAATGCATGAACATAGAGAGATGGTTGAAGACCACCGACATCGAACCCCTAAAGACCCATTATTAGCAAGTAATCAAATTTTATTGGATAGTTGATTTTAACTAGTCTTAAGAACCCGAGAATTGAGACAATCTCTTAACAACTAACAAGTAGAGTGTATAAAAGAATATTACCTCGGATTTATTCAGTTCTTGCATATAGTTACGCGTCGCGCGATCAATCGTCTTCATACCCTGTTTTGTTAGACACCACGACACCGCCACCATCGTCGAGCAGCTGATCTGAAATTTCGCCGGAAGCGAGCGGCTGATGTTTTGGGGGGTCGATTTAGGGTTGTTCTTGTCCACGCGATTATAGATATACCCTTATCGGCCTTCAATTGGAAGTTAGGGATGGAAGGTAACCGGAAAAAACCAAACCGATATAATTTAGTTATGATTAAACCGAAAATTTTATTTAGTTATTTAAAAAAAAAATCGATTTAAATTTTGGTTTGGTTAAAAATCGTTAATTCGAATATATTTTTTGACAACAAATTTTTAAATAATTTATAAGTTTTCATTTTCTTATGTTCATATTATACTAGATTATGAGTGGATTTGGAAATTATTTTAAATTTTATATAAAAATAGTTTTAATTATATTTATTTATTTATGTATGTATATTTGAATTTTTAATTAAAATATTTATTATATGTGATAAAAATTGATTAATTGAGTCATATATATTTTAATCATTTTTATTTACTATGATCTCAATATACATTGATTTATAATTAAATATTATCGAACTTATTTAAAAAGAAAATGAACATGAAAAAGTATAAAACAAAAGTTAATCACTGTAAACATAAAAAGTAAGATTAAAAATATTTTCACAAAACCACTTATAATATAACTGATTAAACAAACTCGCATTCTCTTTCAATATGTGTTTATTTTTATATTTTTTACAAATATAAATAAACATGAAAAAGTATAAAACAAAATTAGATCACTATAAACATAGAAACTTAAGATTAAGTACATTTTCACAAAATCACTTATAATAGAACTGAATAAAGAAATTGGCATCTTTCTTTATTCTGCATTTACTTTTATATTTTTTACAAATATGACTAAATATGAAAAATTATAAAACATTGAAAATATTTTCGCAAAACCAATAATAATAGAACTGATTAAAGAAATTGGCTTTCTTCTTTATTATGTGATTATTTTTATATTTTTTGACAAATATGATTTATGTTTAACAAACTCTCATCGAGAACCTCATTTGTTAAACTTGTATCAAAGCAAAATTTGTTTTTTCTTTCATGTTGCGTCCATAATTCTGACTGTTTTCTGTTGCTTCATCAGTTTTTCATTTTATCTGATTGACTCGAGTTTCAAAAGAATCAGTGTTTATAAAAATATGAATAATACTTTCTTTTTTCTTTTATGATTAGTATTTACTTTTTTTATTAAAAACATTTTTAAATTAAAACATATAATTTTTTTCCTTTTTAATTTATTTCTTTTTCTTCTTGATAGTGTAGTAGTTATAGTTTTTATTTCTTTTCTTAAATAACAACTTTACATAATAATATAAATCGAAAACATTTTTGCAAAACCACTGATAATAGAACTGATTAAAGAAATTGACTTTCTTCTTCATTCCGTTCCGTGATTACTTTAATATTTTTCACAATGATTATCTCATTTGGTAAAATGGTATCAAAGCAAAATTGACTTTTTTATTTTGTTTTTGCAATTCTGATTGTTTTCCGTCGCTTCATTGATTTTTCATCTTATCTGATTGACTCGAGTTTCAAAAAGAAATCAGTATTTATATAGATGTAAATAGAGAAAATTACATTTTAAGACACTTTTACAAAGTTGAATAACAAATTAAGGCAAAGGAAGAGACACTTTCATCATGTGAAATGACCATTTTATCCTTTTTATATAATATCAAATGTTCAGAACCGTTAAACCACGTGGATGAACCTTTATGGATAACCATAATATTTTGTTATTAATCTTTTTGGATGAAAAACATGGATGGCGGAGAAGGACAAAGCATGAATGGTAGAAATGAGCAAAGTACGGATGGTAGAAATGGATGAGAATGGATGGATGTGAGTGCATGAATATTATAGATGAATGGAAATACACATATGCTATGGATGGATGTGAATGCATAGATGAATATGAATGCATGGATGACACAAATGGATGTAAATATGTGGATCGCACAATATTATCGTACTATCACCAAAGATAAATGGATGAAAATACATGGATGTTATGGATGGATGTGAATACGTAGATGTTATGGATATATGAAAATGCATGGATGTTATGGATGGATGTGAATACATAGATGTTATGGATAGATGTGAATACATATATGTTATGGATAGATGTGAATGCATGAATGACAAAGATGGATGTGAATGTGTGGATGACAAAATACATCATTAAGGGTAAAATCGTCCAATCATGACTGAACAGTAATCCAAAGTGCCTCAGTTTCTTAAAGTGTCTAATTTTGTGACCAAATTCTCCAAAGTGCCTTATTTCATAAATGACTCATGTAAATAATAGTTTTCTCTTAGGATTAGTATTTTTTTTTTTTTTAAATTCTTTGAAACATATAATTTTTTTTCTTGATATTGTAGTAGTTATATTTTTATTTCTTTTTCTTAAATAATAGTTATATTTCTTAAATTTAGAATTACTAACTTTGACTCATCCAACATTATATAATAAGATTATTAGACTTAATTATCTTTATATTTGACTAAATCTTAACTCATAATTTAAAATATAATATTTTTAAAAAAATATATCTTCATATAAATAATAAATTTTTAACCCTAATTTTCAATTAAAAATGTTTATATATTATAAACTAATTATTCTTTTATGGTTTTTTAATACATATAAGTATATAATTATATTTAAATTTTATGTAAATATAGATTATTCTCAATGTTTATATATTATAATTTTTGTATATCAGAAAAGTACAAACGATGATAAAAATTTGTAGATTAGTTCTCTGGAAGAAAACAAATTATCTCAAATCTAGATATTCATTTTTTATTTTTGAATTTATTTGTTTTGTTTTGTTTTGGTCGAAAAGTCTTAAAATGCATTTGAAACTCAGTTCTGAAAATGCAAAAATTATTTTGCATTTTTTTAGGGTGCTAAGAGAAGGCTATCTTCTTTTCTTCGAAGAATAAACAAAAAATGTTTTATTTAATATTATTCTCAGACTCAGTTATAGATTTTTGGAATTGATTTAGTGAATAATGAATCTGTTAATGCAAAGGTTGTCGGAAAAATATCATAGGGACGTTGGAAGTGTTATGATGCAAAGAATTTGCAGAGACAATTACAATACAACAATCTAATTTAAAGATTCAATATTTACAAGGAACACACATTAATGTTATGTGCAGTCAGCGATTGTTTAGATGCATTTATGTTTTGTATACAGAACACTCTTTATTTTATTAGATTATTTGCACCATAAGCTTTCCCTGTGTATATTAGATCGTTGTTGGAAAAAAAAACCTATTTTGTAAATTAGATTAATGGAGATTTGTTTTTTTTTAGAGTTATAACATTTCTTACCATGAAGAAAGATATAATGCGATGGGGTCATGATAATAGTGACATTTTACAACTTTGTTACATAGCAGATCTTTAACTATGTGACTTAATGTTGTAAACTGATTCTCCGAACACCAACTTCTACATGTTTGATATGACTGAAACGAAGAAACATGACCTTAATTTCACAAATAACCACAAAAGCACAAGACAGAATGTTAGATGGATGATGGAATATTTGCAGATTCCACAAAGATGGACAGGTATATTTTTCATGTCTACAATAATGCAACCTTTTCCATTATTAAAAAAAATATTCCACAAAATGCGTTGTAAACAGAATTCATGAAAAGGTGGTGGAGCTAAGTATTTATAAATTGATTTGTATCATTGTGTGTTTGGGTTCTTCTATGTTGTGAACGCAAAAAAAAAAAACTAATATTATATATAAATCTCGTGATTGGCTACGCATAACAGTGCATCAAACTTAAATCTCTTTACTTATATGTTGAGCAATGCATAGCAGGAAGAGAATAATGAGATATTTGAAGAATTTACGTACGTTATGATATAAACTGAACTTTAATGAAAAATCAACAAATTCTTCAGGATTATTTTGATTACAAAAGATAATAATAATAAAATAAAAAAGATAATAATAAAGCCCCATTAAAAATGGTATGAAGATTTCAATAACAGATGAGAAAGTAAAGCAACAGACAGAGATCATGAGTTGTGTCCTTCTTATATGGGTAGCTTTGAAGTTATATACAAATAAATATTTCAAAACTTTAAGTTGTAATTTTGATGATTTTGTATTGAAATTTGCATTTCTTTTGGGTGGCCTGAAATTTTTGCTGACAAGGCATCCATTTCATATATGCATATATTGTTTATGGCGGAATGTGCTATCTGATGGTGATGGAGATAATTCAAATTGAAATAAAAAAACTTGCACCCCCTTTTCAATCCGATTTCAGACATTCATATTCTAACTTTTTCTGATTTTAATTATTTTATCCTCATAAAGGGAAGTTTCATGGAGCTCTTCAGTGTCAGAAGAAGGGAACACTGGAAAATGACAACATTGGCAAAGATGTTGCTATAGAGTATAACGAATTTTGCAAAGCAGTTGAGAAAAATCTATTTGATGATAAAGTACTCGAGACCTATGGTCTGGATTGTTCTCCTCTATAAGATCTTGGTACCTTGCTAGCTCAGTGGTGAGTCACTGAGTCTCATACATCGATTGAACAATAATTTTATTTATAAAGTTTTCATATTTTAAGGGTAAAATTTCTTACTTGAGCATAAACTAAATGTTTTTTAGGCAGAGGAAATTTATTTTGCGACGATAATAAGTGATTTATATGTGTAGGTTCTGGCATAATAAACTTTGATTCTTATGAGAAACTTAAAAGCGTTGATCAAGAAGGAAACGATAGAGACAAAGATGAAACAGAACACTTACAAACCTGAACATAATAAGAGCAAGCTCAACGTGACACGTAGAAAAAAAATTTCCCAATAGTTTCGTGTGGTTTTCCTAATAGGTTTGAATTTAATTTCCACAAGTCTAATATTGTAAAGGGAAGGATAAACTAACAAACAACAGGAAAGTAGTTAAACTTTATAATGTTAGATGTTTTAGATTTTTTTCATATATTAAAACTTTTTAATTACTACTTTCCTGTTGTTTGTTAAAAGCCGACCTGTCTAATAATTATAACTTTTAACTTTACTAACAGGTTTGAACTTAATATTGTAAAAGGATAAACTAACAAACAACAGGAAAGTAGTAAAGTTATGAAGTTAAAGTTATAATGTTAGATGCAAGACTATATATTCTTTCCGTTTTGTAATGTTAGATGTTTTAGATTTTTTTGCATATATTAAAAAGTTTTTTTTGTCCTAAGCATCTTTAATAATTTATTTTCTGTCTTGTAGTTCCCATCAATAAAAGTAAAAATTTGCGTGAAATGCCCCCCCCCCCCCCCCCCCCCCCCCCCCCCCCCCACTCAAATAGCAATTTTGTTATTTAGTTTCAGGTTTACAACAACACAAATAAAAACGTTTCAATCATTGTGTGCCTAATTGAGTTTAAGGAAAACACGAAGCAGGATGGGTCCACGAATGACTGGCTAATCTTCACCGCTAAACTTTTTTATACAAAATTACACATAAGTGTCAGTCTTCGCACAAGTGTTTCTTGATGCGACTTCAAAAAAAGGCCCAACTAAAAGCCCATTGTGAGCGCATAACTTGATATGTACGGAGAGAGGCATCGTTGAAAAGAGTAACAAAACCCTAGATTTCCCTTCCTCAGTCCGAACCCGGCGAAAACCCACCGGAAATGAACTGAGAAAACCGCCCCGATCGGAGAAGACTGAAGCGGAGTTTTCTCCGGTGAGTTTGCGGCGAAATGTTTTCCGTCACTGCGAAACATTATATTTGCTGCATAAATTTGAAAAATCGTTTTCCGTCACTGCGAAACACTAATTTTGTTGCTTAATTTGAAAAATCGGCTAACTGTTTCTTCAATGATGCGCGTTAAACACTGACGTCTTTGCTTTGTTATTCTTTCTGTGGAAATATACTAGGAATTTGCTATGGACGCTGCAGAATCTCGCCGCTTGATTGACTGGATGGAGAAAGGTTTTCTACTCTAACGATCATGACATTTCACTTGGACTTCTGTATCCTTGTTTGTCTTTGATGATTGTTTCGAATCTAGGTGTCTACGATGCGTTGCAGAGGAAATACTTGAAGACGATCATGTTCTGCATCTGTGAGACAGCAATAGATGGTCCGATGATTAAAGAATACGAATGTAAGTTTTGGCGAGGTGATTTGATTAACTTAATAATATAGTGTGATTTTCTGGTGGATGGTCCGATTAATTGATCCCTCACGCCTTCCTGTTTACATATATGGAACTTCCATTATCGATTTTTGATGAAGAGCCTGTGTTATTGCAGTCTCTTTCAGATACTCTGATTCTGATGTGCTGATGAACATCAATCCTACTGGACATAAGAAGCATGGAGTAACTTTCAACTCAATTGCTGCCATTACCCCAAATCAAATGAGGTATGGGCTATTGAGATATTTTTTTTCCCGACTTTGAGGTCTATTATATGGTTTTATCTTCCATAACATGCTTCACGAAATCAACAGGAGAGTAGCTTGCAAAATAGTTCGTAGACTTGTTCAGCTGATGAGTACTCTTGACAAAATGCCAGATGAGGTAATGGATCTTTTAACTGCTATCCTTCAGGCGTATCTTGTTAGAGTCAGTTTCCAGGTTGCTGATTATTACTTTTTTTTGCTTCTGCTCCAGCGTACCGTAGTGATGAAGCTTATGTACTACGATGATGTGACGGTATGATTATACCCTTCCTAGAAACTTGCTGATACCATTATGATCCTAGTGCAGCTTAAATAGTATATGAACACATACAAGCATCTTTGAATTTGTTGTCAGCCCTGTTCATCTTCTCTCCACTCTGCCAGGATTAACACTGAGAACTTTCACGTGAAATTTTTTGCAGCCACCAGATTACGAGCCAACTTTCTCCGGCTGTACAGAAGATGAAGCTCAGAATGTATTAACAAAGAACCCTCTAATCCTTATGATATCAATCCTAACTTACCATATCGCATATTACATATGACCAGCATAACTGGTGATAGAACTGGTTTCGAATTTCATGTACTCTGAAATTAGGATTGATAGAAGTAGTACATGTATTGCATGGCTATGAGGAGAGTTATAAGCCTCTGTGTCCTAGGTATTTATGTGAGAGAGTTCATCCAGAGATGTATGGAATAAACCTCACTGAAGATGCAGATAAAGATGACCACATGACACATAGTTGCTATCCTCTTAACTTGGAGCATGGATTGGCATATGTGGAGAAAGCTGGCATACCTGAAGAGACTGAGGTGGAGTTTAACTGCAATCATAAAAGGCCAACAGTTCGCAATGAAAAGCTTCATCATATCACGGACGTGTTTAGGTATGAGACTTTAGAGCAAGCATTGGTTCGTCTGAGACTCACCCTGTTGGTGCATCACTGCCGCTATACGAAGGATGGGAAAAAAAAAGGAATTTACCGTGGTCCATTTATGAAAGGTGCTGCATACATTGGTGAGCACGACGTCCTAATGATCGAGTTTAAAGAAATCGAAGGGGAAAAGGTGGTCCGTTGCAAAGCTAGCAACGGTAAAAAGATCGCCAATGGAGGATATTTTCTAGTTTCTGCTGAAGTAATGTTCATAGTAGTGGGCGCCGCAGCAAAAGAAGTTAGCAAAACTAAAACTAACGTGTGCTCCAAAAAACCTCAACATCTCCTCAGTGGATTCTTCTCTATAGGCATGGGAATAGGTAGTAAGGGACTACAATTCAAAGAGAAGAAAAGACGGGCAAAGAGAAACCTCGAGATGTTTAAGGTTGGTAGCTTTTGGATCATATTTTGATTTCAATGTTGCTTGCTATGTTAACGCTCTTATTTTTTTGTATATATATAATTAGGTCCATTATGCCAACTATACGGAAGAACATGAAATTGAAAGAGGGAGGAAGAAGGTGAAGAAGACATCTGAAGCTTGCCTTGGAAAGGATGTCACTGTTCCAGGTTGGCCTTTTGTGAATTCTGCTTTACGTATACAGATAATCTTAGGATATTTGTTGGATGCATCCTTAGAGGATCATTTCCTGGAAACTGTTGTGAAATTAAGTAACGAACTGGGAGACTGGAATTTTTGTTTCAGTATGTCTATTTGCGTTATCCGCAGGTAGTGAAGATGACACGAAGTTAGGAACAGTGATAGGGATAGATCTTGGAACAACATACTCTTGTGTTGGTTTTTACAAGAATGGCCATGTTGAAATCATCGCCAATGACCAAGGAAACCGTATTACACCTTCATGGGTGGGTTCCACCGACTCCGAGAGGCTCATTGGTGAGGCTGTTCAGGACCAGGCGGCTGTTAATCCTGAGAGAAGCATATTCGACGTCAAGAGATTGATCGGGAGAAAGTAAATCCATCCTCTTTTTTTGGTTTCTGTTCTTGGGAGTTTCTGTTTGTTTTGTTTCACCTTCCATTATGATTTTTCTTGTTGTGGCAGATTCGAGGACAAAGAAGTCCCAAAGGACGGGAAGCTTGTACCTTACCAGACTGTGAACAAGGATGGTGAGGGCAAGGTTTTCTCTCCTGAGGAGATGAGTGCGATGATTCTGACGAAGATGAAGGAGACAGCCGAAGCTTACCTTGGAAAGAAAATCAAGCACGCTGTTGTCACTGTTCCAGGTTAGCTTGATGTAAATTCTGCTCCATCATACGTTTTGGAGGGATAGATACAGTTTATAGATTCTTGATCCGGCGTTGGTTATGTGATGTGCAGCTTACTTCAACGATGCCCAGAGGCAAGCGACAAAGGATGCTGGCGTTGTCGCTGGTCTTAATGTTGTTAGAATCATCGACGAACCCATTGCTGCTACTATTGCCTACGGTCTTGATAAGAAGGGTGTTGAGAAGAACATCCTTGTATTTGACCTTGGTGGTGGTACCTTTGATGTCAGTGTCCTGACCATCAAGAATGGAGTGTTTGAGGTTGTCTCCACAAATGGTGATCCCCACTTGGGAGGTGGTGACTTATCACAGAGTTGCATGATCTGTACTACTTTGGTGAGAGCTTCATGTGCTAACCACCCGCTGTCTTTGTGCAGGTGAGGTCTTCAACCACAGGATAATGGAGTACTTTATCAAATTGATCAAGAAGAAGCACCAAAAGGACATCAGCAAGGACAACAAGGCTCTTGGTAAGCTCCGCGGGGAATGTGAGAGGGCCAAGAGAGCTCTTAGTAGCCAGCATCAAGTCCGTGTAGAGATCGAGTCTCTCTTTGGTGGTGTTGATTTCTCGGAGCCACTTACCAGAGCTCGTTTCGAGGAGCTGAACAGTGACTTGTTCAGGAAAACCATGGGACCAGTGAAGAAGGCCATGGATGATGCTGGTCCACTGAAGAGCCAAATCGATGAGATTGTCCTTGTTGGTGGAAGCGCTAGGATCCCAAAGGTTCAACAGCTGTTGAAGGACTTCTTTGAAGGGAAAGAGCCGATCAAGGGTGTGAACCCCGACGAGGCTGTTGCTTATGGTGCTGCTGTCCACGGTGGCATTTTGAGCGGAGAAGGCGGTGGTGCACCAGGTTCAGGAGGAGGAGGATGAGTCTGACGACGAGCTCTAAGATGTATTTAATGATGTTTGTCTTTCTCTTATGGTGAAGTTTTTGGAGTATATAAGAATGACAAGTCTTTCAATGGGTCTTACGGAAAGGGGAGAGAGATTAAGTGGTGTCCCTAGACTTTCGTTTTGTGTTCATATGATACATATCTTATTATTTCCTTATTCCCTAGACTTTCATTTATGATACATATCTGATTGTTTTCTTCTTCCAAACACCACACAAGTAAAGCCTATGGCAACAAAAATAGATATAGCACCAGACGCAATCACATGCACACTATACATATAGCACCGGAGGCGAAACACAAAGAGACCATCTTCAGCTCATGATCTTAAGCCTAAAAGTCAGAGAAACTACACTAAGACTGCAAATGTACACACTCTGCTTGTCCCCGAATTGGTCTGGAACTCTCTGATCCTACGGTCCCACAGGTGCGGCGTAGAAGCAGCCTTGATACACACTCCTCAATAGCCACAGCCTTCATGACCATCCATTTTTTCACAGTTTGATAGAGAGAGAGAAAGACGACAGGTGTGGTCACTTGAATTCGGGAAGAAGGTGAGAGCAAAGTTGACGAGCATGTTTGGCAATCAGATTAGATCTGACTTTCTACAAATAAGAGGTTAAGGTTTAAACTGACAACCAAACACCCTTTTTGGGCTCGTCTCTGATATTGGCAAGTTATACAACTGGAGACGGTCTGTTTCACTTCCCTCTTGCGATTTTCTTTAAACGGTCTGGAAAGTCTCCTGATATTCATCCAAATCGAATTTCAGAACCCTAGAAATCATCTCGTTTTCCTTAGGAAATTCGATTCCTGCTAACAGCGAAATCCTTGTCTTGCTGATCAGGATAGTGTGTTTCCTATGAATTCTTCGCTGCAGCACCACTAAATTAGCCGCGAGAATTCAAAGCCATGTCCGGATCACTGATCCCTGGATCGAATCCGGATCGGGTCTCATCGCCGTCGAGCTCGAAGTCGGTGACGCAGACGGTGAACGGGTCGCATCAATTCGTGATACAAGGGTACAGCTTAGCGAAAGGGATGGGTGTGGGGAAGCACATAGCGAGTGACAACTTCACGGTCGGAGGCTACCAGTGGGGGATCTTCTTCTACCCGGACGGTAAGAATCCGGAGGATAGCTCTTCGTACGTCTCTGTCTTCATCGCATTGGCAAGCGAGGGCACCGAGGTCAGGGCTCTCTTCGAGCTCGCCCTTGTTGACCAGAGCGGGAAGGGTCAGCACAAGGTTCATAGCCATTTCGAGCGCTCACTTGACAGTGGGCCTTACACCCTCAAATACCGAGGAAGCATGTGGTACGTTTTTTTCACCTGCGTTTTGCTCATCGTTCTAGTTTATCTTGATTACAACGTTCCATGGTTATCGAAATAGTCTACAAATTCGTAATTAGCTCGTTTGTGGGATACGTTTTCTTATTGGCTTTCCATAGCTTTCTAAATTCATGCATGTTAGATGATTTCTGGTGAGGAAGGAACAACTACTTTTAGATTAGGGTTTGCAGGACTTCGTATTAGGATCACAAGGACTGGCTTGATTGGCTTACTGGTTTTAATATGAGCCTTGTGATGGGATTCTATGGTAGATATGTGTTTACTGGGTAACAAGGAGGAGAAATATGTGAATATGATTTCATGAATTAGAATATGCATCATATCAATCTTAGGGTCTTGACAGAGAGATGTGCTCGTTGCCCTATTGAGGATTCCTGGGCTTGCTTGGAAGTGGCATTGCCATTAGTGTCTGCTAATAATAAATCTATATATGAATTCTGCCAGTGCTGCATGTTGTTCTATGTTGGTGGTATAAAGCATGAAAATTGAAGAATTCAGCTAGTCATAGTCAGTGTAGTTACATTCCTCCGACTCATGAGTGATGTGGGCTCTTGCTCCTCCCATTCCAAAATCTTGTTTTTGAGAAGAATGTTGTGGCAAAAAGAAGGATATGGGTGATTTTATGTTCATGATGCGAAAAAAAGTTAATGCGAAATTGATGATTTATATGGCGTTTAGCCAACTGAATTATCTGAGTGTATCTAGACACAGCCTTAGCTTAAGTCTTAATTGGAAATGTTTTCTTAATATCACTGGAGAAGTTGTGTCTTCTGTACTTCCAGTTTACTTTGATCCTTCTTAAAGACATATTTTTGATTTTCTCCTCTCCTTTATCTTTTGCTTAAGATCTGCAAACTCAAGATCCTCAAATTCTCTTTGCCTCTTATTGGTTTGATTAGGGGATACAAGCGTTTCTTCAGACGTAGCTTGCTTGAGACATCTGACTTCCTCAAAGACGATTGCTTGAAAATCAACTGTACGGTTGGAGTTGTGGTTTCAGAAATACAGTGCCCACGGTTACACTCTGTTCACGTCCCTGATTCAGAGCTTGGATCACATTTTGGAGTTTTACTGGATAGCATGGAAGGTTCTGATGTCACCTTTGACATTGCTGGCGAGAAGTTTCCAGCTCATAAACTAGTACTGGCTGCTCGATCTCCATTTTTTAAGTCTAAATTTTTCAATGAGGTTGATGCAAGCAATACAGAGGTCACAATCAACGATGTGGAACCTAAGGTTTTTAAGGTATATCATCATTGGTGGTTATTCTTTTTACATGTTTCTGTTTGCTCAGATCGTGCCTATATTTAATTATTTATACTATGTGCCTTGCAGGCTTTGCTACAATTCATGTATAAAGATTCACTTCCGCGAGATGTGGAGCCTCTGACAACTCGTTCATTTGACATCTTAAAGCTGCCTGAAATATACGAGACGTTGATTGTAAAGCTTTTAGCAGCAGCGGACAAGTACGAGCTGAAAAGGCTGAGATTGCTGTGTGAATCTCACATCTGCAAAGGCATATCAGTCAAATCCGTTGCCAAGATCTTAGCGTTGGCCGACAGATACAATGCTAGGGAACTAAAAAATGTGTGCCTAAAATTTGCTGCCGAGAACCTAGCAGGTATGCTTCTGCATCATCGCATTTTGAAATTGGGATAATCCGGTTTCGGTGTAGAATCGAACTTGTGTTGTGTTTGAATTTGGTGGGACTTGAATATTTTGCAGCCGTCCTTGAGACAGACGCTTATCAGCAGCTGAAGGAGGAATGTCTGTCCCTCCAGTCGGAGCTTCTGAAGGCGGTGGCTGGTTACGAGGAAGGCAGCAACAGTACCGGAGGAGCCAAGTCTCAGAGCGTGTGGGCCCAACTATCAGACGGCGGTGGTGGTGCCGATGCCAGCAGCCGACATGTAAGACAACGAACCACCTAGAGCGGCCGACATATGTATTTTCTCAGGTTAATAACCATAGAGGGGGTATATAGTTTGCTTTTTCTGTATTATTTTTTTACCGATTTTCACAATGTTTTTGTGGACTACTTTGAAGTATATGATCCTAACTCTTTATGATATGTAGGTAAAAAAAAAGGTTTCTTACATTTCACGTCAGTAATAGTTTCATCATATCTTTATGATCCTGTTCGTTTATCTCATATATATAACAGTTTCACATCCCATAAATTCCAGACATGAAGAAGTGTTTTTTTGTTATGTACTCGAAACATTCTTGATATTTACGGACCCAGAAGCTTATATATGTGCTTGTAAAATTAAGCTTTGAGTTCTATATTGCTTATCACATTTACCTTTTGACGTTGAGTAAGACAAACATCACTCATGTTTATGTAGCAAGCAACTCATGATAGTCATGGTCAACAATAAAACGCAACTCAAGTGCTGAAGTAGCGAATTCCATAAAAACATAAAACAGAGAGGCCAATCAACGCCCACGGAAAAACAGAGAGTCTAAGAAACAAAAAACAAAAAAGATGAAAAAAAAAATCATAACACCACCAATTTTGGTTTGTTAATTATTTATTAGAGAAAAAAAAAACGAAAGTAAAACTGTGATTCAGCAGAAGAACATTGAAGTTTCAACATTCTTGTGCAGCTTCGGCAGGGGAGGCACCGGGACTGGTTCAGATGTGGTGATTCCGCTATGGATCGATTGTTTCTCGGAGCTGTCCTCAAATTTCATCGCAGTTCCCATCTGCGTAGCCGCCAAATGCGCATAACGTATCGGCGCAACTGTGAAAACAAGAATGAGAATTTGAGTTGTTACCTTATGCATCGCTTAAATACTAATCAACTTGTGCCATTTATTTTAATCTAAACAAAAGCAAAAACTCTAATCACACATACTTACCTACAGAGATGGCAGTTGTGCTCCGCTGATACCTACCAGTATCAAAAAACCAAACAGTTAAAGAGATCATTGGCTATTTTAATAGACAGAAATGTTTTAAAAACTTTAAAAAAGTGAGATGATGCTTACACATAGGATAAAGAGTGGACAAGTTCTTGGAGATCATCTGTCGAAAATCCAATCTGGTCGAAGAGCACATGGTAATGCGTTGGCCTTGTAGTTCCCTAACACATCGAAGAAACCATATGTTCAAGTTTCTAATTAGATTTACAAACGGATTCGAGCATATGACTTTTGTTTTGCACACTTACAAGAAGTCCAGCATGAGCACAAAGATAGAAATCGTTGTTGCGTGGATCGCAGATCTTGCTGTCAATTATTGTTCCTAAAGAGGTAAATATACGAAACAAGTTACTATATTTCAATAACAAAAAAAACAAAAAACAATCACGGTTTACGAAAATGGATTTTTAAATATTTTGTACCTGCGGGAACATTTTCAGGTCGATTTCCCTGGAAGAACTTGGTGTGGTGTTTTTTCTGAGCAATGATCACTGTAAACTTTGGATCCCACGTCTCATCCAAAAACTTGCATGCCTAATAATATAACCAAAATTACACGTTTAAACTCCATAAATGTCTAACGTAGGCTAAATAATAAGAGTTCCAAAACCAAAAAAAAAAAAATGATATACTTACTTGCATCATCTGATCTAGTTCAATATTAAGAACTTGGTTAAACTGAGATTCACCCACACCATCCCTACATGTATGTATTATCATTCTAGTTGAGTTAGCAATAATTTTTTTATTAAACTACTTTCACAAGATCTCTAGATTATATGCATACCTGAAAATGATAATGTGTTCTGGTTTCCTCCCACAAGAGGAATAAAAATCACGCAAGGCCTCCCTGTAAAACAGCATTTTGGTCTTTTTTAATCACACTTGTAACTAAAGAATTTTTTTACCATTCACTTTGAAAATATTATTACCTCATAATACCATCGTCATCTTTATCAGAGACGCGGTTAAAGAGATTTTCGATCATTTCGACTTTAGGTGACTGTGTACGCACAAAAGCCCTGTATCTTGAGATCAATGGCCATTCTCTTGAGCTCACAACCTATATATGCATTCAAGATATTAGTACATGGGAGTACACCACAAGAAATTAACAGTTTAAAAGCATGCAAAAATATAATCAACGTTACCGCAGAAATTGATGGTGCATCATCAGACTGTAGTGGAGAACCATGAGATACATCCATCCCAATAATGATGGTAGGAACTCTCATCACTGAAGGTATTCCTCCTGATCTCTCAATAGCTAACACTGAATTCAATCCACCAAGCTATATATACAGAAACATGTCAAGATATATCAGAAAACTATACAATGTGTAAAAGATGTGACTGAGTCTAAGTGATGATCACCTTGGCATTTATCTTGAGGAGAATATTTGTGATGTACTGATCGTTTACGTTGCGTTGAGGAGCCATGCATTGATTCACGATTCCAGATTCAACTAGAATTTTCTTTTTCCAAGGACCTAATGGAGTTTGGTCATATGAGGAATAAAAAAACAAAAGTATATATACTATAAATGATTCAACTAGTAATGTTTCAAGTGCTTAGTGTTACCATAAACATCAGAGTTTTTCCTTTCTGGGAGTATGCAAAGAAGGAAGTTTGGAAGCTTTGGGATTACTGATGTCATCTGTTCAAACATCTTCTCCACTCTTACAGAACCAGGTGCATCCTTAAACTGAGGATTCTCTTCAATGATAGTAGGAAATGGATAATCTATGTTCTGAGATGAAAATAGTTTTGTTATTAGTGTTCTTATTATCGCAAGCCAAAGATGATCCTGAAGAAAAGAAAAAAGCTTACAACTCCTTTCATCCTTCCGCATCTGACCAAATCTTCAATAATCTTGTACGGGTCACACCGAGCAGAGAAGTTCACAACAGCCCATTTAGTAACTGTTGCTGGTTCAGCAAGTTTCTGCACAAGAATAGAAATCTTTGAATTAGTATTACAAGTTTTTCAAACATCTAATGGAAACTCAAAACAGCTAATTTAAGAAGCAAGAAAGACCTTATGATTGAAATTCCAACGCCCATTCCTAGGCAAGAGGTCCTCTCCATAGCCCACTTTTAGCTGTTTTGTGATTAAGAGATCAGAGATAATCATAATAGTAACATCAAATCATCCATAACCAAGAAATGAAAGAGCATATGGTAAGAAGAATCACATTTGGTGTTGGTAGCACGTGGCCTTCCACTTGAGTGAAGTCAGAGCCAATGATGACACCACATTCTTGAAACATTGGGTCATCGTTATACTTACTGTTCTTCAGAGCCTGCAAGATTGAAAGTTTGAGTATAAATAGTAAAAATTTGAAGATATAATAATAGAGGGATATATAATTGGAAAACTAAAGATCTTACAGTGTTTAACACATTCATCTTGTCTTGTGGCTTCTGTATTGATTCTCTGAGTAGATTAGTCCTCTTATAACTGGTAAGAGCTTTCGTATAGCGTTGTAGAGAAACAAGATGACAGAGCTGCAAATGTTATATAAGAACCAAACAAGGAAAGTGTTATTCATCATCATAAGCCATTAAACCTTAAAATTTGAGATTATCTGTTTTAATGTTTCCTCAGATGTTACCTCAATGGGAATGTAAGTAGGAGGACGCTTCGGCCTACCAACATTGATGCAAGGAAATTCAGCTGAATCATGGAGTATGATTTCATGGTGTTTCTTGTAGTAATCAAACACACTAATCTCAACCTCCTCTACATCCCCGTCTCCTTTCTTTTGCTTCCAGATAAACCTATAATTCAAAGAAAAGAGCTAACTTGATAACCTAATCAAAGCAATGAATCTGAAACATGTTATCAGTTCAGAACATACGTTTGATCTTTGCAGCGTAATCCACTTAGTCCTGTGATCTTGTATTCATTGTTTGTGGTGATGACTTTAACTCTAAGATTCTTGAGAGTACGTTCAGCCTAAAATGATAGAGATAAAAAAATAAAATTCAGATGTTTAAGTACCTTCACACGCCTCAAAGATATTAGTAAAACACCATTGAAGTTCCTCCAAGTACCTTTTTCCAATCAATAGAGAATGGATCTTGCACGCCTTGATTTGCAAGAAGGTAACTACCAACAGGACCAGCTTTTACTAACAACGTAGCCGAAACATCTAATGAGAAAAAGAAACCAAAATGTTACAAAGAACAATTTTGCATATAAAATGAAAAAAAAAAAAAAAAAAAAACCCTAGGAATATACCAATATTGAGGGATAAGCCTCCCTGAGTAGTTCTGAAGCTTGAATGGAATCCTCTGCATAGATGAACACCTTCATAGTCTTTCGAAAAGTACTTTACGTCATTGTGGAAGAAAGATTGATTAACAAGGAGGCAACCTCTGCGCAAAACAGATACATAACAACATGAACATGAGAATACAAAGTGACATCATGCAAGATAATAAAAAAGGAATTATCATTTTTAACATACTTTTTAGCTGCGTTCTGGCGCAAGATAACATCAAGAACTCTTAAAGAATCTTGAACATGATTTGTTTCCTTTCCTTGAAGAGCACCACCTTTAATAGATTGGATTGAGATCTTTGCAGCAAAGGAGATTTCAACGTTGAAGGTCCTGGATTGGTTAGGACGCCTTAATCTTTTCATGTCCTCGCCATTGGTCCCAGCAGTTCTCGTAGAAGACATGTCTTCAAGAAGAACATTGAAGTCTAGTTTTCTGCGGGGAAGAGGACCGACAGTGAAGAGAATCGCCTCGCCATCATATGCAAAGTTTTTGGAACCCAAAGCGCTTTGATAGGTCTCCTGAACTTTTGCAAGAATCTGTCTGCCAATACCTTTAGCTTCAACAGGACTCCCATCTTCGTATTTGATAACAACCTGTAATATCCAATGAAACAAAAGAGACAAATGTAAATAAGAACATTTTCAAAGCAGTGATGGGGATAAGACATTAGAGAAAGAAAAGACAAAAGAGAAGCTTACGCTGTATTGGAAGAAATCTTGAGTTTCGACGTTGGTGAAGTTGACTCTAAAGTGGCTGGTAAGAAGATGAATCTTCTGACCTTTGGAACCGTTGCCAAGACGAGCCATTGGAAGAAGATAACTCTTGCTCGGATCCATTTCTGGAGTAGCAAAACCCAACAAGGTCACGATTTATTACAATCTTTAGGAATGAGGAAGCCAGTCAACAAAACATAGATAGCATATAAGGACTGTAGCCTAACTGTCTTTGTCTTTATTTTCCTACATTTGGAGATTCTTTTGCACATCTGACCAATCAAAAAAAGAAATGATCTTCTCCTAAATGCTTACTACTCTGTAATAGATTAAAATTAACATAAGTCACTATATTTGACTTATTTCACAGTTTTTAACATTTTAAAACATCAAGCTGTATATAATAAAAATTGTGAAATGAGTCAAATTTAGTGATTTATATTAATTCAATGTATTATAGAGTAGTAAGCATTTAGGAGAAGATCATTTATTTTCTTGATTGATCAAATGTGCAAGAGAATCTCTAAATGTAGGAAAATGAAGAAGGTTTGGTTCACGTCCTTACATGGGTGCTACGGGTCTTTGTGATTTCTGCAATGACACAGAGAGTCGAAACCATTTGTTCTTTGACTCATGATGGGACAGAATCATCAAGCTCTTCATTGACACGACATAAGATTCAGTTCATCTCTTCCTTTCGAGGTATACATAATACATTACACTCAATTTGGAGAAACATGGGGAACCATCGAAACATGCTATCATCAATTCGAAAAATGAGAGATAATCGATACCAAGAAGAAATGCAAACTTGGTTGAAGCAAAGCATGTAAATTTATTTTGATTTGATTAATTTGATCTTTCATAAACTCTCGATAAATAGAAGTATTCACTGTGATAACGTCTTTTGTTAAGTTTAATACATTTATGTGTGGATGGATACTTCTATGACAAGTTAATTGAAAAAAAAAACATTTTTACAATGAATACTTCTGTATTTTTTTAGAGTTTAATACATAATAACGTAATGTTAAGAAATTTCCATCAGCAAAACAAAACTCATGTGAACAAGAGATGGAATAATCTTTCCTCTAAACCCTTTTTCATCTTCTTCTTTTATTTTCCTGTAACTCCCATCTAAACTGCATGCAATCAGAATCAGATATATTCGAAAACCGAATCGTATACAAGTGCAGAACAAGTGGATACACCGTCATACACGTTGGAATCGTATATATATATTAAGCTATAACATTATACTATATGAATAAATGGTTATAAATAACTACAAATTTAATGCATCAATTTTAAACAATTCCACCTAATCAAAGTAAAATATCCAAAATCCCATCTTCATTCTAAATAAAATCACGTAAAACTCTTTGTTGTCTTTAGAAAAAATCATCAAACCTAAATTTTCATAAACAGATTATCAAGAGTTCACTGATTGTATCAAAATCCGAAACTTTATGAGATTTTGAAACTCAAAGAACTTTTGTGGAATTTTCTCTTACATCTTTCTTTATGAATTTGTTTCCCTGACTAAAAACAAACGTTTCCGAAACATATGAATTGAAAAAGCTTTGCTAGCTCAGTTTCCATCAAATCATAAGTCCCAACTTTGCTAGCTCAAAGCCTATAAATGTGCTCAAGGTTTCAAAAGTTGCTTCACAGGGACAACGAATCACATTGCTTAGGCTTTCCCCTTCCCGCTTGCCCTTCGTTTTGTATGCCAGGCTCGGTTCCTATCGCCATTGATGGGGTTCTTATGAGCAGCAATGGAGCATTGGTCAGGCCTTCCACTCTTTGCATTCATCTCCATCTGCATCCTCCTTCGTCTCATCCTGTTCTCCAGCCTCATTCCTTTCAGAGCTCGAGCTCTTCGCTCTGTCTCCAACGCCTGTGTGAAGTTCCATATCCGGACTATGCCTTCTTCACCTCCGCACACTATACGGTCACAACCCACGTCCACAGAGAACAAGTTTGACCCGAACCCGTGCAGCATTCTTTGTGGCGGTTCCACAGTACTCGAAGAAACCCTTTTGGATAACGCACGACGATTATTAGTCTTCAGCAACTTCCTGACGTCGATAAGCGCGAGCTTACCGTCACCAGATGCTGAGACAAGCCAGGGAAACTCGAAAGAAAGAGAGTACACAGGACCAGTGTGAGGCATCCATTTAGATATGAGTACAACGCTCGTCTCAGTACCGTATTTTCTGATCTCAAACATTTTGATTCCTCCGTCTTCTCCACCGGTAAACAGGAAATTCCCACTATGGCTTCTCGCCAGGGAGTAAGTGTTACCTTCATGAACATCATGGATGATCGCCAGTGGAGTCTCACTGCTAATGTCCCAAATGTATACATCCGAACCCGAAGCACAAGCAATGCTGGTTTCATGAGGTGCAAGCCCCCAAACCCAATCACTATGCCTCAACGTTTTGATACATTTCATCGAGGACCGATCCCATATACGAACAGACATGTCCCATGAACCGCTATAGATATTCGCCATGTCCAGGGCAAGAGACGTAACAGGACCCTCATGTTCCCACAGGCGAAACTCGGTCTTCTCTTTCTGAAAACCCGTGAGGTCAAACAGGTTCCGGAGACCATCCACTGATTTCCAACAATGTATAAACCCATCAGTACCACCAGCTACCAAGAGCTTCGTATCAGCCGCAACAGCTCTGATTGTGCAACCAAGCGGTTTCGACGCTGCGATGGACAAGCCTTCTTCCATGTCCCACATCCGAACAACGCAATCATATCCCGAAGTGAAAACGAGCTTGGCGGAAGCCAAGAGGAAAACAGTGCGAACTGCTTCAGTGTGGCCATATAGGGTATCGATGGTATATCGTCCTAAGAAGGTCTTGCTCCTGAATTCCCTCTCAACAAAGAGCTCTTTCCACGATTTCTCATCAGAGAATCCGGAACTTCTAACCCCTAAAACCACGGGGAGACCCCATCTCTCGCAGTAGAATTCCTTCCAAGCATGGTGCTCCGATGCTAAACTATGCAGACTAGTTGAAACGCAAGACACTAGACCTAACTCTTTTGGGTCAAGGCAGTCAAGAATCTCAGAGATCAGCGCCTGAGGCAAATCAATAATGGAATACCGATGAGTAGTAGTAGTAGACAGGTCCTTTTCAGAGCTGAGCAACTGTTTCGAGCCACTAGGCGCCAAAGTTGGCTTCTTTTGCTGTAAACATTGATTCACACTTGGAATCTCCACAGACCCATTTCCAGTTCTCAACTCCGAGTTCGGAAGATCAAGCTCAGTTCTTTGTTCGGTCAAACTCTGAGACTCAAATGCCATGAAATGCCAGACAGCGTCCGATGTAGCTCCAAACACCCAAAACAAGGAGCTTCTCACGAACGACCCTGGCCGGATCTGAAAAATCTACAGCTCCGGAAACAAATCCAGCTAAGCTTGAAGAACAAAAACGAGAAAACGATTCAATTCAGCCGAGCCAGAATAAATAAAAATTCGATTTTTCCATTACACGAGTACCCGAAAATCGATTACAATCAAAGCCCAAGAAAAAAAGGATAAATCAGAAATCGAGACAAGTTACGTACCTCAAGTAATCAAAACAAGGCACTCGTAACAGAGAAGAGATTTTCGCCCAAACTAACGTTGCCCTAATTTCTCTGATTGAATTTGATGGGATGAAGATTGAGAACCAACCGCCAAGCAAAGACTGGGATTGCCAAAATTTCTTTTTTATTGTTTTATTATTTTTATGTTTATGGTCTTTCAACGGTGGTAAAATAACCGTCGGATGGAAAATATATCGGACGATGCAGATCGTACGTATATATATCTACATTGGTCAGTTTTATTTTACAGGTGCACAAATATTTGATCCTATTTTTGCTGCGTTATTTTTTCAAAGCTTCACATTCCATATTTTGGCCTCCTTCTCTCTCTCTCACAAGCGATCAAGTCTCCGCCTTCTTCCCCCAAAATGTCTGATTCTTCCTCTAGCCATGACTCTCCACCTTCTCCGGCCATCACCGGCGACTCAGAAACCACCGTGGCCAACGAATCTATACCATCCGATTCCAATGCGAAATGTCAAACAGCTATACAATCCCTAGCATCCATCGTCACAACCACAAATATCCCCTCCACAATCTCTCTCCTCCTCGACGATGACGCCGTCTCCGCCGCGATTTCCTCTCTTCTCCTACGACCTGATTCAGGCGCCGGCGACAATAACCTCTGCCGTTGGCTTTACGATACATTCCAATCCGCGGAACCGTCTCTCCAGCTTCTCGTCCTCCGTTTCGTTCCTTTGATCGCTGGCCTCTACCTCTCCCGCGTCCCTCTCCGGAAACCGCAAGCCGGATTCGAAGCCGTCTTACTCGCTCTCTACGCGCACGAGACAACCTCACGCGCCGGTCAGGCTCTCACCGTCAACATTCCCGATCTCTCGCACCCCAGCATTTACCACGAATCCAAAGGTCCCACGAGGAACAACTCGACGTGCCTCAACATCGCCGTCATCTCCTCCACGCTCGATCCACACGGGACGGTGAGATCCACACGCCGCGCGAGGATCGTAGGAGTCGCGTTGGAGCTTTACTACAGCAAAATATCGAGGATGCCTCGCGAATCCAAGCTCAACTTCTGCGAATCCTGCGAGAAATGGGCGGGACAAAACGGGGAGACGGAGCAATCACGAGCTGTGATCCCTACCTTGAGCGACGATTCACGGAGAGAAGAAGAGAATGTCGCCATGGGAGGAAGATCCGAGAGAGACAGCGGAAGGATTCCACTGCCATGGGAGCTTGTGCAACCAATTCTGAGGATCTTAGGGCACTGTCTCCTGGGGATCACAGTGAAAGACAGAGAAGTATCGGAGGCGGCGAATAAAGCTTGTCAGAGTTTATACCTCCGATCACTTCACGATATAAACCCGAAGGCGATTCTTGCTACAGGGAGTCTTCTCCGGCTACGGGAGATGGCTCTTGATCCCAAAAACCAGATCGACCACACTGACATATCAAACGACACCGTTCTCTCCACCTGACCCATCGTTTTGCTTTCTTTCTTTTTCAGTCAACGATTATTTTGGATTTGTCAATCCCAAAAAAAAAACAAGCTTTTTTTGTAATGAATGTAAGGAGAGGCCACGTTCTTGTTTTAATGAGTACTATGAAGACGAACCCTCGAAACAAATTGCTGGAAAAAATCCTTCAAAAGAGAGTGAATATAGCGTTGACCAAATAAAATAAGACAAATTATGAAAATGTGTGATTATTACTCAAGGAAAAAGATCCTGCAAGTCGATGATGTCTGCAAGAACACCGGCTGCAGTCGTGTCGTTCCCGGCTCCAGCACCTTGAATCACCAAAGGCTGCTCTTTGTAGCAGCGGCTATATATCTCTACCTGCAGTTTTCCAATCAAATCAATTATTTTTACTCACAAAGACAATCCAGAGGTGAACGTTGGTGTTCTTGCGATAATGTGAGCAAATGAACCAATCTCTAAATATCAGAATCTCATGTGTGCGATTAAGTGATACGCCGTTTAAACCAAAGTTTATGTGTTCATTTTTTCGTATATGAGGTGGTTCAGAAAGGATTGACAAATAGAAACTTATAACAAACTTACTATATTGTCACTGCCTCTTAGTCGTCCCAATGGCGAATCTTTTGGAACTTCTCGAATACCAACTTGAACGCTACAGAGAGACCGTGAATTTTAAAATCAGACAATCCCGACAATGTACATGGGTGATCTCTCTAGCTAACAATCAAATTAGCGTTGAAACAAATTTCTTGAAGGTATTGAATGTTGACTCTACCATAATAAAAATTGGAGCTGGGAAATAGCGAGAGTAAAGGTAATTATTACCTTGAGTCCTCAATCACACAGACATAACGAAGCACACACCCGTTTGATGAAGCTCTTTTAACTCTCTCCTCAATGTTCTGATCAAGTTTTACTATTCCATTTTGGAGGAAATCATCCACGGACATGAGTCCAGGCCCCATCACCTCAGGGTACAAGCTCTCTATCTACAAAGAAACAATGAAAACTACGAAAATTATTTCAGGAGAAAAACGGATCAAAGAAAGTCTTGTTATCGAGAAGGCAGAAGCAAAGCTCAAACAAGTGTGAGTCTAAAGCCCAGTTCGAGCTTCATTGTTAAAGACGAGAGTTACTTCACTAAACTTAAGTCACAGCATCGAATTCGGAAGATGGAAAATGAAAAGCTTCGGATGTGGTTCACACCTTTATGCTATCCATAATTAATCTCTTCCCAAGGAGCCGAGCAAGAATCAAAGCCTACCATGAAAGAAACAGACAAAATTGAGAATCACAGAAGTTCATAATGGTTATACTGATTCTCGTCAACCAAAAAAAAACAAATGCTTGAAATGAAAAATCCAGGATAATTTCGATGCATAGTATTTTAATCGCATGTGCTAGGGGTTTAATTTCCTGATGATTTGCAAAAGACTGTTCACATAACCACCAGACAAATCATGACTGCTTTTATGTACATTACTCGAAATCGGTGAAGAAAGCAATCTACATAACATGCACATGCACTCTAACTCTCACAAGAGACACTATATTTACGTCCATACCTTTCTAGCAACATCCATGCCACTGAGGTCATCGCGTGGATCTGTGAAGCAAACGATACAAAAGATCATCTTAAGTTAATACGTGTTTCATCCTCAATGTGCCTTGTAATTGAAATAGTTAGAACATTCAAATATTCTTTTTGTTTTTATATATTACTGGAAGGTTTTCCAAAGACTAAACCTAATTCTGCTGCAGTATAAGGTCAAAGCAAGTTCGAGACTATTATCAATCTACAAAACAAATTATGGAATATAGGAAAGCAGATAAAGCGATATCTACTTAAAGAAGACGCCTGTCAATCGGACGAACGAAGATATTGATTACACGAAACTGGAAAAAAACCTGGTTCAGTGTACCCCAGTGTTTTAGCGGCTTGAACAACTTGGCTTAGAGGCTTGCCATCTTCAAGTTCACTCATTACATACCCCAAGGTACCTGTCATAAACCGAGCACGTATACAAAGATTCATAAATAACTGATAGATACAAAAGTTGGAATAAGAACAATGAACAACATTTAGAACACTATAACAGTAGAAATGAACTGCATTTGAAATGTGATTACCGCTCAAACTACCAACAATCCTATGAACAGGATCTCCAGATGAAATTATACGGTTCAAAGATGCGATGACAGGAAGACCAGCACCAACCTATAGAAAAAATAGGCGCAAAAGCTTCAACAATGATCACTACCTATCATATATAGCCAAGCATAACACCACACCTATGACTCAGTCATAGGAATGAAATTAGATATATGGTGAAGAGATCATTTTTACATCTACTTTCATTTTCAAAAGACTAGAAATTGTGAATTGATACTGTCACTCTAAACAGAAGATGTGTTTCACGTACAGTAGATTCGTGGCGGATTCGTCGCAGATGCAAAACCAATTTATCGTAATGTTCCTGCGTATAAGACAAGATGAGAGAAAATATGAGTCATGTCTAACTACTTGATGCAACTTTTTTTTAGCTGTCCTCTACTATCTCGAATAAAACCAAAAGAGAAGAGAAACAGCTACGGTGTAAAGTTTGACGCCTATGCTTGCAAATTCATAACATAAGCAGAAAATGCATAGATGCTTACCAGTGTTGAAGTAAGAGGCTTCTTATTTGCCAAGACAACAGAGCAACCCAAGTCGACTGCCTTCATCAATAATTCAATCGTTTCCATTGTGGCAGAGCAATCCACAACAGCTAAGCCTACAGCAAATACATGGCTTTAATCTATAAGAATCTCACAGAGCCATGTCATGACCCGCGACAATTGTATTTTCAACCTTAAGTTTGGCACAAACCTGTAGATTTTCCCAGAAGTTCTGCAATTTCTTCTGCTTTCTTTCTTGACTCGGAACCATTGAACACTCTAAATTCACCTTTTTCTGGGATGGGAAACAGATATGATCATTCCGCTTATAAATCCATAAACAAACTCGAGATGAAACCCGATAATAGTTCAAAATGATTACCTAAAGCACCAAACGTCGATAATGGAGAACCAGTCGATTTGATACGGCAAACTTCTGACAAGAATTTATCATTCAGTTCTTCATTGAGCACATCAGCTGGAACAACTAAGGATTTACTGTCACATACTCCAATCACACGTAAATGAACTCCCTGATGAACGGAAAGAAATACAAAAAAAAACATGAATTCATGATATTCACAATATTTGGGGATTGATTTCAACGAACAAGGAAACTCGAGGTAAGGGGAAAATCCAGAAGCCGTGATTCATCATTACAAATTCAGAAACCATACATCAACAACATCAGTTTCGGATTCATTCGTCGATGAGAAATCGAGAGAAAACTAGTGAGTGCATACGGACCATTTTGGCGTGAAGCGATCGACAAGAGACGATGTGTTGAAGAAGGTGACGGCCAACACCTCCACAGCCCATGAGAAGCACCGGGATCTTCTTCATCCTCGATTTCGTCTTCTTCTTCTTCTGTTTCTACAGCAGCTTTCCTTCGCTTTCCGGGTTTCTTGTTGACTACTGAGCCTGAGTGACACTGGGGAGCGCTAAGAATTTCGCAGCGTTTCAGAGACGCGTGTAATCGCTCGCACAGCGTTTTACTTCTTTGAATAACCTGGTCAAATAAAAGAACGGTAGAGATTACGATTGGGTGAAATTCGTATACGTGGCTGAACATCTGATGAAGGACTACGTAGTTGCAGTAGATTACGCTATAGCAGAGACAGTAATCGGGTTTAAGGATGTTCGTCGAATGGGCGGACCCAACCCATTTAGATCGCAATGGACCCAACCCATTTAGATCGCAATTCCATTAAAGCCCATTTGAGATCAAACACAGATTTGAGAGAAAATTTGAATTTTAATGAAATTTTAGATAATTTTATGTGGATTTGAGAAGTTGATAAGATTTGATATTAAAATTATATGAAATTCTACCTAAAACAATGGGATTTGGTTTTCTATATTTTTAACTAACAAATTGCACCAAATCATTTAAAAGTACTCAATATTTTGTAAAATTCAATATTTAAATTATTTTCAGTAACAGTGAATTTGATTTGGTTTTTACAAATTCTTGATTGAATAATATTGATGTTAAAGTGATTTTAATTGGTTTTATATAAATTTCATGTTCAATAACATGGATTTTGGTAAGACATTTAAAAATCATTAATTGAATAACATGAAATTTTTAAATAACCACAAAGTTTTCTAAAATTTCTGTTTCGATACACCCCCATACTAAGTAACGGTGAAGAAGATAGGCATTATACATACACAAAAGTTAATCGTCATGTTTGTTTGATTTATTCGTGAACATCCAAACTATCAAATAAATATGTGCTTCTAATATACAAGCGATTGATATATTATTTTGGAGTTCGAGATTATCATTTTACTTGTTAATCATATAGTTATAATCATTTACATGTATTATTAAACGAGATGTGTTAAGTTTCATACCTGATTGTTTTTCGATACTCTTTGCCATTTGCTAATAGCAAGTTAGCAACATGTGCCATTTGCTAACAGGTTAGATAAAGCGTTTCGTAAATCTACTTACCATCGGAAACATTCATCTCTAATGTTTTAGTTGTTCAATCATTCAGCTAATAATTTAGCATTCTATTATCGCATAATTTAAGAGCTTCACGTACCTGACTTACTTCTTATGCATGATCAAAGAAAACCTTTTATGTTTGTATTCATTACCTTTTGGCAGAAAATCAATTCAATAAAGAAATCTATTGGATGCATGACTCATACAATCTCGCCGATGTTGAAATATTTAATCTTTTGAGGCACAATTGACTTTATGGTCATTGTGCATTCGCCGTTAACAGAGAACTAGTTAGACAGAGAACTATCGAGCAAAAGTTCAAGATAACAAATGAATTTTTTAAAGAAATGATATAAGATCAATGGAATGGTCTTATAAATGGTTGGGTGAATGGGTGGAAGCAAGCAGCTGAACTAAAGTCTCTTTCTACTTGCTCAAGAGATGATCGAAGTGGATGGTTGCGGGATCAATTCTGCTGGACTAAGGTCTCTTTCAGGTTGATCAGTGGATGGAATGGATAGATGGTTGACTGATTCCACATGAAACAATTTATGCTTCTAACTTCCAAGGGCTCATCCTCGCATGGACAGTAAGAAACAACACGAAAACTCAAATGTCTGATTTCACAAAACACTCAAGAACTCGCAAGAACATAAGAGAAGTGATTCCACACAATCTCTAATGAACAAAGTAACAAAGCCTTAGCTTTTTAGAGAGAATTCTCTTTCATTTTCCAAAAATTTCTATATATTTTTACAATGAGAACAATGAGCTTTTATAGCTCTTACAAAAGATCTCTACAAATAAATACACTTAAATGAAATTATTTACATTTAAACAAAAGGAAAAAAATAAGCTAAATCAAATAAAAATCTTCTTAGCACCAATTTCTCTTTAGACTTGAATGAGAATCCTCTGATTTTGTGAAATGATGAAGGCCAGATTCTTATAATAAATCCACATAATAAAGATATTTGATTTGGTATTTTTCCATATTGTATCAGAAAATGCGAGGTTCATCTTCAAAGTTCAAAAAGAAAAAAGTCGACCAAATTTTGACCACATGATACGTACGAAACCTATCACCTGTCCATTATACATCAATACAGTCGCAAGGGGAAAGAGAAAGCCCACGAGTAAAAAAGGTAACAGTTATGTGCGTGCTTCTAAAAGATGAGAAGTTTCTGGAAGGAATAAAGACACGTGTGCGTGAGAAACGGATAACGGCGCACATGGGGAGGGAATCTTTTGAGTCATAGAGTCCGTTGTAAAGGATTATAATTGATTTAGTTAAATTGTCAAGGGAGGAGAGAGAACTCCATAACAGTCTCTCTACTTTGAATTTGCATTTGCCAAATCAATACAGAAAACTTATCTAATCTATCATTTCTAAAGCTTTCAATCCCTTCACGTATCAACTTGGTATCAGAGCTTTTGAAAGAGCCTTCGTGAGATTAATATGAAGTTTATACAAATGCTCATATCGTGCATCAAGTGTAGAAGTCTGACCATCCTCTTCACATACAAATTCTAGGCTATGATTCATGAAAAGTGAAATTTGTATTCTTTTAACATTTCATTCAGATGTTGGAGCTATAGCAAAACAGCATAAATAATATCATAAATTACTTTAAATCATCAGCTATAAACTTTAGAGATTGTAATTTCAAATAAATAAGAAAATTTATAATTTTTTTCTTTACTTTGTTGATTATGTCAAAAAAAAAATATCATTCAAACCTAATAATTCTTTGTCATAAGAAATTGTTTTTTCCTTGAAATTTCAGTTCTAACCAAATCCGATTCTCCCACTAAACCCTTTCAAATCCTAGAGCAGGAAATAACGACTGGAAACGACATATTCTTTTCATCACCGTCGCACTACTAACAACTTCCGAAGTGAGTTTAAATTGCTTCGCTGTCGTATCGGTGCCTCTCATATACTTATATTTCTTTGGAGATTATTTTCCTCTCTGTTAATCGTTTCAAACATTTTGTTTCTAAATTGAGGATGAACCTTCTGGAAAAAGGCTAAAAATAAACAATAAGGTTAGATTCTTCATGATCAAGGTTTTTATCTTTATTGTCCATTTATTTGTTATTGTTTTTATCTGAGACTTGCCCATGTTTTTATTGTCCATTTTAAGTATTTACACCTTATTATTGTTGTTATTCTCTACATTAGTGCATCTAGGAATTTGGTTTCTCATTTCTCAGACTTGACATAGCCCGTTCTTCTTTGTTGTTTCAGGATGAGAACCAAAAATCTTTGAAACGAGGTCAGTTATTTGTAGGTGAATTCGATCAACTGATCATCATTTATAATAGGATTAGGTCATATATAAATATATAATATATGGATTATTGATGTAAAAATATACATTCAGGTTATGTTGCTGTGACACTCTATAGGGGAAAAAACAAATCTTTCGATTAAAAGAAAAAGCTGGTTCGGTTCGGTTCGGTTCAGTTTTTGTTGATTCGGTTGGATCGTCTCCATTAGAAACCGGCAAACAACATCAAGACCCGGGATTTGACCCGTAAGATGATCCGTCCACCCGGTATAATTCGGTTATTTGGGCTATGGCGTAGTTCACTGTTTTTGCTTCTCGAGTTTCTTCTTCCTCAGATCTTCTTCATTCCCCCATGAAATCCGAGAAGATTCAAATGTAAATCTCCCTTATATTTTGCTCATCGTTAGACTCAAATCGAGCAGCTGATCTTGAGACCTGAAATCGAAGAAGAATGGACACTTTCACCGCGGAGGATCTGTCGACGATCGGAGGAATAGCCACCGTCTCGCTCCTTCACTCGTTTATTCCGACGCACTGGTTACCTTTCTCCATCGTTGGACGCGCGCAGAAATGGACGCTTTCTAGAACCCTCTTCGTCAGTATGTTTCGATTTCTTAGATCCTTGATCATGTTTCTCTTTCTGCGTTAATCTGATAGTGATGCTCGTCTGATGTTCTAGAATCTTCATTAATTCTGCTTTTTCATGAGTCAATAGTCGACGCATCGTGTGTGCATTGTTTGATTAAGCTTTGAGTAGATATTTAGGAGAAAAGCATGAATAAATTCAATTGCTGCTTCAATGGCCTAAAAGACATGTCTCTCTCTTTTGTGATGATCTTCGTCATCAATGTTGGTGTTGCATTAGGTTAAAATTAGGGATATCCTTTAGCTTTGAGGCATGAAAGTCTAATGTGATCCTCACATTGAAGTGAGAGTAAGGTAAAGCAGATTGAAACGAAAACTTGGGATTAGACTTTCAAAAATTTACTCATTTTAGATCCAACTCTCTATTCACAATGCATGCAGAGATAATAATGTTCCGCAAGTATATATATATATATATATATATAGAAAGTTGAATTGATGTGCTTCCCAAAGCTCAACTACACGATTCAGTGTATCTGCTCTGCAAAGTGTCGTTGCACATTCTTCTCTGATTATTTCTCTGGTGTCACTAATTTTCAGCTGCATTTGGAGCAGTCCTGCATGTCATATCCACTGCCCTTCTTGGTATAACAGCGATCACAATGGCGAATACCATCGCCGGTGAAGAGACTGTTCACAAACTTGCTTCCCTTTTGCTTGTAATTCTCGGTGGAAGCTATGTCTTGCTGTTTTTAGCTGGTAAAGGTGGTCACACTCATTCTCATAACCAACCTATGGAGAAAATGGCTGTTGCTGGGCTTGTCCTTGTTCCTGCACTATCTCCTTGTGCAACGACTCTCCCTGTTTTCCTCGCTGTTGGAAATTCAAAGCCGATGATGGTTCTCGCCATCATAGTTCTGCTGATCAGGTGAGACGTATACTAATGTTTTATGCTCTCTCTCCCTATGATTTGACAAGGTAAAGAAGAACATATGTGTGAAATGATTTGATCTTTTTTCTGGGCAGTACCATATTGGTGATGACATCGCTGGTGGCTCTATCGTTCTATGGTGCAAGCCAGCTGAAGTTTCACTGGGTGGAGCGATACGACAAACTACTGGTGGGTTCGGTCCTGTGTCTGGTAGGTATCTTAACCCTTCTCTTCCATGATCATGACCATGGTGATCATGAAGCACATCAACTCCACAGGAAAATCATCACTCTCTAAGAGACGCTTTCGAGTCCCCTGTTTTGCCCGTCATGTCTGTTTGTAGTAGAGCGGCTTAAGGTCTTTCGCGTTGTATGTCTATAACTATGTGTAACGCTCTCCGTTGCACGTGAAGAAACATATGGCAGCATTCATTTCTTTTAATAGAACAAACTCTTTGCAGGTCTATTGTAGTTATTGCATGACTCTGTAATTGTTTCGTTGAAACTCTGTGCATGTGGAAGCTGATAAAGTTGGGGTTTAATCCTTGTAGTAAAGTCTTTGAAATATTTTGTTTAGCATTATAAAACAGTTTGTAGATGTCGGCTTTAACTACAAGTATGGTTGACATCAAACCAGAAGCTAATCTAACAGATAATTTTGTTACCGAAATCTTGAAGGAACAAACCTTCATTGACTCAAAAGAAAAGTATTATTCAGGCTAACAACATACCTTCTGCATATAACTTATTCGGCGTTCTATAAAAGTAATTATGTATATAATCAGGAAGAACCAACGGGTTTAAGGAAGTTGTCGAAAGGAGTAGAGGAAGGAGGATTGAAGAAAGGAGGATGGTTTTGATACTCTGTGACGCACATATTTGAAGCCGCCGGTGCACCTAATCCCATCATCTCCCACGAGTTTCTCTGATCCACGAAAGGATTCCCACCACAAGCAGGCAAAGCAGGTTCCTTTGTTTGGTTGCTGAATTTGTTGCTTTTCGCAGACATGAAAGACATCTTCTCTTGCTTCCCCATGAGAAGAGCCTCGCAGTGTCCTGCCATTTCCGTGTATGTCATGTCCGGTGGATCAGACACTGAGTATCTTCCTAACTGTGCTGTTGTCTGAGAAACCTGCACACAGTTTCATCTCTTGTTAGTCCGATCTACTTAGGACTCCATTGTCTCAAATCAGATTTATGCAGTAAAATGTAAAATGCAAAACAATGAGAGAACTCACTGCGTTTAGAAGTTCATCGATGCTTAGGAGAAAGGCGGTTTTGGCATTAGGTTGTGTGTCAAGAGCAAGCTGTTCTTCTGGAGGACTCGGCACTGCTTCATTCTCCGGTATTAGCAACTGAGTTTCAGCCTGCGGAAAAAAAAACAAATGTATATGAAGAAGAAACAGATTCATGTTAGAATCATCATAATCATAACTTACATTTTCTCTAGGTTTGTTGTTTTTTTCTTCAGAACGGTATAGTTGAACCGGAGATTCTGTCAACTGCGTTCCAACTGGACAACCGTCGATAGGTATAAAATCTGAAACTAGCTGCTCCTTTATAGACGACGAATCTTGCTGCAAGTTAAAAACATAAACACGGTTTCATGTATACAGTCCAAGATATTTATTATAAACCACAATTTTGAAAAGTACATCTGGTAGTGTTCCCAGAAACTTCATGATCATGGCAGCGTAATATTCTCGAGGTTGATTCTGTGTAGTTTCTTCTATAACCACAAGCGAATTTAAGGCGTCATCGTCGTCTTCTTTTGATCCATAGTTCTTTGCTGGTTGCTCTGTTTGTCCATAGAAAACAGCATCCAGCTTGCAGTCTTCCACCAATTGAAGAAACGGGTCTACCTGATAATGCAATGAAACATAAACTTATCAAAGCTGTCTTTACAATACAACAGAGGCAGAGCAAGAACATTGTAAAAAATCTCTTGGAGTACCGTTTTCTCTTGAATTGCTGTTTTTGCGCTATTAACAAGAGGAGGAATGTTAAAGGCTCTTGCTGAGAAAATAATCATGGATGTAGCCAGAGTGAAGAGTGATCTACGCCGTGATGGCTGCAACGGTCCTAAAATGGCAACAACAGAAAAAGAATTAATCTGTGAAAACAAGAAGAAGAAAGAGCAATGGCTACATCTCTATGAGGCATGCAAGAAGTAGAAGCAATCTGTTTTGTTTCTAAATAAGCTTGTTAAGCGGATAGTCTACAAATTTTACCTCCAAGTGACAGATTCCGCAAAGAAAATGCTAGCTGAAAGCTCCAGACCAATACCTCGTTGCTGGAGTTCTACATAAGTTTATCAAAACATGAAACTTCTTCTATTGTTTATACATGAATGCAGTGTAACTAGATTTTTTTTAACTATTTGTACCTTAGTCCGTCCAAATAGAAGTACTAAACTAAATGTATTAGCAATGGCTTCATAATTTTGTGGCATGTTGTGAGGAGACAGTGACTGCACCCAAATAGATGAAAGCAAAAGGCAAATCTGGTGGCTGCTTAATCTCAAAGGTATCACCTGAAAAGTAACAGCGAAAGGGCATTAAAACCAATTATAACAAAATGATTCATTGGTTATATATATATATATATATATATATATATATATATAAGCCCGAACTGTGAAACATACTGGTTTCTCTGGTGAACTTCCTGAAGAATTCTGATCTAACACCATTGATGAAGGGTTCCTTTTCACACTCTGTGTTCGGCTGTAACTTGACTTTAACCGGCTCAACACTGAACTAGTATTGTTCTTTGGCTCCTCGTCGTCGAAACTCTCACCTCTTTTGAATTTGGACTGAGACCTGCTAAGTGTAGAAACTCTCTCAATCTTTGCAGTATCATCCACAGAGTTATCCGTCTCCATGTTCAGTTTTCTAAACAGTGCAGCTGAAGAAGAAAACACAGACACGGTTCTTGACAATGTCCTCTGCATATCGGCAGGCCTTCTAGACTTTGGAACTGAGTTCGGACAAACAGAAGATGGGACCAGAACAACAGAGAATATACGGTGGGCCCCCATCCTCGACTCATGGTCAGCACAGACCATAGCTTGAAGCAACTGATGGAATAGTGCATCTGGAAATGCCTGTGTGTGAAAAAAAAGATTCCAATGTTTATCTTTCTTATTCACTAACAGATTTTGATTTACATATTGGACAAAAGATAAAGAAAGTTCAAAGGTTTTAAGCATCTTGCCTTGTTCTCATATGATAAATTTGGTATAGCTGCTATGATTTGTGCTGTTCGGAAAACAGCAGCGATTAGGGTTCTTGCCATGACTGTAATATTTGACATGCTTTCTAACATGACAGCCATTATGTCAAGGATAGGACCTGCATCTCCTACCTAATAACATTTCATAAAATGCTATCAGTTTCATAGAAATTTTTAATTTATCTAGCAAGTGTTGTATAAGCTCTAAGAGAGCCAATAAGGTTTTTACCTTCTGGGATAACTGCACTAGGCACTGTTCAACTGCAGTTTCGAACTTGAGATTATACTGAATCATCTCATTCCCTAGATTCGAATCATCTAATGAACAGTGGATGCTTTTCCTCAAGTGCCTAATCATATCACTTAACGCACCAATGATCGCAACGGATGGCAGAACTTTAGTCTGTTGTGCAAGTGCAGTAGCAACATAAACTATGTCCAGTTGCATTCTAGGCTTCTTTAGAACATTCTTGTGGTCAAGATGCTTGATCAGGATGGACAACAAGAAATGTGTGTTTTGCCCTGTCGTCAATTACTAACACTGTTAGTACTTAGTAAAAAATTCCAATAACCAACAAAACCAAATGGAGATAAATACGAACCGGATCGTTCTATCAGCAACTGAACGTCCTGCAGAACGTATAAAGCGAGACCGTTTTCGGTGGACCAAACTTCGTTGAAATCAAAGTAGCGGAAGAGTGACTCGAGGACACGACGCACAGTTGTAGCTTCCTTTGCTAACTTTGCCAGATTATGCAGACAAACCCTCGACCAAAACTTGGGGCTTTTAGCATCCTCCCTGCACCTTCTTCAATCAGTAAAAGAGAACCAGGCATATACATATATACATTTATATAAAGAGAACAAGCATGCCAAACTAAAGCTTGAGTAGAAGTATTTACACAGATACAATGGCCTTGCCTCTCTCATCCACGATTCTTGTCCAAGAAGCAATCCTTGTTTCAGCTTCTGCGGGAGAAAGCTCTTTATCAATAGAAGCATTCTTGTTATCTTGATTTACTGCATCAGTGGAAGATTTACTGAGGCCTCCATAGTTTTCTAATACAACAGAGACGACCTGAAAAGAAGAGAAAACAGGACAAATGATTCAACATGCTAAACATCCATGCTAATAGATTACAACTTAATGGTTGATATTTAATGAAAAGCATTCCAAGCAAACTTACATTGTCAAATTCCACTGAGATGTGTGAAAATTCTCCCATGAACCAAACCTGTGGAATCCAGTGATTGTATCAATCAAAATTGAAATGGAATAAACAAAGGGAAATATATGAGTACGTACCAAGGCTGAGAGAGCTTGGAGACCAGCAGAACACAAGTTTGTTGTCCTTTCTTCTTCTCCCAATTCATGAGCTAAAGGACAGATCTTTGGGATCAACCCATCTAAGTTAAACATGTATGTGCCCTCTGTCTGGAAGAAATCAGTATCATACATTATCAGACTTTGAAGCTCCAAAATCTGATTTTTTTTATTATTACAAGACAGGACAAGAGTTATGCACCTGATTGGTAACAAAATCATAGAGAGCTTCACAACCTAAAATGCGCATCTCATCATACCTTGATTGATCTAAAAGAATATGAATGAGGCCAAGGTAGCTACTAGCAAACAACGACCTGTATACAATAATTTTCACTAGGAAAGCCAAAAATTTATCTTCAGAAGTATATAATGTTGAGTAAGAAAACAGAACATACATCAGTTCATTACATGCAACCAAGAGCTTCTTGTAGATACACATTACAATCTTTACAGAGTGAAACTGCTCCATTCTCAGCTCCCTGTAACACCTTTGTTCAAGATAGGTTGTAATCTGAAAACAGTAGATGAGAATCATTGCTTTAAAGCTTAAACATAACTAAAGCCCAATATAATTAATTGTTTATTAACTTGTGGAATTCACCTTAGGGATACGAAGAGGGTTTTTAGCAGCGTATTCACATAGCTTACCGATTTTTCTATCATTAGGTTGCTCATCCTGCAGAGGATCAATCAAAATTAGTCGCCCCCATCATGTATGATCAAAATTCATGTGAAAACCAGATTCTTGTCCAACATTCGATTCTCCATAAAGTGTTTGTTATCACACAGGACTAAAGTAATAAGGTGCTATGTAACCAAAGAACCGAAATTTTAAACACAAATCAAGAAGCTCCATCGTGCAACAATCACCCTAATTGAAAAAAAATACAGCAATATTCGCTTGACTTAATCTAATGAAACTCGTGTTCTGTCAAGGATAAAGCGCACGCAAGAAAAAGGTAATCGTTAACTTATAGAGATCGTTAGAAAGCAAACCAGGGATCGAGGGAAGATATCAGCGAGAAGTTGTTTATATCTTTTGACGGGATGTCTCGATCTGGCGCGCAACGCCGGACAAAAGCAGCACAAGCTTTCGCATACGGGGAACACGGTCCTAGAGACGACCCCCATCGCTCTCCTCGCACGATGATGATTTCCAAGAAAGAAACGAGATTTAAAGACACATGACGACGGAAGCGCAAATCGTGATATTGTAATAGATCAAACGGTAAGCGAATGTGTGGTATCGGGATGGCGAAGGATCGAAACAGAAGAAGAGATGAGAATCTGAGGAACTGTTTTGTAAAGGAGGAGATACTTGCGGGACTTTCGTTTCAAAACCAAATTTTGAATCTCTCCTTGGATTTACTATTTTTGAAAAAAAATTGGCGATAATGATTTTTGGTATTAAAACAAAAGATACACTGGTATCAATTTAAATGATAAATTAATTGGACGTTTTTGTTAGTGAGATGCCTGAACTTGTCATGTTTGTTTCTTAACATACCACCACCAATTGATGATTGACGAGGATGTTGAAAACCGATGCATGTTGAATAATAATAATAATAATAATAATAATAATAATAATAATAATAATAATAATGGGAGAGAAACAGAGAGAGAGGGAACGTGAGTGAATAAAGGGGCTATTTTTAGGCAAACGCAATCACATCCTCTCATTTCTCAAACCCATCAACCAAATTTTGAAGCTTTCTTCCTCCCCAAGAAACAATACTCCTCCTCTAGTCAGATAAGGCTGATTCCAGATTCAATGCCCTAGGCTTAAAGAGTTTGAACAATAAGTCCAACATCAAGTGAATTTTTTTTAAAAGATATAACGACATCAATAGCATTTTATGTCAACCACAATTTGATTATTTCCAGTACAAGTAGTTATAAAGAAGAGAAGAGCAACACTTTCCAAATATGACTTGCTTAACACTTTCCAAAAATGACTTGCTTGTTGTGTGGAGTGTTGTACCTTGTAACTGCAAAGAGGATCACATTCATTACTTGAAATAACAATATCCAAACAGAAGAAGAAAACAGGAGCTTTTCTGTGAGAAGTTGAAATATGAAACTTATATTACCAAATAAAATCTTTGACGGTTTCAAAAAAAGTCATCATTGTATACTTGAATTCTTTGGTCATGAAATGAGGAAAGTAGAAAAACGCAAAACATGGTGTTCCTTCCAGCATTACTCTCACTACGGTCACGTATTTGGGCAAATACAAAGCTGGCAAAAGAAAAAGAATTTGTAAAGATTAGCTAAAACACACACACACGTGTTGTAAAGATAAGCTAAAACACACACACACACACGTTAGCCTGTTCGTGATTGGGCCGGTCCGGCCCACCAAAAGCCTGTCACTACACTCACTTTATTGGTTTAAACCTTATTTTAATTACTCGGATCCTAAATTGCGGTTCCATAAACCGATCCAAACCACATAGGACTGTTTGTTCTTGAATTTCATTTTCAGTCGAAAAGACACTTTTGATTTTGTCATCTACACTTAATTAATAGGACGAGTGGAGTTGCTATTATTCCGACACTTAAGTGTTAGTATGTGTTTGTCGGATCAGATTCCATCTTCAGAATCGAATATCATTGACTTTTCTTAAATACTTAATTCTTAAGTTGCACTTGACTCTCTCTTTTTTTTCTCCGTTAGTGCACAAAACTCAAATTCCATCAAATGATAAATGATTCGTACCAAACTAATCAAAAGTGAAACATCACATTATTTCAGATTAATATTCATATGGCATCACAAGAATAGTTTGTGCAAAAAGAAGCACTGTTTGTTTCCGCGTGAAAACTCTCTCTAGTCTCCAATTTTGACCAACGCTAGATAAACCTCTTTGACCCACGAAGACTTTTAAAACCAAATTTAAAGTTAGAAAGACTTTTCCTTTTTACTCTTTAAATCAACGTACAACTGTTGACAACAGAACTTCATAGATTAATTTTTAATCGACAATACATGCAGTTTATTTATATTGAAAATCTAAACCGAAACCTACATTTTCTGTTTTTTTTTTTCTTTTCTTAAGTTCTTTAAATCGTTATACAAATTTGTCTAATAATATTCTTAAGTGGTTTAACCCAAACTAATTGGACATATTCTCTCATAGGTGGTGGAGAGTACAGCTCGCATTTAAAGTACAAATCCAATCTACCCATATATTTATTTTTTGGGAAAAAAAATTGTATAATATTTTAACATAATTGAACAAAATTAAAGAAACCAAAAAGACAGGATTTAAAAAAAAAAAATGTAAAAAGGAGAAAACAAAAAAAAGACTCGAAAAGTAGTATTTCTCTCCGTCATTTCCCACGCCAATCGCATAATCGATTTCTTTCAATTTCTCCAACAAAGAGAAAAGGGGCAACGAAACCCTAATTTTTCCTTCTCCTCTGATCAGAAAACCTTCTCTTCAGCTCACATGGCTTCCCGAAACTATGGGTGGGAGCTCCTCGCAGCTTCGCTAACCATAACCTTAGCCTTAATTCACGTGGTGGAGGCAAACTCCGAAGGAGATGCTCTGTACGCTCTTCGCCGGAGCTTATCTGACCCAGACCGTGTTCTCCAGAGCTGGGATCCGACTCTCGTTAACCCTTGTACCTGGTTTCATGTCACCTGTAACCAAGACAACCGCGTCACTCGAGTGTAAGATCCTCTTTCGTCTCTCTCTCTCTCTCTCTCTCTCTCTCTCTCTCTCTCTCTCTCTCTCTCTCTCTCTCCTCTTCTCTTCTCTTAGCTCCTGTTTTGGGGAAGTTGATTCTCCAAGAATCTATGGAGATTCTAATTGATACAGTCTCCAGATATCTCGGAATTGACCGTCTCTCTTAGGAATTTTTCGCTCTATTTTTAGGATAGAAATTCTGGGTCAGTTTCTAATTTTGGATAGCATCAATAAAGCTTTTTTCGGCCAAATTTATGTTTTGAGCTTCAAAATGATGGTATTAGTCATATCTAGACCTTTAATCGAAGGTGCTGTTTTGTATTTTTGATCATTGGGGAAGATGAAAGATAAAGTTGAACATAATTGTTGATTTGTTGGTACTTAAAACAAATCTGCTAGTAGTAATAAAGATTTCATGAACATATATGATTGAAAGTTGCTTTGATTATTCGTAGTAGGTGCTTCATCTTCTTCACCAGATGTTTGTTTTTTCTCTTTTAACTGTTCTTAAGTCAAATGAGATTTAGTTTGTGCTGTGATGATTCTCAGCTTTCCTTTGCTCTCGGGTTAAGTCTTCTTTATCGAATTAGGGTAACTTTAATTTGGATTCTTTAAGGTTCATGAGACTATTTATGATATGGTCCTTTACGCATCTTCAAATGCAGAGTACGGCAATTAAAAGAAAAAACTTTCTTGTTCAACTTTCCAGTATAAAAAAGAGGAAACCCAAAGCTCTTAAGTTTTGCACAGTGTACACATCTCTCTAGTCATTGGATTCCTTAATAGTCTTGAAAGAATCCCCAATAGTAGTTCAATTTTACTTGTACTTCGTGATTGATTTAGATTACTTTTTGGTTCCTACTTTGTGAGTTCTTAATCTTCTAGAAGAATCGTGGATTCTTTGTAATTGATTACAGTACATCTACTCATCTCTCAGAACTGTTTGATGAATCGATAACAACTATTGTTGGGTATCTAAAAAGAATGCTTGATGTGTTTTTGTAATCTTATTGTTTCTTTCTTGTTAGATATAAAAAGATTGGTATTTTGATCTTAAAAGTGTATCTCTGATTCTACCATTTTTTTTCAGGGATTTGGGTAATTCAAACCTTTCTGGACATCTTGCACCTGAGCTTGGGAAGCTCGAACATATACAGTATTTGTATGTCATCACTCTCTCAACTTGTACTTTTCGAAAATTTAACTTTTCCAGTGCCAGCTGTAATAAAATTAGATAGTGGAAATAAAGTTACATAACATCTAGTACACCTAAAGCACCCACTATAAAATTGATCATGTAATACACAATCTTAATTAACTTTTTACTTGTCCTATAATTGACACAGGGAGCTGTACAAGAACAACATCCAAGGAACTATACCTTCTGAACTTGGAAATCTGAAGAACCTCATCAGCTTGGATCTGTACAACAACAATCTCACTGGGAGAATTCCTACTTCTTTGGGGAAATTGAAGTCTCTAGTCTTTCTGTAAGTCGCTCTAAAACTCTTACATGGACATTTCCAAAAGTTGCTTTGAGAATTGCAAATCAATTGCTGAGTAAAGGAACAAGTTTAACTCGGTAATTCCCAAAATAAATAGTGGTGCTATATCCCAAAAGTGCTATGCTGGGTGTTACCACCATCACGTGATTAGATTCAATACCTGATTTTTCTTATGCCCCTCTAAGAAATTGTTTAATGTGGCAGACGGCTTAACGACAACCGATTGACCGGTCCAATCCCAAGAGAACTCACGGCCATCCCAAGCCTTAAAGTTGTGTAAGTTCAGCATTTTAGTTCTGTGTTGCATTTTTTTTTGCTTGGTTGCTAAATAATCTGCCGCTGGTCTCCGAATCACCAGTCTTTGAACACCTTTTCATCTAACACATTGACTTTCATGCTCTTACTTAAAAACATATCTTCTTTGTCATCCTTTTCTCAGTGATGTCTCGAGCAATGACTTGTGTGGAACAATCCCAACAACGGGACCTTTTGGACACATTCCTTTGCAGAAGTAAGTTTCTTGTCTTCTTTTGTTTTTTTCACATAGCCAACAGGTTTCTTGATAATGTTTCTCCAGCATTTTGCATTTTTTCTCACCCATAATACATTATGTTTTACTCGTGAGGAGTGAGTGATACCAAATTGAATCGGATGTTTCATATAAACTGATGAAGCTGCATATTTCTGTTCCTAATGACTAAAAACAATGGTGCAGCTTTGAAAACAACCCGCGATTGGAGGGACCGGAACTACTCGGTCTTGCAAGCTACGACACCAACTGCAACTGAAACAACTGGCGAAACCTGAAAAGAAGAAATCGGGGGGTGACCTAGTAAGAACACTTCACCACGTTATCAAATCTCACATCTATCATGTACTAAGTATATATGTATTAGTTATATATATAAAAAAATGAAAACAAAATGAGTCGAATCAGTAATCAATCATCTGTCACAATTGAGACTGACCGCCCCAGAGACTGAGGTGTGTATGTAAAATCTTTACATGCGCCTTTCGCGTACTGTAAGTCTGCAACGTTCGTTTTGTATTATTGGACGCAAGTTCTTTGCCTTGTCTGCGTTAACACTTGTGTAAGATCTGTGTCATATACAGCAAAAACGAAATTGGATTTGGATGTTTTATTGTTCTCGTTTATATTTACGGTTCGAAACTGATCTACGCCTTCACCATCAACTCCTATACTAGTTTGCGAACAAAGCATAAAAGACAAGAAGTCCTTTTACAAGTCACATGTGAAATCGACAAACTGCAAAAGAAAATTTAGTTATGGGTGTGATATGTCGTATTTTAGTGTCCTTTGTTTGTTAGGATTTTCTACTATCCACTAATAGCATATTTCCAACTCATTTTTCTATCCACTTAAAGTTTGGATTTGGTTCTAGTATCTTTTCAAATGAAATTAAACAAAAATACCACATAACATTTAATAGAATTAAAAAATCTACAAAAGAGTTGATAAAATGCCTCACTGAATAACAAACTTTTATAGAAACTTAAAATCATTCTTGTTCATTATAAATTCATGGTCAAAAATCTCATAACTATTTGCAACTGTAAAATGTTGAGATGATGATAACCTAAATATTTCCACTAGATTATTACTCATCCATATCACGTACTGGTGCATATTGAGTGTCTTTAGTGTGAGAGGTAATTCTGAAGATTTATTATTGACTTCCATTATTAAAGCTACTAATTTCTTGTTTTTTTGGCGACTTATTAAAACAAATTTCCCTTGCATTAATAATAAACAATTCCTATTTTTTGAGGCACTGTTCATAGCCACCTCAGGAGTACTGTATGCGGTTTATATAAAGAAACACGTGCTCAATATCTCCAATAATTTTTTTACCGACCAGTCATGTCTAACTTTTTATAAGCATGTTTTCAGTATTGTGCGATTGCAAAAAAACTACATTATTTATGATCAATTATTTGTTTGATTTTGGAGGCAACCCGACCAACGAATGTAGAGCTTACTGAAAGGTAAACAAATGCGGCCTACATATGTGTATAAAGGGGAAAAAAATATTGACGGAAGAAAAAACAACTTAACCAAATCATGATGTGAAGTTGTGAACTCTTAACTAAATCTTAGTGTTGCCTTGTTGAATGAGGGCATAAACTCCATTAATTTGTTGCCTTCTACAAGATTCCACTCATTGGACCTCAAGTGCAGCAGTTTTCCTCAGTGAAAATACAAAATTAGCGATTTTATTAAATATCCAATAATAGTTACAGCCAATGGGCGGCAAAAGAAAAATATTAGCTCGTATGTTTTCGAAGTGATTTAGTTCAAATTAGATCTTCATTATTGGATTATTTCTTCAAAAAGTAAATCATGTGAAAGTAAGGAAACCAATCGCATCACTCCAGTGTCGTTTATACAATCATACCAAACTGCCAAGAGACATGGTCCCGTTGATCTTGTCGTCTTTCTTTTTTTCGTTTGCAATGAAATGACTTATTCAACTTCAATCCATTAACATCCACAGAAAAATGAGATTTTTCTCTTTGTGCGGTCAATTTTTGAAAGTTAAAAAAAAAACAACGATTTGCTTTCTACATACGTGTGTGTATATATATAATAAGACTCTTTCGTATATAATAATACTAACACATGCTATTTTATAATTCACAACTTTCAGCCACTTACATACACACACAAAAAAAAAACCATGGCGGCAATTGTGTGGTGGCTAATAACGGTGGTTGTGGTGGTGGTTCACTCGGCGTCCGCCAGACCTATAGTGTTGAATTGGGAGGTTAAGTATAAGTTCCGGTGGCCGGACTGTAAAGAAGGCGTGGTGATGGCCATCAACGATCAGTTTCCGGGGCCGACGATAAATGCCGTCTCTGGAGACACCGTCATCATCTACCTCACCAACAAACTCTCCACGGAAGGTGTTGTCATCCATTGGCACGGCATACGTCAGGTTATTTAATTACTATGTTTTTACTTGTATATGTGACAACATGCTTATTCCATAACATTTTACTAGAATTGCGTTTACTATTCATTTTTTTTCTAAAATTTTGCAAAAATTGATGAAATATGTAATAATTATATCAGTGGTGGGATGGTGATTACGAGTGCCGCATTTCGAAAGAATAATACCATGGTTCAAGCCCAAATCTATGAAACCACCTATCAGAAAAAGCAGTTCTATCAGTTTTTAAGTTAATGATGTTTTTTAAATTTTTTCGTTTTTTCCTGGCCAGGATTTGTTTCATATCATACAGTTTTACAGTGTCACAACCAATCAAAACCACTAGTTTGTATAATCAAATTGACAAAAAAACAGGATTTTTTTTTAAAAAATGAACTGTGATTGTGGAATATAGAATGGGACTCCGTGGGCGGATGGAGCAGCCGGTGTGACGCAATGTGCCATTAGTCCTGGCGAGACTTACACTTACAATTTCACTGTTGATAAGGTAAAAAAAAATTATACAAAAAAAAAATGTAAATAAGTGATGAATAAAAATAAAGCGACGACTATATTTGAGTTTTGGGTAAAATGATACGGTGCAGCCAGGAACACATTTCTACCATGGACACTACGGGATGCAGAGATCGGCGGGACTATACGGGATGATGATAGTGAGATCGCCCGAAGAGAGACTACGTTACGACGGAGAGTTTAACCTGTTGCTCAGTGATTGGTGGCACCAAAGCGTCCACGCGCAAGAACTCGCTCTCTCCTCGAAACCTATGCGTTGGATCGGCGAACCTCAGAGTCTGCTGATCAACGGAAGAGGACAGTTCAACTGTTCGCAGGCGGCGTATTTTAGCGAAGGAGGAGGACTGAGACAGTGCACGTTTAAAGAAAACGACGAGTGCGCACCTGAAACGCTACGTGTCGAGCCTAATAAAGTTTATCGTCTTCGGATCGCTAGCACCACTAATCTTGCTTCCCTTAACTTGGCCGTTGAAGTAAGCTTCTTCCTTTCTTTTCAGCTTATATTCTTAAACTATATACAAACACAACTTCAGTTTGAAAAATTTGTACCAAACTATATAGTTCAATTTTGTTTTTGCCATTTGCATCATTATATTAGAGTATGAAATTATTTTAATTTCCTAATGTTTTTTATACTTCGAGAGAAAAAAAAAAAAAATCATTTGTACTTAGCGCTCGCTCACACGTGTGGTTGATTGCGCACGTGCAGGGACACAAACTGGAGGTTGTTGAAGCCGACGGGAACTACGTCGCGCCGTTCACCGTCGACGACATTGACATCTATTCCGGCGAGACCTACTCCGTTCTTCTTCGAACCCACTCGTTTTCTTCCAAGAAGCACTTTATCTCCGTCGGCGTTCGTGGCCGGAAACCCAACACTACTCAGGCACTCACTATCTTAAATTACGCCGATGCCAGTGACTCCGATCGCCCAACTAATCCGCCGCCGGTGACTCCCAGGTGGGACGACTACTATCGGAGCAAAAGCTTCTCGAAGAAGATATTCGCCGCGGAGGGATACACACCGCCGCCGAAGAAATCAGACGACCAGCTCATCCTCCTCAACACCCAGAACCTGATCGACGGATACACGAAATGGGCAATCAACAACGTCTCCTTGTCCGTGCCGGTGACTCCGTATCTCGGATCCATCAGGTACGGGCTGAATAAACACGAACTGAAATCGCCGGCAAAGAGGTTCGTCAAAGACTACGACATCCTGAAGCCGCCGGTGAATCCCAACACCGTGAAAGGCACCGGGCTCTACACTTTCCCGTCGGGAATCGTCGTCGACGTGATTCTCCAGAACGCGAACGTCTTAAAAGGTAAAAACAGCGAGATCCATCCGTGGCATCTCCACGGCCACGATTTCTGGGTCTTGGGTTACGGCGAAGGGAGGTTCAGACCCGGAGTCGACGAGAAGACGTATAATCTGAGGAACCCGCCGTTACGGAATACGGTGGCGTTGTATCCGTTTGGATGGACGGCGTTAAGATTCGTAACGGATAATCCAGGGGTTTGGTTCTTTCACTGCCACATCGAACCGCATTTGGGTATGGGTATGGGTGTGGTTTTCGCCGAGGGAGTAGACCAGATCCTTAAGATGGATATACCGGACGAGGCGCTCACTTGTGGTTCAACCATGAAATTGCTCATGAACCGGGGACGCCGTTAAATAACCGGCCCTATACCGGCGTTCTTTGTAATAGTAGTATGTTTTTGATGTGAGTGTGTGTCAAAATGGTTGAGATTCATTTGTAGTTTTACTCCCACCAAACGTTCGACCCGTGTTAGTCTCAATTTAAATCTTTAGCTCAGTTTCTCAACTCAATAAATCTTATGATTAACTTAATTCAGGCTTTTATCAACTCAATCTGAAAATAAGTTTTCAGAAGTATAAAAATGATAGAAATCTTGGTGGGTCTCTCAAGAATGGGTTTAAATTTGTCAACAACTCTGAATACAAATCTCAATTGATGATACGACCAACAATTCTAATACGACAAACTACAAGCTTCGGTTTGGTTGTATTTTCATGAGTTTGATAGAATCTAGAATAAGCCTTATTCAGTTGTTGTCTTTTCTTAATTCATGTGTCCAGCCGTATGTTTCTCACTTTCTCCTAAACTATAGTAAAGAGACCAGTGTCACATCTCTGTGATCTCTTCATGAAGGTCTCTTGTCTTGTCTTATATTGATTCTCAAGAGCGATTATTACAATTTCCAGAGTTATTGTAAAAGAAAACATGCACAGTGACACTGTAATTAAGTGACACAAGCGAGAACAACAAAAGAAAATGTACAATTCTCTCGAAGATAGAAGATTTTTTTTTGTAAAAGAACAAGATTCTATTTTCTTCTTCTTGATGATAGAATATGTATAAACCTTTTATAGGCGTTGTTTACACTCCTTTGCGGGTTTGTATATGCCTTCTTTTGTTGGGGTTTTCTATGTTTAATTAATACATTCGGAATTCGAAAAACGAGAATCACACTTCATTTGTCCTAAGTGTTATCTTAACAATTATTATAAATTTTGATGGACTCACATGCTAACTTTCCAGCCAATTTAGATTATCATAGGTTGCCGAAAGTATATTAACACGAAATTAAAAATAAAGAACTTTATTAGAGATACAATAACACAGAGTGCCTTACAGATATATAATCTACTAAGTATGAATCATTTGTGGTGTCCCAATGTGAAATGGACCATCCAAATTCGAGATACATGGTGGTAACCATTCTTCCCAGATCATCAAGGAAAAAAGGTGCTCCTAATAAAGGAAAAGTATGAAATAATTTATTTTATTTGTTAGTAGTTTTCGCCAGTTTGTCGTCGAGCTTTCGTCAATTTACTCTTTTTTTGTGTGTGTGTGTGCAAATCGTCAGTTTACTCTTTATCAACATTTTACACACCCAATACGTCATAAGAGTTGAATTTGAATGATATTAGTATTAAAAAAAAGGAGGTGGAATTTGAATATAGACACAACGACATTGGTTAAAACCATTAGGCTATAAACTTTCGCCGTTACGGTTTTGTAGATTTAAATTCAAAACTCATAAGTAACTTTTTAAAAAGCAGACTTTTGTGTCAACGTTTTTAACGAGATGAGGTTGGGGGAACGGGAATGATAATGGTGGAATCTTCATGTAATCAATTTTCTCAAAAGTTTTTATTTGAAACGATTAAATATGTTGGCAAAAAAAAAAAATACTATGATCGATAATATGATAGAAAAATATACACAAGAAAGATAGAGGTTCAATTTTGACATTAACCTAAAATTAAATGCTTTTATGTGATAATTAACTCTATTTACATTACATGTTCAAAGCCTACCAATAGGCGAGCTTGATAAAGTTGGCATTATAAAGATTGTGAACGTGATGATCTAATCTTCTAAGACAAATTCAACCGCTCACCCCTAAAAACATGTATCATGAGATCACCTTCTATTCCGAATCTTCTTTGAGATATGTTGATTGTTTACACGATCATAATTATGTCCATAAATCTTGTGACCAAACTAAAAGAAAAACCCCAAAATAAATATCCTTTTTGACTAAAAAACCCATTCGATGGTTTTGCCCATTATCTCTCCCTCTCTCTTCTTCCTCTCTCCCTCTATATATAAATGATGACCATACATTATTATTCACATACATAAGCCATTAATGGGTGTGTGGTGGATAGTGGTGGTGGCTATCTTGGCTCACACGGCGTCTGCCGCCGTGAGAGTATACGATTGGGAGGTTGAGTACAAGTTTGGGTGGCCCGACTGCAAGGAAGGCATGGTCATGGCTGTTAACGGCCAGTTTCCGGGCCCCACCATACACGCCCTCGCCGGAGACACCATCGTCGTCCATCTCACCAACAAACTCGCCACCGAAGGCCTTGTTATTCATTGGCATGGAATTCGTCAGGTTCTCTACTCTTTTTTTTTAGTAATAACTATGAGATTTCAAAACCAAATTGTAGACTGATCTTTGGGATTTAAACGTTCTTTACAAAAATAATATATAGGGAAATATAATACTACCTGAAATTGTTTTGTAAATTTCAAGTTCCTTCTTACCGTTAATACCACAAAAATTTTATTTATTTTTCTGAAGAAACTAAGTGATCATCACTCACCATATGAACTCATTCAGATGATCAGATCTTAAATCTTCTTCTGTATGTTTTTTCATACCCATAAGCATCAAATAATTGTTTCCATTGTATTACTTGGTTTGTCGTTAGAGAATAGAGAATAAAAGAAAATGGGTAAAGTTGTAGAATTAATTGTTTCAAAGCACATGCCATGCATGAATCTGTCTCTTCTCTAGACAATCACTACATTTGCGACTCTTCCTTCGGAAGTTGGTTTATTCCTTGGACTCTTATTTATTATTGAATAAGTATAAAATTATAATTAGCAATTAATAAACAAGGTTAGTACATTTTTCTAGGGTTTAAAATTGGTTTGCGGCTTATGACACAACTCTACATCTAGTGTTCTTTTGCATGCAAATCCAAAATCTATATACATACATAAAGTAATGAAAATATATTCCACTTTTGATTAAGATAGTAGTTTAGTGAGAAATAATTAATTGCGTTTCTGTGAATAGTTGGGAAGCCCGTGGGCAGATGGAGCAGCGGGAGTTACCCAATGTGCGATAAACCCTGGCGAGACTTTTACCTACAAATTCACTGTTGATAAGGTAATCTTTTATATCATATATAAAAAAAATAAAAAAAAAATACACAAGAATACACAAAACGTAACAATGATAGGGTGCAGCCAGGAACACACTTCTACCATGGGCACTACGGCATGCAGAGAACAGCTGGGCTATACGGATCGTTGATTATCGACGCGGCGAAAGGAAAGAGAGAGCCATTGAGATACGATGGAGAGTTCAATCTCTTACTAAGCGACTGGTGGCATGAGAGTATTCTCTCCCAAGAACTCGGTCTCTCTTCCAGACCTATGCGCTGGATCGGTGAATCTCAGGTTTGTTTATTTATTTATTTCAAACTAATACTACTACTGCTACTATTACTATAGTAAAGTATTTAATTTGTACTTACTTTTCAATTTATTTTTCCAAAACAAAAAGAAGAGTAGGTCCATGTTCTCCCTTTTTCATTAGTGGATATTGATTGAGATTTTAGAGAGCAATAGGCACTAAAAATTATATTAGCTTCCTCTATTTATTTTTCAAATCGAATTCTACTAGCTACTTTTCTAATGTTGATATGTGAGATTATTCTACGTACATTTAATGTGGTGTGATAAGATTGGCCACTCATCAGAAAACTGTACTTTTTATCGGTTCTTTCGCTTCTTACTTTTTTTTTTATTATTATTTATGTTCTGCAAAAATTGAAGAGCATATTGATAAATGGGAGGGGACAATTCAATTGTTCAATCGCGGCGCAATTTAGCAACATCTCGGCGCAGTTTAGCAACACGTCGTTACCTATGTGCACGTTCAAAAAAGGTGATCAGTGCGCACCAGAGAGACTGCACGTGGAGCCTAACAAGACTTACCGAATCAGACTCGCCAGCTCCACCGCTCTTGCCTCCCTCAACTTGGCTGTTCAGGTTTTGCTTAAATTACATTTTGTTTCTCTTTACTCGTAATTCATTAAAAAAAAAAAAATTCCTTATAAAATCAACAAACTTACAAACATTAAAACTTTATCTATAGATATAAATTTGAACCATATCGTAAAAATATGGCTGATTTCTGCCAAAACTTTACTACATATTGACCAAAAATTAAATAAATGGTTTCATAATAGGTCATGGTCATTTGGCAAATTCCAAACACACCCTTTTTCTGGCTGGGACTGAGTCAATAAAATATGAACATTTTTAGTCACAAACAAAAAAAGTAAGATACTGGGGGAAATTTATTTAGACAAAAGATGACAAATTAACCACAATGTATATATTTTTTTGAAGGAAAAAAAAAGCAAAAGAAATTATACAAGAGAATGGTAGGTAGGCCCATCCTAGATTCTTCTGGTAGCATCAGTCTGTTTATATGAGAGGTGGTGCTTTGACTGCAAAGTGATGGAATAGGTTCTTAGATTTTTCTCTTCTGTTCCCTAGGCCCACAGTGAAATATATAATGCAGTTATATTATATGGTGCATGGTGTAAAATTTCCCACCACAAGTTTATATAGTGTTAAATCGTACCAAAAAAAAGTTTATATAGCGTTAAATGTTAATCGTTCCGTAGAGATAGGGATACTATTACTAGTTAGAGTAGTTTCGATCACAAGTCTGTAGATTGTTTTGACTTTTAGATCCAAATCATCCAATTCATTTTCAATTTAATAAATTTGGGTTGCTAAACTTAAAAAAGTTGCCATTTTTCGGGTTATTACGTGTACAGATTATTTTATTTTTCAAACTACATTTTTAGTCTTATAGTTTTTGTTCACACAACATATGTGAGTTCTTACTGTAGCAGATTAACTAAAGAGAGATATTAAATTCGAAGGTAAAGTTATCATTTCTGTAATCCAAACTTTTTAATAAATCAAATTCATCTTATTTTAATTTTTAAATTAAATGCTTATGAACAAATTTCGATTTTTTTATACATTTAAAAGTTTTGTATCCATTTTGACTTTACGAGATATAAAAATGTAAAACTAATTAAGAGGAAAAAACAGATATCTTCTTAAGTTGTGTTATATGGGCCCATTTACAAGGCCTCGGCCCAATTGTCCAAGAGTTTTAAGAAAAGAAAAACGTTTGCGATAACACGTTTTTTTTATTTTTTACACGTGCAGGGACACAAGCTAGTGGTGGTAGAGGCCGACGGCAATTACATTGAGCCATTCGTCACCGACGATATCGATATATACTCCGGCGAGACCTACTCCGTCCTTCTCACCACCAATCAAGACCCTTCCCAAAACTACTGGATCTCCGTCGGCGTCCGCGGCCGAAAACCCAAAACACCCCCGGCACTCACTGTTTTGAATTACGTAACTGCCCCTACTTCCAAACCCCCTTCTTCTCCGCCACCGGTGACTCCGCAATGGAACGATTTCGAAAGGAGCAAGAACTTCTCGAAGAAAATCTTCGCACCGAGGGGATCTCCGTCGCCGCCGCAGAAATCTAAAACACGGCTGATCCTCCTCAATACTCAGAATCTGATCGACGGATTCACGAAATGGGCCATCAACAACGTCTCTCTTGCGGTTCCGGGAACGCCGTATCTCGGATCCATCAAGTACAAATTGAAACGCGGGTTCAACCGGAAATCGCCGCCGACAAGTTTCCCGATGGATTACGACATCATGAATCCGCCGCGGTATCGTAACACCACGCAAGGAAACGGGATCTACATTTTCCCTTTCAATGCTACTGTCGACGTGATTCTCCAGAACGCCAACGGCTTAGACGCTAACGCCAGTGAGATCCATCCGTGGCATCTTCATGGCCACGATTTCTGGGTTTTGGGTTACGGCGACGGAAAATTCAGACCCGGTGTCGACGAGAAGACGTATAATCTGAGGAACCCGCCGTTACGGAATACGGTGGCGTTGTACCCGTACGGATGGACGGCGTTAAGATTTGTAACGGATAATCCTGGGGTTTGGTTTTTTCACTGTCACATCGAACCGCATTTGCATATGGGCATGGGTGTGGTTTTCGCAGAGGGATTAAACCGGATCGGTAATATACCGGATGAGGCGCTGGGTTGCGGCTTAACCAAACAATTCCTCATCAACCGGTTCCGTCCTTAGAAGGTTGCATATCAGTTGTATTTATTTGGCTTGTGGCGGAATTTGAGCTGCTTTTGTTTTGATTGTGTTGTGTGTTGTAAACCGAAGATTGGTACTTATTATTGGTATAGTTGATTAGTCGGTTATCTGGTTTGACTCGGCAGTTTATTTCATCAATCCGATCAAAGAAGAATACATGGTCAAGAAAACTATGGAGTAGACAAGTAAAGTGTACCTGTATGTGGTTAACAGAACAAATCGAAATGAATCCAAATTTAATCAAACTAAACCGGAGAACTCAATCCAAATTTGCTGAAGAACAAATGACGTTCCAAGATAATTCAAAAGGTTGAGTTCTACACATGACAACCAATATTTTAGAGGTTATACGTTGTTTCCATTAAACTATAAACATGAGTACAATTGATTTGTTGCAATGTGGATACATAACTAATATTTAATACAGAAATCAAAATCATAATGTCTCAGAATTCGATTATCACTATTTTCTGTGAAACTGTTCATAACACAGTATGCTTGAGATCATATGGCTCATAATTTCATAACGTCACGCAAATTTCAAAATCATAGTTATACTTATAAAGTTAATTCATGTGACAAAAGAACAAGTAAATTTTGAAACCAACATACGTAGGCAAACATGTTGGAGCCAGTTCACCAACAATAAGAGATAAAGTTTAGTTTGATGTCAAGAGTAGATGTGTATAAAGCGCAGACACTAACAGAGAACAACATATAATAATGAACTATGAAAGAAATCTTCCATAACATCAATATTGGTTTACGTAAAAAAAGAAAAGGCATACTAGTATATCATGATTGCAAAATCTAAAAAACATTTCATCTTATCATTTGTTTCTGCTAAGCTGACAATACGAATCAAATCATTAATGGCCACTATATAACAAAGCCAAAAAGAACATATCAGACCGATGGTGATGGACCTGTTACGGTTTGAATAATAAATGTGACAATCTTAGTGAGCATTCGAAACGCATGAGCATTAAGGCATATATAGGCCAAAGCAATGGGGTAATAAATAAAACAATTTACGAGTGGTCGTTAGTTGGTTAATGTGTACAATAAGATAGTTGCATATTTCACATTAATATAGTATTATTATCAAACATTGCTCCGTTGATATATATATACACATATATAACAAGAAAACGACGAGAGTTCCAATAATTGGGGAGTAGCCGACAAAAAAATCCCGGGAGACACGTTTCAGACAGTTTATAGAATCACTTCTGGCGACGAAACGTGCTTCCGTGGCACTTGTTTACTTTGCTATTGGTTCTATTCATTGCACCTCTCACATTTTCTCAAATCAAATATATATACTATTATGTTAAACATAAGAAAGTTAAAAACATCATGCTGGTGTTATTTTTATTCGATTTCAAATAAGGCCATACCGTATCCATCTATAGTTGTACTTATATATTCCGTATTTCATTTGAACTTAAATCAAATACGAATATGTAGAGATAGTTAGTTGACATTTCTAAAGGATAACCATAAAATAAACGAAAATATGAACTGTTTCATTACCAACTCTCCCTAATCTAGCACTTTGACCCTTATAGTAACAGTTATATATAATATCATCAATAATTGGGGGTCAACCTTCCATGATTTATTAACAAATTTGTATAGAACTTACATCTTGCAATGAGAAACCGACCATTTATAGATATCACTTGGCGCCAATTTTACAAAATAAAGTTGATTCTAACATCTTTTGAACGAAGATTCTCTCTAACTTAATGTACAAATGCAATATTTTCTTTCAAATTTTCTTTATTTAACTAATACAATGTTGACTACAATAATAATTGCGAAATCTCAAGCAAAATTTCAATTAAAGTTCATACAATGAAAATAAATTTGAGTTTTTGTTTTATTTAAAGAGATTTAGAAAACTAACTGTAAATTACAAATCTCAAATAAAAGTTTTATCGATAAAAAAGCATTGTAAACCACATTTTCATTTTTTTGTTCGTTTAACTAATTTTTCTTGTTTATAAATGTCTTTTTTATATGATCTGAAATCATTTTTATTTTATTATATTTATGGAATTCTTAAGGGGAATATATGAAAACAAATATAGACAATAATGCCAGTCAAAATCTGTTGATCAATATTTAGAGCCAATATTATATATAAGATATCATAAATACTTAGAAAATAAAAAACCAAACTTGACTACTTTTTTTTTAACACAACTATTTAAATATATCTGAAAATGTCATTTAAAATATTAAGATCTCATACATTTTAAAAGACTGTCATATCTAGCATATAATTTATAAAAAGTTGCTATATTGAGTATTTTTATGCAAAACTGTTAACATGATAACATGTTGGTGAATTTTATAAGAAACAATGATATTGTAAAGTCACCAAGCATATTTTTAATATTTGAGTTTATGCTGTAAAGGATAATAGCCCACACATATTATATTCTGTCAAATAAATTTTATATTATTTTCATAGATTTTTTTCAAAAATAAACTTAAATTACAAGTATATAAATATATAGACATGTAGATAGATCTCTTCCCTTTCATATTTATAAAAACAAATCCAGCTGGAATTTTGAATTGTTTTTATTAAAATTAAAATTGCAATATAAATTTTATTTTAAAAAAAATTCAAATATTAATATACTTTTAAAAAATCTAATAGAGTGAAATACTTGCAAGACAATAAATGTATAAATTCAGTGACTATACTGCCAACTTCAATTTTTTGTTTTTCCCAACTCTGCCAGCCTTTACTATTTATTTGTTATACCAGCAAAAAAGGAAAAGAACAAAAGTGTATAGATAATATTGACAAAAGAATGTCCTAAATCAGATAAAGGTTATTATTGAAATTTTAAATTTGATTATATTTAAGATTTGTGCTATCATTGATTTTTTTTATCCTATAATAATTCATATATATATACTCCGAATTCAGTAATGAATAAAAGATAAATATGCAACTATTTTTCTTTTGTCAACTATGCCTTTAACAAAAAAAAAACTTTAACAAAATTTTTTGTCAACTATGCAATTATTTTTTATTATATAAGTTCCATATATATTATTTTTGAAATTAATTATGAGGGTAAATTGCAGAAACCAATTTAAATTTGAAATATGACTACACACAACTTTAGTTTTGTAAACGCTTTACTTGGGTTGTCATTCATTTTGTTATCTAATGGTACTTTCTTTTTATAAATTAAATATGTTAAATTTATTAGATGTTCAATGGTTTATCTGAAAAAGCCTCTATAATAATTGTGAATTATCGACAGTCTTACTTGTTTAAAATAAAATATTGATTTACTGTTTAGTATTGTTCAAATACCTTTATCAGTTAATATACTCAATTAAATAATGTAAACTATTGTTTCACAAAGATTAATACTATAATTCAATTGTTTCTTCATTAGCTTTTGATTATTTTTGTTAGTAGATAATTTCGACTGATTCACTTACATTTTCTCCTGTTTTAGTAAGATGGTTTAGAGGTTTTTTGTGAAATTTTATTTTTCTCAAATACTTGAGCTAAAAAATCTATTTGACTTTTGGTAGGAGTAGATTAATAAAATCAAACTAGTAACATAAAACATATGCTTATTGTTTTACTATAATGCTTTTATATGATTTTGTGGTTGTTTACTAAATTAACATTTTAGAAATGTTTTTTCTATACACTAATGTTTAGATATAATGGTCGGTTAAAATAAAAAATGTTATTTGAATATTATCTAAAAAAGTTATATTCATTTATGAAAAAAAATTATGTAAATATTTTTAAAGTAAATTTTACGTGCTAAAATTTTAGAATGTGTAAAATTTTAGAACGCAAAAACTATTCAATGTGCATAATATTAAAATAATATATATATTTGGTATTTTATTTTTTTACTAAATCTAATATTTAAACGTTATTAATTTTATGGCGCAAAATTGTTACTATCTAATCCAAAAAAACACGCGCTATATTTATTTGTGTAAAACTATCATTTAAATATCAAAAAATTTATACCACAAAAACGGTTAGTTATTCACACCTTTTAAAATAAAATCTACATGTGATTTGCTTCTTGATTCTTATAGTTGACATAATATTATCATGTTTGGCATACTAAGTTTAGAAGAAATATCATATTCTGGATTTGTTAATATGTTTTGAGAAAAAAAAAAAATTTAGTTAAATCAAAAATCTGGACTGTAAATGGAATGAGACTCAAAGAAGATAAATATGAAATTTTTACTATATTCTTCCAACGAGTTTTTGTTACGGGCATATTACCACCCTTTCATACACTCTTATTTAATGTTCATAACTCATAAGCCATAATATATATTTGTTACACTTAGATACAAGCCCCTGTGTGTCTACCTGTCTGTATCTCTCTCTCTCTCTTTTCTCTCTCTCCTCTCTCTCTCTCCCTCTCGGGTGCACTGGCTTATTTGGTTTGAATTTGGAGGCCGAAGCAACAAAAAAGGCACAAGAGTTTTCTGGGTAAACCATGTTCTTCCTTCGATCCTGTTTTTGTTTTGATTTTACGTATTGTTTCTCGGCTTGATTACAACAACCTTATCATATTCTTTTTGGTTTTGGCTTGCTCGGTGTGGTCTCTCTGATATTTTGTCAGATGGGTTCCATTTTCACTTTGCAAAGATCGATTGTATCTTTTTTTTTTTTTTTGTTATTGAAAAAGATCGATTATTTCAATAGTAAAATGACTCAGTTGAGTTTTTATCTCCGAGGAAAATGGAAAAAAAGAATTCCGATGCTTTAACGTAGAATCATTAAATCTCGACTGTGTATCTTTTTACCTTCTCTAATTTATTTTATTTGCCTGTAGTATGTATGATATATAATCAATCTCTTGGTAGTAGTTTTCATATTGCGGCGTAAATCACAACTAATTGAATTTTAATCTCTAAACCTTTGTATATCTCTAAATTCTCTGTTTTTCTTTTTCTCCTGGTTACTAAGAGTTTCGATTTATATATGGCATGGATTATGCAAATTTATTCTTGAAGTGAAACAATGTTGACGCCATTCTTTTGCAGGGTGAGATCATTTTTTTTCACTCGTTTGCAAATGTACAACAACAACAACAACAGTACAGGGTTTTTCCGGGGATTAATTTCATGTCCGGCGGCTCGATTTTCCGAGGCAGATGTGAGTACTGCTACGATTAGGGGTTTGTGCAACGACCTGACTGATCAAGAACTTGAAATACAGGAGCTCGAGAAGAAGATCTGGAAAGACAAACAGCGTTTAAAGCGGCTCAAGGAGATGTCCAAGATCAGTATAGAAAGAAGATTGTTGAAGCAGCCTGATGATGATCCAGAGGAGCAAGAACAGTCGAGTAGGAGACTGATGTACCAGGCACAAGATGGGATCTTGAAGTACATGTCTAAGTCAATGGAGTTTTGTAACGCCCAAGGTTTCGTTTACGGGATCGTCTTCGAGAACGGTAAAACCGTGGCGGGGTCTTCTGATAATCTCCGTGAATGGTGGAAAGAAAAAGTCAGGTTTGACAGGAACGGACCAGCTGCTATAGCGAAGTACAACAGGGAGATGAATCCTTCCGAAGTAACTGATTTAGGGTCTGACGACGGAGATTGCACCGCGCATAAGTTGCTTGAGCTTCAAGACACAACCCTTGGAGCTCTTTTATCGGCGTTGATGCCTAATTGCAAGCCACCTCAGAGGCGATATCCGCTGGAGAAAGGCGTGACGCCGCCTTGGTGGCCGACGGGGAAAGAAGAGTGGTGGGGTGATCTGTCTTTACCGGAGGATTGTCGAGGGCGTTCTCCTCCTTACAAGAAGCCTCATGATCTCAAGAAGCTGTGGAAAGTTGGGGTTTTGATTGGTGTAATCAGGCATATGGCTTCAGACATTAACAACATACCTAAGCTCGTGAGACGGTCAAGGAGTTTGCAGGAGAAAATGACTTCGAGAGAAGGCTCTTTATGGCTCGCTGCTCTTAACCGAGAGAAGACCATTATTGGTCGAACCCATCAGCCTTTAGCCTTCTCTGGAGAAGACAACAATGCTTCTGGTTTTCGTGTTCCTGGAACCGCTCCTGCAACGGAAGTTCTGTTCTCTGAGTCTGCAGATTATGATGTTGATGGAACTGTTGGATCTCATCTTCGTCTCAGTCCGCATTACCCTGAGTTTGGCAACCACATCAATGGTGGTCATAACAAGAGGAGGTTTGAAGGAGAGTTGGGTATGTCACTGCATCCGACAGTTCTAACTTGTGAGAACAGTCTCTGTCCTCATAGCCAACCACACATGGGGTTTCACGACAGGGTCTTAAGAGAGAATCACCAAATGAATTGTCCTTATAAAAATCCCCAAGAGAGAGCCACTCCTCCCTATTATCAACCCACTAAAGTACCCTATGGTATGCATCCTGGTTTAGTGGCTCCTCATCCGGGTTATAACCGGAGTTTTCATGGAACCAAACCGGAGAATCAAGCGGAAATGCAGCAGGTTCAGAGCATTCATGAACAGTTTGATCCATCGAACAATCTCTGCAGACCAAGAGGAGCACAAGGAGGAGGTAACAATGAGTACCTCTCTGATCACCGGTTCGGTCTGGTTGATAATTTGAGTCCTTCTACTTCGGCGATGAATCATAATCCTGGTTTAGTCTTACCTAATGAATACAATGGCAATGCGGGAACAGTAGGGATGGAGAACAATCTGCAGAATCAAGAAGAAGACTTGGCCATGTCTCATTGGGTTGACTAAAGAAAGCTTCGTGAGTTTTCTTAGCTTTTATATAGCTTTGTTTCTTGCTTTTTCTGTTGTTTTTTTTTCTCTCATTGAAAACAGTTTTGATCTCTCCATTTGATAGACTTTTGTTATAGCTATGGAGAAGATTAGGTTTCATGATAACCCCATTCAAAGAACTTCATCATTTTGATTTGAGGTGCCTCCTTTTATTTTATTTTTGACAAAAGTATATATTAGAGATATGTATTTTGTGTCTGGTTTGGGCTTTGGTAGAAGAAAGCGTTCTATACAGGCCCAGGCCCTAAGATCTCCACGGTCTACTATACATTTACACTCAAATTTTCTTTATTCCTCATCTACTATACATTTATACTCAAATTTTATTTATTTCAATTGCCAAAAGTTTCGTAATATATCCTCAACTTTTATCTTATTATTGGAAAGTTTCCATTAACAAATTTTGCAAATGTATTAAACTTTCCATGCGTCGTTGTTATGGGAACCTCAAATTTGCTATGATAATGGTCACCAATGGAAAGCTGTCTGTCGATATCATCGTAATTTAATCTTCTATAAAACATTTAATTATAACAAAAATAATATACAGAAGGGAACCAATCAAATCCTTTGAAATTTTACTTCACAATCAATCAATCATTCTCTGCTTCAGAATCTCCTTTTGGGTCCCACCTTCGCCGAGCAACCGCAAAAATGGCCGGCGAGATCAACGATAGCATCCAAAGATGGCCGAAAAACGTCGGTGGATTCGTCGCCGACAAAGACGTCCGAAGAGCAAGGTATCCATCGACTGACACCAGCGAGAGCATCCAAGAGTCGCCGACGAGAAGCCCCGGCGGATTCGTAACCGGCAAAGGCATCCGAAGAGTAAACTATACATCGATGGACACCAGCGACAGTTATTCGAGCCGGTACTCCATCGATTCTCAGAAACCGAAGCTATCTCCGGGGACTTACCTTGTCCAACTACCCAAGGACCAGATCTACCGAGTCCCTCCGCCGGAGAATGCTCAGCGTTACGAGTACCTCTCTACGCAGAAACCCAATCGATCGAGTTGCCGCCGATGTTGCTGCTATACCCTCGCCGCCTTGCTCGTCCTTCTTGTCCTCGTAGCGCTCGTCGTCGGGATCCTCTTCCTCGTTTTCCGGCCACATAAGCCACAGTTCTCCGTGAGTAAAGTCTCCGCCGCCGGGATTAATCTGACGTCATCGTCTCCAATCTCTCCATTATTCAAAATCAAGGTGCGGGCTCAGAACGTCAACGGGAAACTCGGTTTAATCTACGGGGAAGGAACAGCGGCTGAGATTTTCTACGATGGAATCGAGCTAGGAAACGGCGAGTTCCCGGCGTTTATGCAGCCGGCGGAAAATTTAACGCTGATGGTGGCGACATTGACGGGATTGAGGATCCAGTTAACGAGCTCGTTGCGACAGGAGTTGACGGAGTCGGAGAAGAAAGGAAAAGTGCCGTTTGACATGCGAATTAAAGCGCCGGTTAAGTTTAAGCTTGGCTCTGTGACAATGTGGACGATGAACGTTTTGGTGAACTGCAAAATAACGGTGGACAAACTAACGGCATCGGCGATTGTGCTAACGGAGCATTGCGATACGCAAGACGGCCTCTTGTGATTTTTTCAGAGAAGTTTAATGTTTGTCGGTCGGCTTTTTAGATTATGTTATTTATTTAGTTTGTTTGATTCATTACTATTTTTTTTCTCATAAACTTGAAATGAAAGCGTGAGATATCTTACTTTGGCATTATCTTAATTTCGGTTGGACTTGGCGTCCCTGGATCCTAAGTAATTGCAATTGAAAAACGAACACTTGGAATTTCAATTTAAATATATTGTAGTAGGCTCAAAAACCGAAGAGTACATAGCTCCATCAATGTTCCACAAGAGAAAACATTAAGATCAGACCAAATTTCCAGTGATGTTTGGACATAGAAACAGGCATCAAAATATACATCTAAGCCCTAAAACCAGAGTGCTGAGAAATTCTCTTTACTTCGAGCGTGCAACGCTACGAGTTACTCTTCTCCCAGAGGAACCACTAGTCGAGGCTAAAGAAGCTTGAGAAGAACCGTTTTCAGCTGAGTCTCTTTGGTTTGGGTTCCTAAGTTTCCTTCTCTTGAATCTTGGAGCTGCGGCTTGAGTCTCGTTTTCCTCCTCCTCCTCCTCATCATTCACCGCGGCTTCAACAGCTTCTTCTTTTGTAACTCTACCCAACGGCCATGGCTTCCCACAACCGGAGCAGACTCTATCATCCTGAAAATTTGATGTGTTCAGAATGAAAGATACCATTGGGGATTGAGGAAATTCTAAAAGAAGCTGTGTTTACCCTTTGTGATAACAGGTTTTTGAGGCAGTATTTGTGTATCCGAACAGTGCAACCTTCGTTTGGACACAAATCCGCCTGGAAACGAGTATCAGAAAATAGAGCATCAGATATGAAATCATCAGTCTCATCACAATGTGAACTTCTTTTAGTGTGAATACTATAAGGTTTCTTCAGAATTGCTGACCTTTACACCAGCTTCATTGCAGACCTCGCAAGAAGGAACGTCATTGTTCCTGAACCAACTGCGCAGGTCAAGAAGAGATTTTATACCAAGTCCAATGTTGCCCTCTCTCGTGCGGCACAGCCACTTGTCCTTTACAAGTTCACCGAGAGTTTTCTCCTTTTGCGACATTGAAAAGTTTTTGAACGCAGGAGGGACTTGCTGTTGACTGCTGCTGGCTTCACTTGGTAACTGAGATATTAACACAAGATCTGTCAACCGTAACAAAGAGACTCCAATCCAACCAAATGAATAGCAGCAATACTTTATATCATACGAGAAGAATATAACTCAAAGAGTGCATGAACATTTGATTAACAAGCCTACTGTTTCAAACCATATCTCATATTACTTTCAAATGACTCTGTAAGATACTAGCAGTTTTGAAGTCACCATGATCAGTTGATTGAACAGTGGGTATATGTATGGTTCCGTTCGTCAGTAGATGAAAGAGGTAAATACACAGAAGTCAGGGACTATGATTAACCTGATTCTCCAATCGGATATTGAGGGCATCAAAGCTCGATATGCAGCCTTGAGCAGCTTCATCCTGTGCGATTGCTTCTATCTGCCATAAGTTAAAGTCATCAAGAATGATTAAAATCGTTCCGACTTTTGCTTTCTGATCTAGATTCATTGCAAGGAAGACAAAAGCAATTTGATGAACTCACAACGCCTTTAAAGAATGCAATCTGCGGAACAGAATACTTTGTCCCGAGCTTGGATTGATCATCGGAAACATTGTTAACCACTCCATAGCAAACCTGGCCATCATACTGATCTCTACAAGCCCTCAACTCAAAGTGAACATATGAGAGTTCTTTATTTATCTCAAGAAGGTACTTGTCAAATATCTTTTTAGCAGCTCCTGCAACAAAACAAAAAGGAACGAAGAATACAGCTATCACTTTTATGTCCAATGAAGCAAAAAAAATAGTCACTTTATCATTCACCATTAAGATAAACCAATCACTGTATTCCGAATAATTCTCATTTTCTCGTATTCAATATGCCAAACCATTAAACATCACCAGTTAACCATATAGTTCAATGGATCTCTCTATAGAACAAGTCTACATTAAAACCCCATGAATCAGCAGCATATCGATGATGTAAATCTCACAGAGAGGAAGAATGATCACGATTACATCCCCTGAATCTTAACAGCGGCTGATCAAATTGGGTAAAATTTCTCGTTACTTTAATATTGATGCAACGAATATCAACCCGGAGCAAACCCACAAAAGTTATTTTAATATTCATCGGAGAGAGGAGTCAAAAATCAGAGGAGAGACCGACCTGGGTTTCTACCGGTGACGCCGGTGAAGATTGACTGAAATTCTTTCTCCTTGAGAGGACCTCGTGAAATCAAAGCCTGAATTAGCGTGTGGTGTTTCCAGCTTAGCGAAACCATCCTTTCAAACCTCGCAATTTCACCCCAGAAAAAAAAATTGGATTTTAGAATCGAGTGAAGCCTAGGGATTCTGTGAACTAGGGTTTTTCTGGGAGACAGAAACGACGGAGAGAGAGAGAGAGAGAGATGGCGGGAAGGGAATCGACTCGATGACGTAATAAAAATCAATTTTGGCACCAATTGTTTTTATTTTTAATTTAGCTTTTTTTAACTTTTCTGAAACATCAACTTTATGCGCCCCAAATCTTCACGCTTGTTTGTTGCTGTGGTCAGAGCGGTTCAGACGCGATAATTGCAATTTGGGTCACAGTTTAAAGGATATTTAGCAGATCTAATCCTGAAATATATTGGAATTGCAAAAATGGCCTCAGAAAAGCAAACTGTACCTTCTTTTTTTGTTTGGTATCGGGGTGTGCTTAATCTACTTTCTAATTTATTTTTAAAAGAATATGAGCTGTCATCAGATAAAGTTGTTTTCTTCAAATAATTTTTTTCCCGTTTATGAAGAATTTCTATAGCCATACATAATACCAATCGACCCATACAATAAACTTTCAAATTTTGTTGCTAGTAATGTGCGAACAGATTTGATATAGTGAGATTTTTTTTTTTGGTCAAAGATATAGTGAGTTTAGAATATGAAAATATTAAACTGTTGGGCGACAAAAGAAACTACTTAAACTGCTGAGAGCGGATAATAATTGTTTGATGTGAAATGTCAAATAATAAATAAAGAAATAAAGAAACGAAGAGCAGAAGTAAGACATGAAAATGATGGGCTTGCCTTTAATTGAAAAGATTGAGAATATCATCGGAAAGACAAAGAAAAAATGTCACATGATGACAAAAACCTCTGCACAACGCTAAAACAACGCCCTCGTTTGAGACAGCACGAGTCGACGACGTCGTACATCAGCATTTATTGTTTATTTATATAATATATTTTGGTATTTGCAGAGAAATTACGTACAAAACAATTTGTAAACTTTTGTCTGTTTTTGAGTGACTAATTTTCAAATTTCAAAATAAAGTGTTAATTTGTGATGAATTAAATTTGAGATGATGTATTTACATATATACAGCTCGTTATATTCATTTGTAGTTTTTTTAAAATTTGTTCTCTTAACATCTTTTATGTGTAGATTTTGTCATGTGTGTATCAGTATATTATTGCTTAAAGTTGTTCATAAATGGAAAGTAATTGAAGACTCTCAAGTCTCAACCGATGCATTATATAATGCATCACAAGAATTTATCTATCAAAAATTTAATACTTGAGACGATTTTTGATAAAGTGGCCTTTTATATTAACCAGCTTATTTTTAAAATGTATCTTTTATTCAAAATTATTAAATTCATTAGTATATAATTGATGCACTCTTTACAATTTGCTTAATAAATAGAATATATTGATAATTTTTATTAAAAAAATATTTATTAAACATTATGAAACATAATTGAAAAAAATAAAAGTCAAATGAACTTAATATTTTAGAAAATAAAACTATACAAAAGCATTAAATATCTAAATAGTAAAGCAAACATCTTCAATAAAAACTAAAAAAATACAAATAGAACAATATCAAGATAAGCATTAAATTCAATTACTTTTTTGAAATTTTCAATTCATCATCATTAATTATAATAGAATGCATAATCTATATATATATTTTAATTATATCTATGAAACAAAACCAGAAAATCTTTCTTTAAAGAATAGAGGAGGGTATTTATTTTAATTTAGAATTTTAAACATTGATATATATGATACTTTTACTATTATCCGGGTATGTATAACGGTGCAAACGTGCATGATATTTGATCTATATAATTAACCAATATATAGTACATGTTACATATATTCACGTCTACCGATAAAACTAAAAAGGTAAACTTTTTATTTATTAATAATAACCAAAAAAAAACAAAAAAAAAAGACGCAAGGAGACGGGACAATGAAACGAAAAGAATTTGGGGAGAAAACTAAAATCCAAAAGAGAGAAAGTGGGTCCTACAAGTTTCCTCTTCCGTCCGCGTCTTTATTATAGTGTAGGAAGAGCGAAGTTTTAGTGAACCACCAAACAAACCCTTCCCCCTCCGAATCTCTCTCTTTCTCCGTAGCTTTAGGGTTTCAATCGTCGTCTTCGTCTCCCCAATCTCAGTATTAGCAGGTATACTTTCTTCTTCAAAATCGTTGAATGTATGTTCAACGATCTCGTATCCTCTCTTTTTCTGGCTTTTGTTATGATCTGCCATGCATGGTAACTGTTGATTCTTTCGATTTTTTTTTTTTTTGCTTTTGTTTTCTCTTTTGAATCTGAACTATTGTTCTCGTATAACCTTCTGTATGTCTTCTTCTGCTGTGTGTTGCTTTTTTCTCATGAGTTTCTATATTTGCTCATAGTACTGCATATTTATGGTTTATTTTTTATTTTTCTGGTTTTCAACTTCACTGATAAATGTTATCATTGTGTTTTACCCAGATTTCATCATCGTCTTGCACTCTCCTTAAAAGTTTCTTCTGGGTTTTTTTTTTTTGCTGCTCTTTGTCTTGTCGTTTTCCGAGCACCTCTGATTTTTTTTTGTCTACAGTGTTTGTTTTTTCCGTCTCTGATCTCTCTGTTACTGAAATCTGGGAAATAAACTGATTTGCACCCTCCGAGAAAAAATCTTCTGGGTTTTTTTATTCGCTTTCTCTAGCTTCACCCACACTCGCTTTTTGAGTGGTCATATTGTTTTGTGTGGGTCTTATATCTTCTCCATGTGCACGTAGATCTTGCTGGAAATCTATGATTGGTTCATCTTCCAAATGGGTTTGATTTTTTTTTTTTTTTTTCGCTTTTCCAAGTATGACGCTAATGGTTTTGTTTTCTTCTGTGATATCTGATTTGAGTGATAGCTTTTGTTGTTTCTGATGGTTGTTTTGGGTCATTTGACTACTTTGTTCTTTTGGTTGTATAGTATTCATCTCTCGGCTCTGTTCCAACTATGGCTATTGGTCTCTGTTTTCCTGGTTTATAGTAAATGTGAAAAGCTTGATTTGACACTGCATAACTGAAACCTGAGTTAGTGGTTCTTGTGTTGAGATATTTTGTTCTTGAGCATTAGAAAACTGAAGATCTGTGATAAATTTGCTCTGCTTATTGTAGATGATATCTGTAGCCTTTACCGTTTCCATGAACACTATATATTTTGGTGCTGTCTTTTTCTGACCCTTGGTAAGTTTTTGCACTGCAGATATGGATTCTGATGAACTAAATGGGGATGGCGTAAAGCAAGAAGCAGTGTTACCACCTCCCCCACCTGTCGTTCCATCAAGCGTGGTCCCTGAACGTGAGTTCGTCAAAAAGAACACTCTTCTCCCAATGGCTCGGCGTGGCAACGGGTCTAGAGGACAGAAGACGCAGCTTCTTACAAATCACTTCGGAGTCAAGTTCAACAACTCAAACGGCCACTTCTATCACTACAGTGTATGAATCTTGTGTTCCTCCTAATGGCCTATTTGTATATCTGTTTTCAGTGCTTATCCTTTAGCATAAATGTTCGATGCTTTCAAGTAATTGCTTGGTATGAAACTCTTGTCTCTTTGATATTTGGATGCAGGTTGCTATTACATATGAAGATGGCCGTCCAGTGGAGGCTAAAGGTATCGGGAGGAAGATTCTTGAAAAAGTTCAGGAGACCTATCGAATCGAGTTGGGATCTAAATGTTTTGCGTATGATGGCGAGAAGACTCTGTTCACTGTTGGTGCTCTTCCCAGCAACAAACTCGATTTCTCTGTTGTTCTTGAAGACACGCCTTCTAGCAGGTGTGAAAAAAAATCGATGTCTTTTGATTTGTTTATAAAACATTTTGACTGTTTCCTTTACGATGATGATTTGGTATTCTCTGTATTTGCAGGAACAACACTGGAAATGCTAGCCCGAGTGAAACAAATGACGCGGACAGGAAAAGATCAAGGCGACCCAACGAGTCCAAGAAATTCATGGTTGAGATAAGCTACGCTGCGAAGATCCCAATGCAAGCTATTGCAGGTGCTCTACAGGGGAAAGAAACAGTTCATTCTCAAGATGCCATTAGAGTGCTGGATGTTATTTTGCGCCAGTGTGCAGCTAGGCAGTAAGTTGATTTCTGGACAGTATCTTTGAAACATTCAGTCTCTGCTTCGTCTTTTATGCATCTTCTCGTTTCTGTCTCTGCAGAGGTTGCCTCCTTGTTCGCCAGTCCTTTTTCCACAACGATGCAAACAACTTTGTAAACATTGGGGGAGGTGTCATTGGTGTCAGAGGGTTCCACTCTAGCTTCAGAACTACTCAGGGAGGCTTATCCTTGAATATTGGTAATTCTATTTTGAGTTCAGTGTGTATTATACTCTTCTTTGTAACATTTGGGTATTGACACTTTTGATTTATTTGCTTTGGCTTTTCTCTAGACACGTCAACTACGATGATAGTACAACCTGGCCCTGTTGTTGATTTCCTACTTACAAATCAGAATGTGAAAGATCCATATTCCGTTGACTGGACCAAGGTACATCATCTTCTTTTGTGCTGTAGAAATAAATTTCTCGGATGTTTTAGCATTTATGAGAAGTACTTATCTGATTTTCTCTCATCAGGCTAAACGTGCTCTCAAGAATCTGAGAGTTAAGGTTGCCCCCTCAAATAGAGAATACAAGATAAGTGGACTAAGTGAAGAGCGCTGCAAAAATCAACTGTACGTCGTGATTTGATGTTATTTCATCACAATTTAAATTGCTTTGAGTTTGTTCTAAGATATCTATCTTTGACTGATATAGGTTTACTCGCAATTTTAAAAACGAAAATGGGGAAGTTGAGGAGATTGAGACGACAGTATACAAATATTTCACCGAATTCCGTAAGATTCCACTGCAATATTCAGGTGATTTACCCTGCATCAATGTGGGCAAGCCAAAGCGCCCTACTTACATTCCCATTGAGGTAATTCAAGTGCATTTTTGTTTTTTGTTGTTTTCCCACAATTTTCATGTAACGGCTTATGACAATTCTTGTTGGTTTGTACATTTTCAGCACTGTGTACTTGTGAGTCTACAGCGTTACACAAAATCGCTTACCAATCTGCAGAGGGCTTCCCTTGTAGAAAAGTCAAGGCAGAAGCCACCTGAAAGGATGGCTTCGCTAACCAATGTAGGTCTTCTTTTCATTATCCTTGAGAGTCTGAAGCTTTTTCTCTCTATTTTGATTTATGCTCTGATTCATCATCTTGCAGGGTCTGAAGAATAGCAATTACAATGCTGACCTGGTATTGCAAGAAAGTGGTGTCAGCATTGGCTCAAACTTCACCCAAGTGGAGGGTCGCATTTTACCAGCACCGAAGGTGACTTGCTTTGCTTCTCCTGCTGTATCTTTTCCTTTTTGTTTAAGAACAGCTGAAAGTTTAATATTAATTATCTGTTCTTGTTTACAAACAGCTGAAAGTGGGCAATGGAGAGGACTTTTTCCCTCGCAATGGGCGTTGGAACTTCAATAATAAGGTGCATATATTTTCTATCTTTTGCTCAGTTGATTAATATTTCAACCTTTGATACTAATTGAACATCTTTTGCAGAAACTTGTTGAGCCAGTCACGGTCACTAGATGGGCTGTTGTAAACTTCTCTGCTCGCTGTGATACAAATAAGCTCATTCCTGACCTGATTAGATGTGGAAGAATGAAAGGAGTTGTAAGCTTTCTTCAGGATCATTGCTTACTATAGAAACTCAATCATATGCAAACTCGGTCTAATTCGTCTCTTGTTTTTCCTTTAATTTCAGAACGTAGAACCTCCATACGAAGTTGTCTTTCAAGAAGAACCTCGCTTTAAGGCTGCACCACCCAATATCAGAGTAGATAAGATGTTCGAGCAGATACAATCTAAACTACCAGGGAAGCCAAAATTCCTTCTTTGCATTCTCTCAGAAAGGAAAAACTCTCTTGTTTACGGTACAATACTCTATCATTCTTGAATAGGCTCTGTTTTTTTCCTCTTGCATGTAAATGTGTAACTTTTCACTTATCGTCTCTGAATTTTCAGGTCCTTGGAAGAAAAAGAATCTTTCTGATCTTGGAATTGTGACTCAGTGCATTGCTCCCATGAAAGTGAACGATCAGTATCTCACCAATGTTCTCCTGAAGATAAATGCCAAGGTGAGCGCTGAAAACTGAAATCTCAATCAATTATTCAAGTTTGATTATAAAGACCTTACAGCTGAACTGATATATATTTCGTATATGTAGCTTGGAGGACTGAATTCTCTGTTAGCTATGGAGCGCTCACCAGCAATGCCTTTAGTGACGCAAGTTCCTACCATCATTGTTGGGATGGATGTATCTCATGGTTCCCCTGGCATGTCTGATATACCATCAGTTGCTGCGGTAAGGATTTGTTCTCTAATTGTTTCTTATATTGTCAGCTGCGTTTATAGAGAGGCCAAATCTAACTCTTGCCTGTCTCTGGCATAGGTTGTGAGCTCCAGGCAATGGCCACTCATCTCAAAGTATAGGGCATGTGTGCGCACACAATCTCGGAAAGTGGAAATGATTGATAATCTCTTCAAACCAGTCCCTGGAAAAGATGGAGCTGACATAGATGAGGGAATTTTCAGGTAAAACTTCCTGGACAGTTGAGCTGTATTTGTAGCACATGGCAGAGCCTAATGCTTCAAAAAGGTATCATTTGTCATCAGTGTAATTAGAGATTTTATGCTCTTTACAGGGAGCTCTTGGTCGACTTTTACGCAAGCTCGGGGAAGAGGAAACCGGAACATATCATCATTTTCAGGTATACTTAAACCTATTAAGGTATCGTGTAAAAGATGTATGATACAATTTGTTAACTCACTGTTATCAATGTACATGTAGGGATGGTGTGAGTGAGTCTCAGTTCAATCAAGTTCTTAATATTGAACTGGATCAGATTATGCAGGTATGTATTATGTTCTGGAGCTTTCAGCGACCCAAAAACGTTTTATTTTTGACCTGAACTTTTTTTTTGTTACATTATCAGGCATGCAAGTTTCTTGAACCAAACTGGAACCCCAAGTTCACAGTGATCATTGCCCAAAAGAACCACCATACCAAGTTTTTCCAGGCTGGAGGCCCAGACAATGTTCTTCCAGGCAAAATCCACTTGATCTGAACATGATTAAATACTAAATAATTTGATTGTACTGGTAGCAAATAGTATAGCATAACTGTTTAAATGTATTGAAACCTGTTTTCAATTGACTTGCAGGAACAATTATCGACAGCAAGATCTGTCACCCACGCAACAATGACTTCTATCTGTGTGCCCATGCTGGAATGATTGTAAGTAATAGCTCTTTCAACTGTAACATGCCTCATCGGTTTAGTGAAAGTCTTGTGCTCGAAGCCATTATGAATTGAACAAAAACTCGGGAACTTAACACTATTTTTACTGATTTCGATGTGTTAGGGAACTACAAGGCCAACACATTACCATGTCCTCTTCGACCAGATCGGATTCTCCACAGATGATCTCCAAGAACTTGTGCATTCCCTATCCTATGTGTAAGCATCAGATCACTTTTAGCTTAAACATTTTATTTGTGGTGTAAGCAATGCGTACTAAACTTGTCTGCTTTGATACTTGTAGGTACCAGAGGAGCACCACTGCCATCTCAGTCGGTAAATTCACGATTCTTTTCTACATTGCTGTTGATAGTTCAGATCTCTGGGGAATGTTGTAATTGCTTTGTGTGGAATTGATGCATCGCTTTACTTGTTGTTGTGCTGCTTTCACTATGTGCAATATATCTCAAGTTGAATTTCTCTCGTCTTTTGCAGTTGCACCAATTTGCTATGCTCATTTGGCGGCTGCGCAGATGGGAACTGTGATGAAGTTTGAGGACATGTCTTTTTCTGAGACGTCATCGAGCCATGGCGGGATCACGACACCTGGAGCAGTCCCTGTGCCCCCCATGCCCAAGTTGAACCCGGAGGTTGCAAGCTCCATGTTCTTCTGCTGATGCAACGAGTCTGGTCCACGGCTTTTTAATTTTCTTTGCGTATGATCGTTCCAACAAAACTTTATATGCCCTTTAGACTTTCCTCTGGGTCGATGCCTCCTTGTGTTATTTTCGTCGACCCATTATCTTGATACTCTTTTTGTTTCGCTGGGCGTTGGTTTTAAACAGATCGGCTATTTTGAAGACATTGTGTGTTTGTTACACTGATTTTACCTTAAGCTTGGTAATTTTAGTACCTAGTGGAAGAAAAATATTCTGAAGTAACCCAACTTTTTTACTGCATCAATCTTATATTATGTTACTCTCCAATGTTAAAGATAGTAATTTATGATCGGTCATTTAAGGTTTTGGCAATTTCTTTGAAGGCTAGTAATATCTTTTACTCTCAACTTCAACTCTTTCTAAACATCAAAACTAATTAACTACATTAGCTTTGTAGTCGATTAAAAAGATAAAGCAGAGACAACCTAAAATGAAATAAGAAGCTACGGGGAGACAAAATTTACAAAAGCAAACAAAATATACTATCTATAAAATATAATAAGGTAAAGTAAAACAAACATCTCTTTATTGTTTTTCTACAGAGACACTACAATCACCTCTCTTTTTTTAGTTTCAAAATTGAGTAATTAGAAAATGGAATTCCTATATATACAATAAGAGAACAGATTACAACTGTTGGGAGGAGAGGGCGAAACTCTCTGTAGAACGAACGCCTCTTCAGTCAAAGCTCTCTTTGTCTTGCAGGAATCGATCCTGCACACCAAAATATGTTTAAAAGGAAAAAAAAAGAGAGAAAAAAAGTTCCGAGAAAAGAAAACACCACCAAGGAAAATATCCTTAAAAATTCAGAGTGACGGCTTCACTTGATCGGTCTCTTCCCGAGAAGAAGAGATACACAAAAATTTAGGTCAAGATTTTTTAAGGATCATTTGCTCAGTGGAAAGCATATGATATGTCTCTGCTCTTCGAATCATTAGTGAGACTTGTTTTCTTTTTGGCCTGTCACTGAATCCTTTGCTCGGAAATCGTCTAAGCTACGGTATTCTTCCTTGAGCAGCTTCTCTAGCTCAGGTTGCTTCTTTATCGGTTCTTTTTTCCCTCGATAGTGGTGGAATGCCCTACGCAAAGATAAGAGAAGAAGATTTTGGTCTTTTCACAATACAATCAACCAATCATTATATTATTTTAGCCATAATTATATAACAAAAGAGCCCTTACCAATATTTCTCCAAGCCATATAGATTTCCCTTGTGGTACGAGTCAAGCGTTAGCTGCTCAAAGTCCTTGTAAAGGTCCTCATCGAATTTCTTCTCCAGACCATAACTGAAGAAAGACATCGGGCAGATCAATAAATTGGTGAGATTTGGGTTTAAACTAGAGAGCGAGAGAATCCGCAGTGAAATAGATGGGAAACAGAAGCCACGTCGAGGATGCAGGTATTACCTATAAAACCTAAAGAGACACTCCAGCCCGTAATTGTAGTTGGCTGCTGCATCCTCGAAAGCAAACTTCTGGAAATCTTCATACATTGACGGAACAAACGTGTCTCTGAGGAAATACGACCAGAATCGGTACAAATGATTCATTTCCTGTTAAATAGAACATCCAGATTTCAGATACATTTCAGGGTTAGGATCTCTAATCAGACTAATGTGAAAGTATGAGTTGTATGTAATAAGTTATTGCGTGTTTCATTTGATGTGTGCATGATGCAGGAAGAAGATCATCGAAAGGAGGTTGATATGAAATTCACCTCACTACATCCGCTACCAAGCTTCTTTCTTTCGTTTAGGCAGCGCGAGCGATACTTCAAGTACCTATGTGTAGAATTAATAGGAATGAGAATAGAAGACCCCAAGATACAAACTTGCCCTCCCAAAAGTAATATGCTCCATACAATAAACTCAAACTGTATGAACCCAATAACTATACTCACTTTTCTTGTTTAAACCCATTCTCTTCCAGCAGTTGGTGGCTCGGATGTTGAAAAGGTGGAAATGATTTTGGTAAAGAGCCCACAGGTGGACTGCTTCCAGAAAGAGTGCACTGCGGCGATGAACTCAACTTCGAAAGCCTGGGGCTGCGATACGTCACACAAACAAAATTATTACAAAAATGAAAACGAAAAAAAAAAAAGAACAAGTTAGGAATATTATAGAATTGCAAGAGGTTACTGACCCATGACTGTCCGGTGGTGTAGAACCAAAGAAAAATCCGATGGAGCTGCTAGGCGGACTTTCAGAAATGCCTCCATGAGAACTGAGACTAGCCCCATGGTGTCTATTGTTGCCCGAGAAAAACCTCCGTGCTTGGGACATATGATGTTTGTGGATTCCCTTATTTTGCTTCCTCCGTGAAGCAATGTTGCCATGCTCTTCACCTCCGTCATTTGCTGCAGAATTTTCGCCTAATTTAGTGTTCAATCCTCCCCCGGCTTTTACTTTTCCATCTCTGCTATCTAAATGGGAGTTGTTCTTTTTACGACCAGATCGTTTCTTTTTGAGCTCCTGTTTCATCATGTTAGTGTTTAAAAGTTGGACTCCAGAAAAGGTAAAATCATTTCATGTCATTCTGTCAAAAAAATCCTAACCTGCTCAAAGTAGTAAAGACCATCGTTTATAGTGGAGGCAAGCTCCTTAGGAATGTTTTTTGCTTTAGTCCCACTAATTCCAGTGCCATCACTTCTCCCACTATTCTGTCCAGCATACAACGGAACATGAATACGTAATTCCACCAACAAAGCGTTCAAGTAAATATATAACAAGTTCCATGTAATACCTGGGTAACAATTACAAGTTTCTGAATATCATGATCATCAACAGCCATGTCATCGTCTTCATCCTCAATCCTACAGAAATTCAAATAAATCAAATCATCAACTCCAATACATTCACATCCAAAAGAAGGCATATTGGAAACTAAAGACGTATGAAAGATATATCAAGAGAAATCAAGTCGTGCACACACTACCTTTTGCACATGGAAAGTCCACTCTTTCTTGGGCTTTTATGCTCCATATCTATTTCCTCATCAAGCAAGAATGTGTCTGAAAAATCGCTCGACAAGACATCCATCTTTCTTCGTTCGTCTGATGATGATTTCAGGATATCACTTTCATAAGTACTGGTTCTTGATGACTGAGCTCCCTGTACCACGCAAAGAAAAGCTATGGCAGGAGCAAAAGGTGGCAGTTTTACAGATACTTAAATAAAGGAAAAAAAAAGTTCTACCTCTGAAGAGCCGTCATATGCAGTAGGATTCGAAGTACCCTTAGAAGGGTTTCTAAAACTATCTCTGCTTGTTATACCCTCGGAGGAATCTTTGTCACTGTCTCCAATTTTCTCCTCAGAGTCTGCCCTTTTGGATGTAGGAAGCCACTTAGACCACTTGTCGCGCTTGCGTATCTTGTCACCCTGTAAAAGTACTACTATTTCAAACTCTGTTCAAACAGATAAGAGTGACATGTCTACTGGTCTGACAACGACGGCAGGCCTTACAGCCATAGATACCAATCATGCTCCCAGAAAATACTGATAATTACAAAAAGAAGCAAGGTGGCTTATGGTAGTCTGACCTGCACTTCAACAGAAGTGGAGAATCCCAACGCATAGACTATAAACTCTACATCCATGGTCATCGCCTTAACCTGCAATACAAGAGTAAAAATAAATAAATTACAAGAAACACATTTGCGTAAAAAATAGATGATAAAATCGACTAATGCAATAGAAAGCAAGTCAAGCTCGTTTTAAGAGTTTTACCCTTTTAAAGCCGGCTATAACTTTAGTGGGAACCCAACCTTGTTCATCCATCAAGGAAATGAGGTAATGATCATTCTGAAGATTTTCATCACTGAAAAAAGGAAAAAAATATACGGAAGGTGAGCACAGGAAGATGAGGTGACAAACTATAAACCAGCAAAGATGGACTCTATTCCTTTATATTGATGTAAAAGTATAACTTGCCTGAAATAATATTCTATTTGTTTTACGACTCTATCCTTTAAGTCGAGTTTTCCTGGAGAGAGAACTGGAGGACCCTGGTTAACAGGGTATGGAGCAAAACGTGGAGGATAACCTCGAATAGCTCCAGGAGGTGGAACCGGCAAGTAGTATACAGGTCCTGTGTCGAATGAAGAAACAAAAACAGCAATCACGCACCAGAAATGACCAGTTATCCTCTATCTTAACGCCAAATATGTTCAATCAAGAGTAAGACAATTAAATTCTATCAGCTGCTATAAACCGGTTCCTTATAAAAACACATTGATACAAAATCAATATCATACCGGGAAAGCCTGGACCTGAACCAACCATGAACCCAGGAGCTGGACTCATAAATGGAGGTCTCATGAGGTTCCTCGGTCCAGCACCATGTGGCATGTTTCTGGGGTCAAAACCCCTCTGATGCTTCCAGGGCTGTCCAGGATCCACCTGGGGAGGTGGCAGCACAGGTGGAAGAGGGGAAGTTTGAACTTGCTTTTCATTGCCAGACTCTGCAACAGGAGCAGGCGGAGCTCCAGGGATCGGGAAGGGAGGATAAGGAGCATATGGATAATCCGGACCAGTAGCATGCGGCAGAGGCACCATAGGAGGAAAAGGAGGTGGGTGATAAGGCACAGCGTGCACGAGATAAGGAGGAGGAGGAACATTTTGGTTGCTCCTGGAGCCTGGCTTTGAATGACGCCCAGATGGATTCTTGTGTGCAGGATTCGCCTTTCCACTAGGCTTAGACTTCGCTTGGCCAGCTACAGCCTAATCAGACGAAGAAACTTTTCAGGGGCAAAGTTTATGCTACAAATGCAATGCGAATGTGTATAATCAGAGGTAAACCTTTCGACTCAAGTAAAAGGTAAATCACACTAACAACAAAATGTCATCACCATCATGCATCGAACTCGATAAAACCCAATTCGATCATGATTCAAAGTTACGAAGCAGCGTATTTTCAGCTAAACAAGTCACGAAAAAAGCACCAATACTCAGTATCAGGGAAATTTCACCTCTACGCTAGTAACAACGCACCATTAACACTCGATCACCACAAATCCAACGACATTAACAATAAGGGAATCCAGTAGCTTATTGACTAACCTGAGCGGGAGCGGGAGCTGGGATTGAGGTTGGAATGGTTTTAGACGGAGGAGCCGACGCCGGAGGATTCTTGGGACGCGGCTGTTGCGCGTCGGCGAGCGCTGGCCACGAGTGAGCACCCATTACCGGAGCGTCGGCACTCTCGGCAGGAGAAGCCGTTGTTTTCCACGGAGACTTAGCCCCACAACCACCGGCGCGGCCGATCACTTCTCGATCATCGGCCAATGATCCCTCAGTCTCCGCCATCATCGAAGCTCCAAAGTCAATTAACGGAAATAAGGATGCAATTCAATTGGATCAAAAAACAGAACAAAGATTGCAGGATCGGGAGGAGAAGACGCAATGTGATAAGAGAGGTTGAGAGCCCCAAAGCAAGTATGGAAGACGAAGACGAAGACGAAGAAGAAGCAAGTGTGTGTGTGTGATTTGGGTGGCGCTCTTTAAGAGTAAGCAATGACTATACCGTAAAACACTTAACAGCAAAACCCTAGTTCTACCTTTTTTATTTTTTTAATATAACTTCTCCTTTTTCCTTTATTTTTGACTAGAAAAAAAAAGACATGAAATGTTTAATTGTATATTTGTATATTTGTATCTTTGTCCCTTCGGAAACATCCGCTAAAAAAATGTTTAATTAACGAATAAAATTACAACCAAATGTAATTGCATATTTCATGTCTGCTTTAATTGTTTGTTGAAAACATAGGGAAAACCTTTAAAACATCATTTAAACAACCAATAATAAATAAGCGAACATCGTTGTTCTATTAAACTGTAGTAAAACATCGTTAGTCTCTGTTTTATATACATATATATATAAAATATAAACATGTTATATTGTCTTCCCATATATTAAGCCATCAAATTTGAATTGCATTCACACAAATGATTGATACATGAACAAGCGAAACTACGTACCCTTCAAGAGGAAGAAGGCAATATGAGTTTTATTTGATTCGGTATGTGCTTGTTTGGCTTGAAAAATTAAATAAATACAGAGCTCATTCCTAAAATGGAGTCGAAGTTTTTAAATTCCAAGTATGTATGCTCTAAGATCCGAGTTTTTGCTGAGCTGAGGTTTCGTTTTAAATATTTGACAGTATGTATTTTAAGTTTTTAACTAGTGATAATGTGGAAATAACGAGTGAATGGGGAACCCGAATGGCAAAAAAATCCATAATGTTGTAGAAAAAATGCAATGCAACTAATTTGGTTTTCAATATGTCGAAATTAGAATTGAACGTGTTGATGGAAATATTAAAGAAGATGTCAAGGATTTAGATTGGATAATGAAACTGACAACGAAGAAAATTGATAACATTAAATAAGATGATGAAAAAGGTGATAGGGGATTAGTAATTTGCATTAGTAATGCGTTAAGGGAATGTGGAAGACTTGTTGGAATCGTTGCAAATGGTGAATTGATAATGTTAGGATGAAGAAAAAACTATCTTGATATTTCATTAAGGCTGTTTTAGAAAAATAATCAGTTCGTTGAATAACTAAAGAAAATACGAAATTTGAATATAAATCCTATTTCGACTGATAATTATTAGCTTATATCAAAATTAGATTGGATGAAGCTTTTTCTGATATAAGATAGTATAAAATATGAGATATTAGCTGAGATGATGATGTTAAAACTTATCTAATTGCATGAGTTGATAATAATGTCAATCATTTTTGTTGGGGTTCTCTTGTGAATCTAAGAAAATATTATATCTTGATTATCTTTTTTGGTTAGGCGTAATGGTTCTTTGCTTATGCTTGCATATTTTTACCTCTATGATCAACATTATCATTCCAAAATTTTAGAATGGATAAACTTGTAATTTGTCCCCTACTCAAAAGAAAATGTTAAAAAGAAAAGAAAATAAGTGGATCATTATCTACTTTTTGGACGCCAAGTCACTCGTTTATCCATTTGGTACGGACTTTAATGATACACTGTAGGAGTATATCTCAAAAGCCTTTTTGTGCAATTCTCTTTTCGCTACCAATGGCATTCGTCGTAATTAAACCCTAGCTTCAGGGTCTTTTACTTATCTCCCCCTCTTCGTCCTCCCTCCATTTTTCTTCACGTCTGGTTTCCCCTCTCTCTCTCTCTCCTCTTTCTCTCTCTCACTTCTCTGATTTGGGGTTTCAGATGGGAAATGCGAACGGCAAAGAAGACGACGCCGTCTCTAGCGTCGATGCAGATGCCACCTCATCTTCGGCGAGATCCAACGGCGGCAATCCTTCCGCCCGCAGTCGTCCTCGTCGTCCTTCATCCGACTCTATGAGCAGTTCTCCTCCCGGAAGTCCTGCTCGATCTCCATCTCCTTTCTTATTCGCTCCTCAGGTTTCCGTCTCTCTTGCTCCCCCTGTGCCTGTCTCTGCTCTCTCTATTTTTTATCGTTGAATTTGATGTCTGCGTTTGGATGATCCGATTGAAACATTGTTGAACTTCCGTTGAAGGTGAAATAGAGTTTTCTCCTCCTGATTCTCTGGTCTAAGAAGAGAAAGGTGACTTGACTTTTCATATGTATCGCTCATTGAGAGCTTTCTTCATTAGATTTGCTCAGGATCCAAACACTGATTTTCCAGCCTTTTACGAGTGAACTCTTTTCGGTTTCTAGCTGTCTTATAAGATGTTAATTCGCCTTCCTTGCTTTTTTTTTAATTTCATCTTAGTCCTGAGCTCTCGCTGACACTGCTCTCATGATTGTTGATGTCCTCTAGTGAGTCTTTTGTGTAACGTATCTTTGCTTTCATTGTGAAGAGGGCAAGCTTGTGAGATCAATCACTTTTGTGAGTGAAATCTTTTGTATAGAGGTATTGGACTTTACTAGGTTTTATCTGTTAACCAAGTTATTCTTCCTTCGTTTTGGGAGAGGGAGATGCTTAGTTTAATGCTATGCCTTTTATGCTAGAGAAGCTGCTTTAGAGAAATTCTTATTCGTTGTATTGGTTATGCCATCATAAGATACTGCCAAGTGTGGATAAGTTTATACCAATCAAATAGGATGCTAATGCTTGTCGCTCTTTGTTTCTATGATGATCTGATTTTCCTGCTACTCTCTGGTCCTTACTGGTTTCTGATGCTCGTCTATTGATATGATGAATTTGTGAAGTGTGGTGTCCCATCGTGAGTGTTTTGTATAATGTTCCTTTGCTTTCATTTTGAAGGGGATGACAAGTTTGTTCATTTCTGATCCCCTTTTAAACTTGAATTCACTTGAGCGAATTAGAGATTGTGGTTGTTTCTTTATTGCTTGGTGGGAATAGTATCTATTGCTTGTCAGGTCTTGTCTATAATTGTAGTAAATTACTCATTGTATTGTTTGCTATGTTCTCCTTTTCTTTTCAGCTCACATTGTTATTCCACCATACATCTAACACCATTGGTACAACTATGCGCCACCTCTTCCATTGTTTAGGCTTAACATGTGTACCTAATGGCTGCATTTCGTGTCAGATGGTAGATTTAGTGTCTTGAACATTCGCAAATTCTTCTCTCACTTGGTTCGGAAAATCTCACTGCTCAATTTTTTTATGTGGCTTATGTATATATCAGGTTCCCGCAGCTCCGTTACAGAGGGCAAACGCTCCTCCTTCGCCTAATAAAATCCAATGGAACCAATCTCCTAGAGTCTTTGATAATCCCCCAGAGCAAGGAATCCCGACCATCATAACATGGAACCAGGGAGGTAACGATGTGGCAGTGGAAGGATCATGGGACAATTGGAGATCAAGGTATCCATAGTTGATTTCTTTATTGTGAACTTGCTCTCTAGCTTTCCATGAATATGTATTTATATACTAATACGTATATATACATTCCCCAGGAAAAAGCTGCAGAAATCAGGAAAAGACCACTCAATTTTATTTGTCCTTCCATCTGGCATATACCACTACAAGGTGATAGTCGATGGTGAATCCAAACACATCCCAGATTTGCCCTTTGTATCAGACGAAATGGGCAATGTCTGTAACATTCTCGATGTTCATGTAAGTAACTGTCCCACCTTTTTTAACAGTATCAATCAATCTTACATTGAGTAACAGTATGTGCAATCATAATGCAGAACTTTGTGCCGGAAAACCCGGAAAGCATAGTGGAGTTTGAGGCGCCACCGTCACCTGATCATAGCTACGGTCAAGCGCTCCCAACCGCAGAGGATTACACAAAAGAGCCACTCGCGGTGCCACCTCAGCTTCACCTAACGCTTCTTGGCACAACTGAAGAAGCAGCCGTGGCCACAAAGCCTCAGCACGTGGTGCTTAACCATGTGTTCATAGAGCAAGGTTGGACTCCTCAGTCCATTGTAGCTTTGGGTTTAACCCACAGGTTCGAGTCTAAGTACATAACTGTTGTCCTCTACAAACCGCTCACACGGTAAACCTTAAAAAAACCAAAATCCAATGCCGCATTGTTTGCTTTTTTTCTTCATCTCTCAGTTCTGTGAAAACTGTTGTTTTGTTCATAGTGAGTGCCCAACATTTCCGAGTTTATTATCCTCGTTTGTGTCTGATTTGGTGCTTTTTATGTACAAAGCTTCTTATTGTAACAAATGCGATTTTCAGTTGTTTTTTTTTCTTTCTGTAAGATACATTCCCTAATAATGGCTATAACAAAGCTTATCAGCTACTGCTAGCAACCAATTAAAATGAGGGAAAATTCAAAGGTTAAGAAAAATAGAGTAAATTTAAAATAAAATAAAAAAAAAGACTTTTTGAGGCATTTTTTTCTAACCAATTAAAATGAGGGAAAATAGAATGTTATTAGACTGGCTCATCAATCCACGTCGTCGGATTTTTGTAAAATTGGATTTTGGATAAGAGAACAGATAAAGAAAAAGAAGAGCGTGAGATAAAAGTGAGCCACACGATGGAGTATGGCCGAGTAAGCATCGGCCGAGTAATTGAGACGGATCAAGTTGCAGAAGCCATGAGAGTCTGTTTCCTTTTACTTTCTCAAGGCGACGCTCGAGCTCCTCCGCTCTGCTTTGTCGCCGATACTTTCTTTCTTGCCACCCACACCAGTTACTTCTCTCTCCCTCCCTCGGAGATTTTCTCCTTCGATAACAAAATTCTCCGCCATTGATTTTTGAATTCCCCGGAAATAGCTGCATGCGATTTCAACTCTAGCTGCTTCCTTTTCCCGGGACCCTCCGGTCGATTCGCAGGTGTGTTTGCCTGAGACAGCTTGTGACGTGAACTCTGAGCGATGAGTGAGCAGAAGGCCAAGCGTTGGGTTGGAAAATATGAGGTTGGAGAAACGATCGAACAAGGCACTTTCTCTATAGTGAGGTATGCTAAGAACACTGAGACAGGAGAATCCGTGGCTCTTAAAATCCTTGATAAAGAGAAAGTTCTCAAGCATAGCATGTCTCAACAGGTTACTCACTTTCCTCTCTTTTACATTACTTGAGAGTAAAACATGGTTTCAAGTTTCAAAAGTGAGATTCACAGATAGGTCCATCTTCAATCCGGAAGTGTGATTGTGGCTCTTCTTCCTCGTTTGCTTTTACAGATAAAGAGAGAAATTTCGACTGTGAAGCTGATAAACCATCCAAATGTCGTGCGGCTGTATGAGGTCTCTCTCCATGTCTCTATTTTTCTTTTGTATCTTTGGAGTCGAAGCAATTCTGTTTAAAAGCTAACTTTGAAGAAGTAATTGATATCATTTTCTAGGTTTTGGCGAGCAAGGCAAAGATGTATATTGTACTAGAGTTCATCAGTGGTGGAAAGCTTTTTGACGAAATTGTGAGTTTATCCCTCTCCCTACAATGCCTCATGCTCAGCTTTAGAAGGTTCATGTATTTTACAGATGAAAGTATTTTAGTATTGGTTTTTGAGCAATGCGTTAAATTTTGAACTTGTGAAGAAAAATGAGGGGCGCATGAAAGAAGAGGAAGCTCGGAGATATTTCCAGCAGCTTATCAATGCACTTGATTACTGCCACAGCATGGGACTGTACCATAGAGACTTAAAGGTACAGTAAACGTTTTTGGTAACTCTTGGATTCAAGTTTGTAGTGTGGGTCTCTTTTAAATGCAGCTGGGTGATGCTTGAATTTTGTTATTCTTTACTTTTCTCAATGCAGCCGGAAAACTTGCTTCTTGATGCTCAAGGACATCTGAAAGTTTCTGGTTTTGGATTCACTGCCTTGTCCCAACAAGTCAGGGTAACCACTGAATTTGATTCTCTTACCATCATTTGGATTTGCCTAAGTTCCTACTGAGTCGTCCTTGTCTGATTCAAATGGATATGCATGAAGTTCAGTAATGATGTTATGCGGTTGTTGCACCATGTTTTTTAATAGCTTCCTTGTTGCTCTTGTCCCTAGGTTCTTAATGATCAAGGCTACGACGGGGCAACCGCAGACTTGTGGTCTTGTGGAGTGATACTCTTTGTACTACTTGCTGGGTACTTGCCTTTTGAGAATTCTAATCCCATGACGATGTACAAGAAGGTAAGAAGTTTTCTAAGTTTATTTTTCAGGCTTCTTTCACGCCATTATTTGTGATATTTTTTGTTATATGTTGCACTTTTGTCGTTTTTCAGATCTCAGCTTCTGAATTCAAATGTCCTCCTTGGCTCTCTTCTGGTGCTAAGAACTTGATCGTCCGAATGTTGGATCCAAACCCTACGACTGTAAGATACTTCCGTTTACCACTGCTTTCAAGATTTATAATATATATATCTTCTGTTTTCTTATGCCTGAACGCGAATAAATTAAATAAAAGCCACTCGTGCTTGCTTTCAATGGTGGAACTAATTGAGTGTGTCTTAAAATGCCAGCGTATTACAATTCCTGAGATTTTGGAAGATGCGTGGTTCAAGAAAGATTACAAGCCAGCCGTGTTTGAAGAGAAGAAAGAAACAAATTTGGCTGATGTGGAAGCTGTTTTTAAAGATTCCGAAGTGAGTCATTTTACTATTCTGAGATCTGTAGGATGATTGAGTTGAAGGGTTTAATCATCTGGAAATAGTCACCTAGAATCCGGACTTGTTTATGTGTAGAGTGCTCTCTTACACTTACAGAGCTTCCCTGTTACGTGGAAAGTAGAGAATCAGATTCAGATTACGATTGTGCTAAGAAAATGTTTGTCATATATATTATTATTGCTTAAATGAAGATGAAGAGAGGTTTGAGATAACACATGTTTTTCCTTCACAGGCTGTGACAGTGCAATTGCGGTCAAATCCCTGTGTGATATGTTCAGGTGGTACTACTTGCGGCGATGTTCGTTCAAGGACCAAACTGATGAATGGTTTGATAGAACGAGGGAGACCTCAAGAGGCTCATTCCATTTTCAACACACTTATTGAAGAAGGCCACAAGCCAAGCATCATCACATACACCACTCTTGTAACTGCATTGACCCGCCAAAAGCATTTCCACTCTCTCCTCTCTCTCATCTCCAAAGTCGAGAAAAACGGCCTCAAACCCGACACCATTCTCTTCAACGCCATCATCAACGCCTCGTCCGAGTCTAGAAACCTCGACCAAGCAATGAAGATCTTTGAAAAAATGAAGGAAAGTGGATGTAAACCCACAGCAAGTACATTTAACACTCTCATCAAAGGATATGGCAAAATTGGTAAGCTGGAGGAATCGTCAAGACTCCTGGAGATGATGCTACGGGATGAGATCCAACCAAATGACAGAACATGTAACATACTTGTCCAGGCTTGGTGTAACCAAAGGAGAATTGAAGAAGCATGGAACATTGTATATAAGATGCAGTCTTACGGGGTAAAACCTGACGTAGTCACGTTTAACACACTTGCAAGAGCGTATGCGCGGATCGGGTCGACATGTACATCTGAGGATATGATCATACCAAGGATGTTACACAACAAAGTTAAACCGAATGTACGTACCTGCGCCATCATTATGAATGGCTACTGTGTAGAGGGAAAGATGGAAGAAGCTTTGAGGTTTTTCTACAGAATGAAGGAACTTGGAGTTCATCCAAATCTCTTCGTTTTTAACTCTCTAATCAAAGGCTTCCTTGACATCAACGACATGGATGGAGTTGATGAGGTGTGATTCAATTCATTAACTCTTCAATTATTTTACATATACGACATGAATGGAGTTGATGAGGTGTGTTTTAATATTACAGGTAGTGAATCTGATGGAAGAATACGGAGTAAGACCTGACGTGGTAACATTTAGCACACTGATGAATGCATGGAGCTCTATAGGAGATATGAAAAGATGCGAAGAGATATATGGAGATATGTTGGAAGGAGGAATAGATCCAGACGTTCATGCGTTTAGTATCCTTGCCAAAGGCTATGCTCGAGCTGGAGAGCCAGAAAAGGCGGAGCAACTCTTGAATCAGATGAGAAAAATCGGCGTTCGTCCGAATGTTGTGATCTACACAACGATCATAAGCGGTTGGTGCAGCACGGGTGAAATGAAGAAAGCGATGCAGGTATATAAGCAAATGTGTGGAGTGGTTGGTTTATCGCCTAACTTGACTACTTACGAGACTTTGATATGGGGATTCGGGGAAGCGAAGCAGCCATGGAAAGCGGAAGAGCTTCTGATAGATATGGAAGAGAAGAATGTGGTTCCCACGAGGAAGACTATGCAGCTAATAGCTGATGGATGGAAAGCTATTGGTGTTTCTAATACTAATGATGCCAATACAGTCGGCTCTTCTTTCTCAACTTCCTCCAAACTCAATGTCCCAAATCATATTGTCTCGACGAGAAGTCCATTGTTCTTAAAGGGAATGCCTGAAAAACCGAAGCTATGCATCAAGTCCAGGTTTGGTTTGAGGAAGTCGAGGGTTTTGGTGGTGGTGTGCAGAGACCAGATCGGGGAATCTGGGAGATTTGCAAATTCATGTAGACTTGTTTTCCTTTAGAGATGGAGCCAAATTAAAGGGTAAGAAAAGCTAACCAAAGGTTGTGGAAGCAAACAATACATTTTTTTGTACAAAAATATTTTGAAAGTGAATGGGAAAAAGGAACAAACATACAAATGAGATGGATAATGATGCTATTGAAAAGTTTTGGTTTCTTTTTTATCAAATGAGTAAATTTGGTATCCATTTAGAGCCAGTGCCACTGAATCAATCCACCAATAATGTTGAATATTTTAGTTTTTTGATTTGTCCTATTATTCAGCTTTTACTACAATTAGTTGTAAGAAAGAAAATCATCCTTTAAAAAAAACAATAGAATTGTAGAAATTAAACCAAATAACAAAAGAGAGAATATCATAAATTCTCAAAGGATTTGCAAAACATGAGTTCATACATCACACACTACGGAGCTTAACCAAAGCAAACAAATGAAAAGGGGAAAGAAGCAACAAAAAAAAAAAAAAACAAAACACGTCCTAAAAAACGCAACCAGCCACAGAATCAAGTCATGATAAATCGTTTTTCATTTTTTTTGGAGGTTAAGGCTTTTTAAGAGGGGATAAGATTCTCTCACTTAGCCATCATGACTTTAACGAATTCATCATAGTTGATCTGACCATCGCCATCAACATCAGCTTCTCGGATCATCTCATCAACTTCCTCATCACTTAGCTTCTCGCCGAGATTTGTCATGACATGTCGAAGCTCTGCTGCAGATATGAAACCATTCTGGTCTTTGTCAAAGACCCTGAAGGCTTCCTTCAGCTCTTCCTCTGAATCAGTGTCCTTCATTTTCCTCGCCATCAGGTTCAGGAACTCCGGGAAATCTATGGTCCCGTTCCCGTCTGCATCAACTTCATTGATCATGTCTTGGAGCTCGGCTTCTGTTGGGTTCTGCCCCAGAGACCTCATCACGGTTCCGAGCTCCTTGGTGGTGATGCAACCTGCAAACAAATTCGGGTGTAAGCTTTAGAGATAGACTTATGACTCATGAATGAAGATTCCAAATACACAATCCGCTCCTTCTACTTGTTACAGCAAGTCATTGCATTTCTTATTTCGACTAAAAATTCCTAATAAGTTACTTTACTTAACAAAGAAACTTAATTCATGCACACCAAATATAAACAATCTTCAAGCAAGTTAAAAAGTGTCACGGTAACTGAAATATTCCATGTTTATTCCATTTTTACTTATGAGCACTGTACCAAGAAACCTAGACTCATGTGTATTCTTGTTAAGTCAATAATAAAAGACACAATATTCTTTTTACAAATCTCTTTACATGTATCAAAGCCAAGTTAAAGGCCAAAGCTGCACTATGCTATGAATGAAGCAAATACAAGAGAAGATTGCAAGTTTTCCACCAATAAGAGCAGTACATACATTACAGATGTATCCCTGCTTTTTCACATAATCAAACTATTAGCGAAATTTCATAATCAGATTTACTTAGATATAGAAACATCTGCAATATCATTCCCTTTTCCCACATTCAGCAATGTTAAAATTATATATTTTAGATCCATACAATACAAAGCGAGCTAGCGAGAACAAGCAAACAAACACAACGTGAGCCATGAATCGTCACCGAACATGCCAAAAAAATAGATCGTCCACGAATTCAAGTGAAAACAAAAAAAATACGAATTGTACGGTAAAATGAAGATCACAAATCGTCAAACAAATTCCAGAACTCAACGATCGATGAATATACGAAGAAATAAACGGGAATAGCCCAAAGATCTGTGAAAATAACGTGACAAATTCCAGAACTCAGCGATCGATGAGTCTACGAAGGTATAAACGGGAATAGTACAAAGATCTGTGAAAATAACGTACCATCTCCATCCTTATCGAAGAGGCTAAACGCTTCCTTGAACTCTGAGATCTGGTCATCGGTGAGCTGGTCCGCCATTTTCCTTCAACCTATCCGAGAAATTTTGCTACTGTTTTTCTTCTTTCCCTTTTTGCTGTAATTCTGTAAGAGCTTTATAAAGAGAGCCCAACATATGGTTTGGGCCTTTGAAGATAAAATGTGGAGCTAAAGCCTTATGATTTTATTTAGTTTCTACTACAAGTTTTGTAACCTTTGCAATTAAATCTATAATCCAATTATTGTTTATACAAATTCTTTTAGTTATGATATTTGAGTTTTTTCACAACTGAAAAACCCTGTGAAAGTCTTTTAGCTAGTATAAAATTACGAAATATGAAAATACTTATTGGATTATTGATTAAATTGTAAAGGTTACACAACTTTGTGCTTAGGTAATAATAATGAGAGAGAAATACAAGAAAGTGCCAATTATGAATTGTACATTAGTGTTTCAGCAGTCTCACACACACAACCTTGTTGTTTTGCGTATTAATATTTAATAATAACCATTGTAATAATAACATTGCGTATTACTTTAAAGTTTCACTTCTCGGTCAAATGCTTTTTCTTTTAAAATAATACAACATAGAAACAATTTAAAAACAAAAAGAGGAGGAGAAACGTTTTTATTAGGTCTCTGTCTCTATTCAAACCTGAACATACTCATATTTTGTCATTGCATTAATAAACTCAAAATAATTGACCAAAAAAAAAGGTAATAACATTATTTAACTTGACAAGAAAAATAATTAAGGAAAGAAATCATGCGTTGTCCCATACGAAAATGAAAAACGAGAGTGTCATTGTTACTCGTCCCCACGCGAAATTAAATAGTTCGTCTGTTAGCTTCAAAATTACAATCATCGTATCTCTCGTCCCTCCTCGCATCTTCTATCTCTCTCTCTCTCTTTTTCGTCCTGCCAAATTTTCTCTCCTTCGATAAGCGAACTCTGCGCCATAGATTTTTTTTTTTTTTTTTTGAATCTTCCTGCTAACTTTTGAGCTCCCGGAAAGGCTTCGTCGGGCTTTTATCCTCCTACTTGCTGTCTTCTCTCGGAATACTCCGGCCAATTTTGCAGGTTGCGTTCATCATACTGTTTTGCGATTTTTTTTCATGTCTCGCTTCGATTTGAATAGTGATTAGGTATCTTGAAGAGTTTGATCACTTGTTTATTCTTCTAATTCGTGCTTAAAGTGTGTGTGATGATGATGCTAAATCTCTGAGCTAAGTCGAGAATCTTACTTCAATTATATATATGCGTACGATTATTGGTTTGGTGGAGGGAGAGTTTCGATATACGTGTATGCTTGAACTATCTGATTCTGGCGATTTGGGGTGTTAATCGGAGATTCCGGGGGAAAGATTCTGTTGCTAGATTTGTCATCTCCTTGTTGATTTCAGCCGTTTTTGCGCTTTTTTTTATTACTGTCCTCTTTCGTTCAATTGATAAAATAAATGTTCTGTTTGCCTTCTCTGTTGGATTTTCTAACATCGAGAATGCGTTTTCCAGAAGCAGCCTGTGAAGGTCGAGAGGTGAGCTCCGGAGTGATGAATCGGCCAAAGGTGCAGCGTCGGATTGGTAAATATGAGGTTGGAAAGACGATTGGGCAAGGCACTTTTGCTAAAGTTAGGTACGCTAAGAACACTGAGACTGGAGAATCCGTGGCTCTCAAAATCCTTGATAAAGAGAAAGTTCTCAAAAACAAGATGTCTGAACAGGTAACTCAATCAGTGGAGAAGAAAGGATTCATGAAAAACGTATAATTTTTGTTAGTCTTCGATGTTAAAGTTTGATGTGGCTCTTCCTCGTTTGATTTTGGCAGATAAGGAGAGAAATTTGTACTATGAAGCTGATAAACCACCCGAATGTAGTGCGGCTGTATGAGGTCTCTCTCCTTGCCTCAACTTTTCTCTATGTGTCTCCATTTTCCTCGGGCTTGCTTATCTCTAGCCATCAATTAAGAGAAAAAACTAACTTTTTAAGGAAACAATTGATACCGTTCCAGGTTTTGGCGAGCAAGACGAAGATATATATAGTCCTAGAATTCGGCATGGGTGGAGAGCTTTTTGACAAAATTGTGAGATTACCTTATCCCTCCAAAGGGCTTTTATAACTTGTATCTTATCTATCTTTTGGTGTTTGTATCATATATCAAATGCGTCATTCGAAGCCCCTGCAAATCTTGATAAATTTTCCTGTATCATTAAGCCGAAACTTGCGCAGGTACATGATGGGCGCCTGAAAGAAGAGGGAGCACGGAGATATTTTCAGCAGCTTATCAATGCAGTTGATTACTGTCACAGCAGGGGAGTGTACCACAGAGACTTAAAGGTACGACTGTACGAGATATCTTTTCCGTAAATTCTGGGTCCAAGTTTGCAGGATGTGCTAATTGATGCCTACAATTTGTCTTGTTTACTTCTCTTACTGCAGCCGGAAAACTTGCTTCTAGATGCTCAAGGAAATCTGAAAGTCTCTGATTTTGGATTGAGTGCCTTGTCCAGACAAGTCAGGGTAAGCACTGATTTTTTTTTTCCTTAGGATCCTTTGGTTTGCCTGAGTTCCTACTGATTTGTCCTTGTCCTATTCTAATGCATGTACCTGAAGTTCAGTAATGATTTACTTTATCGATTATATATACAAGTATCTAATAAAATTTGGGATAATACAGTAGCACTTTTCTTTCTAGATTCTTGTCAAAGGTAGTAGATATTATAGCCGAAAACATCCTTCGTATCCTGTGTAGTCTCAAACCGTCCATGTTCTTTTGTGTATGCAATATTCCGATCGTTGGGTTTCTCAGCTTATGAGATTTATTTGGCTTTGGCAGGGTGATGGTCTTCTTCACACTGCATGCGGAACTCCAAACTATGCTGCTCCTGAGGTATGCTTAGTCACGTGGCTTCTCATGTGGTTTTTGCCATGTTTCTAATAACTTTGTTACCCTTGTCCCAAGGTTCTTAATGATCAAGGCTATGATGGGGCGACCGCAGACTTGTGGTCCTGTGGAGTGATACTCTTTGTACTACTTGCTGGTTATTTGCCTTTCGAGGATTCTAATCTCATGACACTGTATAAAAAAGTAAGAACTTCTGTAATTTTTTTCCGAGGCTTCACCCTTCACAAGAATATGTTACTCTTCTTTCTATGTTGTAATTTCGTCACTTTTCAGATAACAACTGCTGAATATCATTGTCCTCCTTGGCTCTCTCCTGGCGCCAAGAACTTGATCATCCGAATCTTGGATCCAAACCCTATGACTGTAAGATCTTTCAATTTAATAATGCTCTTAAGATTTAAATCTATCTTTCATATGTTTTCTTCTACCGATATCAACTCATCTTGTTTTTCTTCCTAGACATTTAGGCGGGTTAGGGCTTAACAGGGATCTAATGGTAAACTTGATAGAATATTTAGTGGCAGTTCATTCTTTGTCTTGTGCCTTTTGTAGCATTAAGTTTGAAATCAAACAAGTAAACTTTACATATTTAGAGAGCACCATTCACTTGTGCATAAATGTAGTCGCGAAACGTGAAAGCATATGATTATTGACTTGGGATATTCATCAGTAATGTTGGCTTTCTGTCATAAAAATCAATAAGTTTCCATTCTTGCTGACTCTTTCGTCTTGAGTAAACTACCTGAAATGAAATGAGTTACTGCTAGTGGATTTATTATATTAGAGACTTTCTAAGTTTCTATTTGTTTAGTTATTATATACATAGTGGATGCTTTATGATGGATATTCAGCAATGATTTGGCGAAGATTAATTGAAATTGTTTAATTTTATAGCTTAATCATGAAATAACCAAGTGATTATTAATGCGTTTTCCAACTTTGGGTATTGGGGTTTTCCTATCTAATAAGCTTTTGAATAGCTTCCGAGGAATAAGAGTTGAGGAAAACTTTGTATACAATTTTTCTAGTGGGGTGTTTACCTCTGATAATCTCTTTTATCATACTTTTTATATCAAAGTATTAAGATATTTCCTCTTTGTCTCTTTATTTTTTTTTATCTATATCTCTTTTTGCATGTCAAACTTGATCACTTAAAACATCTGGGGATCGATACTCGTCCTTGACTTAAACGGTGGAACTAACTGACTGTGCGTTAACATGACAGCGTATCACAATTCCAGAAATTCTGGAAGATGCATGGTTCAAGAAAAACTACAAGCCAGCCGTTTTCGAGGAGAAGGAAGAAGCAAACTTGGATGATGTGGAAGCTGTTTTTAAAGATTCTGAAGTTAGTCATATTTACTTAATCTGAGAGATCTGTATGATGATTTTAGCTATCTTTCTTTCCTGTTCAGTTGCTTGAATAAACGTCCATAACAATCTTTGATTCATAAACAGGAGCATCATGTCACAGAAAAGAAAGAAGAGCAACCAACTTCCATGAATGCCTTTGAGTTGATATCAATGTCGAGAGCTCTGGATCTCGGGAACTTGTTTGAAGAAGAAGAGGTGAGTCTTTTAAATAAACACTCCTATATTGCTTGAATTCTTCAGCAAAAAAAAAAAATAATCTTTGTGTGCGCCATGGCATTATCATAATAGCGTATAATTTAGACAGTTTCAGGGTTTAGTCTTGCCAAAATATATTTTCATTAATGAAGTCTACACCTGTTAACTTACAGGGATTCAAGCGAGAAACAAGATTTGCTGCTACAGGCGCTGCTAATGAATTAGTCCAGAAGATTGAAGAAGCTTCTAAGCCTCTTGGTTTCGATATTCAAAAGAAAAACTATAAGGTAAACCGATCGTGTGATACCCTAACAGCTCTTGACATTGTCTCTCCTTTGTTTTAAACCACTTCCTGTTAGAGTTAAGAATCACACACACACACACACAAAAATCCAAAGAAAATAAAATATTAAACCTAAAAGTGGTCACTTTCACTGAACCACTACTTTTTGTACACAGATGAGACTTGAAAACGTGAATGCCGGAAGGAAGGGAAACCTAAAAGTGGCGACTGAGGTACATTATGCACTCATGACTCTTTGCTTTACTGAAATATTCTTTTCATATATGAATTGGCATGGAATTAAAGAAGTGATCTGTAATGTTGTGTAGATATTTCAAGTATCACCTTCTCTGCATATGGTCGAAGTCCGGAAAACTAAAGGGGATACATTAGAGTTCCATAAGGTACTACTAATTAACAGTTTTAAGACTCTGCAAATTAAAATTGTTCTTCGGAGGACCGTTTCTTATATATATATCTTGTACATCTACTTTCTTTGCAGTTCTACAAGAAGCTCTCGACCACACTTAACGATGTGGTTTGGAAATCCGGCGAGAGCTCTGATAAATAAAAACAACAAATAAGAAACACAGAGTGATATAAGTCTGCTTGATCATTCTGATTGTATCTTATGTTTTCTGGTACTTTTTTTTGGCTATCGGACTCAATTCTTTTAAACAATTAGAGAGACAAAAGAAAACCATGAGATTGACTCTGTACATATCGAAGCATGTGCAGTAAGGTGTTTATTTATATATGTGCGGTCTTCGATTGTAGAAGTAGTTCATTCTGCTGTATTGTATCAAACATTTTGTCGATCAAATGGTTTTGCTTTTACATTCCGATGCCGAGACCTGACTTCTGCGCCGACTTTTTAACAATATAGGATAAGTTCAAAAAAAGAATCTCTGAAATTTTATTAAAAAAAACGCCGTTGCCGGGGATCGAACCCGGGTCACCCGCGTGACAGGCGGGAATACTTACCACTATACTACAACGACTTTGATGTTAGTCAAACGTAGCTTACATTAATATACTAATAGAAATATATATATATATAGTGGACTTGCTTTTATCCATAACGGAGATTTTTTTTTTTTTTGTGTGGTTGACACAATTTCGACGAATCCGTTATCAGTTAATAATTTTAAGGATCGAAATTCGAAATCTTCTTAGCGCCATGGCTTCCTTATCGACGAGAACTCAACCGTGGTTAGTGCACATTCCCGGCGAATCCGTCCTCCATCACTTGCCAAGCACGTGCTCTTTCCCATGGAAGCCAACAATTACGAGGCGGATGATCTGTTCGCCGGCGAGGAACTCCGGTGAGATGTCGACGGAGGCAGAAACCGACGGTGGATCTAGCACAGCCGTTGATGAAGCACCGAAAGGGCCTCCATCTTTGATCTCAGCTCTCAACGTCGAACGCGCTCTCCGTGGCCTTCGTAATCTCTCTTTCTCTCTGTTTCTCTTCCTTTTGCTTAGATTTGAATCTTCGAAGAGGAAGAAAAATTGATGGCGGTTTGGATTAGAATGCAGCGATTACAGATGTGGATCACTACGGCCGGCTTGGGCTTCCCAGAAACTGTTCTTACGATCAGGTCTGTTTTTGTGTACTCTATTTCAATCTCTTGAGATTTAGTTTCCAGTGATTCTTCTGCATCGTTTACTTGAGTATATGATATTATTTCTATATTCAGGATTTTTCTAAGTTTTTGATTGCTCATACCAAACAGAGTAACCCTGATTTACTCCAAGAAGAAAACATATTATCAATCGCCTGCGATACTAATTAGGAACAAATCTGATAGGAATACCAAACATTTTTACGTTGAATTTTCGAAGTACCAATACAGTTCAAAGTGGAATGCTTTTTGTTATCAGGTTAGAATTGGTTACCAAGATAAAGTAAAGGAGCTAATGGGACAAGGGCTAGACGAAGAACAACTCAAGAAGAAGATGGAGCTTGTCAAAGTCAGTATCTAATTACCCAAGAAAACAAAATATGTATAGCCTTTTGAAATTGACTATATCATGTTGTGAGATTCGTGAAGTCCTCATATAAAGGAAGTGATGATGAGTTGTAGGATTCGTATACGATCTTGTCGTCCGTGGAAGAGAGACGAATGTACGATTGGAGTCTAGCCAGAAGCGAAAAATCAGAGCGGTACGTGTGGCCATTTGAGGTTGACATCATGGAACCGTCGACGGAAGAGCCGCCTCCTCAGGTATGTTACCGCTCTGTTTTGCTTCGGTTCGGTTTTTTCAGTTTTTACTTTTATACCGAAGCAGAACCAAAATGATTAAACACAAACCAATCATATCTTTAGGAAAGGTTAAATAAATTCTGGTAAAGATTTAGCTAGAAGATATAAAATTGTAATGAATTTTTATTTACACGATTTGATTTGATATGGTTGGATTAAAAGTTTTGTTGCTTTAGCTTAGATATACTGTAAACCTTTTGTTACCATCGCTCCGGTAAGGAAAAATGCAGTTTGGTGCGGTTTAGTTTTGGAATAGGGCTTCTAATAAAATGAGATGTTCGGGGGGAGAAATGGACAGGAACCAGAAGATGTAGGACCGACGAGGATTCTGGGATACTTCATTGGAGCATGGCTTGTTCTTGGTGTCGCCCTTTCTGTTGCATTCAATCGTTAGCCAGATTCGTTTCTTATACTGTTCTTTCGCATCATCTTCCTCACTTCAAATTGAATAACTTTCGATGTATATTTAGTACCCGGTTAAATATCTACGTGTCATCTGATGATGTTCAAATCTACGGCTATGTAATAATTAGTGTGTGTGTGTATCCACAAAGTAAAGGATATATATGTTTACATACAATTATAATTTATATGTTTATGATTTATCCATTTATCATCTTCAGAAATGACACAGCCATTCAAGGCGTAAAGGTAATGACTTCATCATTGCAACATGGAGACATCATTTATAGTATTTATTATGTCAAGCATCAGATAATGTATTTTCAGTATTGTCTATCTTTTGTACCATCATTTCAATTTTCCTTTAAAAAAAAATACAATTAATTTGGTTGCAAAGATATGCAAACATTTACCGGTGGGCGTGCTGAGCACTTACTGTTATATTAGGAAAGTTGAATGAAAGATAGAAAATCATGGAAAATGAAGAGATGCAAATGAAGGAAGAGATAAGGTTTGGTTCTAAAGCCAACGTCGTCTGGAGTCTGGATCAAAGTTCAATCTATAATTTAATCACCGCTAAAAAAAATGTTTAAGCTCTTGACTTAGTATTAGTTAATTAATTATATACAAATTATATTTTAAAAGCTTAGTGTAGTTTATTTTAGGAACGTAGACATTATTAATCAGCTTACACGACCGGTTTGACTTCAGAATATACTAGTGATCAAGCCCTTTCAGTTTTTTTTTTTAAAGAAAATTAAAGCCAACGGCTTTAGTTGTATCGCAAACATTAATCTCTTTTTATATTTTAATAGAGAATAAAAATAGAGAAAGAAATAAATCTATGAAGAATAAAATGATGAAAAGTGAAAATTTTGCGTAGGACTAATTAGAATTTAGAAGTACCCACCTCCATACCTGCCATCTATCAATGGTGTCAGTAGATCAACACTTACTTCACAAATGTGGCCTAAATCTAGAGTTTTGGTGGTATTATAGAATGGTCGACAAACAACACACTAGTACAAATCAATAGATTACATGTCATCCTCAGAATCTGATTGTTAACATTTTTACTACCATAGACATTTTATGACGACAAATCTAACTGTCTACACTTTTCACGAATATGTTTTGCTTAGGTCTGTGTGTAATGTGTGTGTGCAATGATTTAGGTGTTCTTGTTTCAAATGCCAAATTCTATAATTGCATTTTAATGTGTTTTATATATAAATGTGAATTGTTTTCGAATTTCCACAAAATACTCTCTGCAATCGTACACGAAACATTAGTGATTAACAACATAATTTCTTTTAGATGTCAAAGAGATAATGAGTGCATTTAAAAACGCATTCTAAACGAAAGCACAAATAAAACTAACAATCGATGACTTATTAAATCTACAGGATTAATACATAATTTCTAATACAACACTACTTCACAATCGTGGGATTATTAACTAGAAACGCATTTGACTTTTTTGTTGTAAAAGAGATATATTTAACGTTCTAATAAAAAAACGAAAGACAAAAAAATATGTATTATTTATACATTTGACGTGGTCGGCTAAAGTTGAAAATACAATAAAATATGTATATATTTACTAACTTACTAGAAAATGACATACGTTCTATTTATTACACTATAAAATATATTTACGTAATTATTAATTATATAGTCAAACATGCTTTTGCCAAACTATATATTAAAAAGTCAAACTTGTTAGACTACACGATGACAAAACAAAAAAATTTATGCGTGCTCATTAGTAAGGTGATATTGATTTTTAAGGCAAGTTATATTCTATTTCGTTTACTTTCGGCTTTCCTAAACAGCTATTGTTTTAACCCATATTAATAAATGAATCTAGGATTTCATAGTTTTGTGTTTATTCCATCTTTTAGTAAAAAAAAAAAAAAACTGATCGAAAATGACTAGTAGTGACCATCTTTTGGTAGAAAGAAAAGGACAGCACAACCTGTAATAGCAAGATATCCATGAACGCATTTCCTATCCTACCAAGTGAATTTTCGGATTGTGGTGTTCCAAGCCTATCTCTGTATTATTAGTTTACTGCATTTGGTGGAGGATGAAGTAACAAAACAAGCTCTACTTTTGTTATTTCAAAACCATAGTGCTAATATCTTTTTAAAATCTGACATTGTCGATCGATTTAAAGATAACAATGCTTTTATGTTTTCGCATGTATTATACAAAAATGAGTACGGACCAACCTTTGTGGAACTTATGGATTTTATAAAGAGAACAAAAAAGAAGAAGGATTGAAGCACTTTACCACACACAAAAGAACTCAGTAAGATTATTTACTAGAATTGATTAATGTTGTTAAATTACTTTATGGGACAAGATTCCGGAATTAGTTAATTTAATTCGGGCGGAATTTGGGAATTGTCCTCCTACATATTAATATTTTAATGTTGAGTCGAACACAATCTTCTTTTTTCCCCTTTTAATACCTAAGTCAGCTAAATTCATATGATAAAGTAAATTTGCCTGCCCCACGATTATTATACATAAATCAGTAATAAACCCACAATGATTAAAGGTTGTGATTAGAGAGACGAATATCGTCAATTCGGTGTGTGTGGTAACTCATTAACGTTAATGCATTGATCTTCTCGTAACTAATTAAGTAATTAGTTGATGAGAGGCTTCATCACTTGAATATGCACTTCTTCTAAACCTAAAGAAAGTTGTGAACACGATTGCATCTAATAACTTTTTTTGAGTTGACAAATTAAACGTTTTCTTCTTCTAAATTTTACTTTAATGTGCAATTAGACCAAATTTTTATAATTCTTCTGTTGCTGAATATTCATACTATTATTTATTATAAATGTGATACATTGATTTTATGTTTCAAAAATATCAACAATTTATTAGCATTTCAGAAGAATAATATTTATCATATACTCATATTGTGGTACATTGATTTTCTTTTTTGTTTTTCCTTTCACTTTTTCTTTTATTGTCAATTCATGTATTTTATGAAATTATTTAATCATCCGTCAATCTTTTTATCTTTTAATTTGATTGACCCAAAAATAATTGAATTGCACATGAATTTGGACTGATCAGTACTCTGCACCCTGGATCAATTAGTCCATGAAAATAATGCATCATGCGAGTTTATATCTTTAACGTTTCAAATTAACTTTCAATCCAATTGTAAAACGATAATTTTTTACAACGTATATTTCACAAAATAACTAGATCATACATATATAAAGTAAAACTGATCAAGATGCACCTTAGATCAACTAATCTATGAGATAATGCATCATGCGAGTTCATCTTTAGCATTTCAATTTTTTAATCTTTATTTTGATTATAAAATAATTGTTTTTATAACAAATATTATATGAATAATTTGATTTAATAACCAAAAAAACTATAATCTATAAAATAACCAATTTTCTCTTTCTTTCTCTCCCTATCTCTTTCTAAGCATTTGATAAGTTTTTAAATTATAAGGATTTTTTTGCAATTCTCAGTATTCACCCATATTTCATATAATAGTTGTTACACATTTTTTTCTTTCTAACATTTGAAAGTAATCGTAGAGACATATATAAATGTATAACTAGCGAACAATACTTAAAACTTATGAGAAATCATCTTTAAGTACATTAAAAAAACAAAAGTATATTTGAACCAAGAAAGCTTTTGCGCTAGAGTGCTTTTCTTCAGGTTCCTCACATTATCAACCATTGCTAAAATTTCGGGATGGTAATTACATTATCATACATCAACGTCAATAAGTTTACTTTGTGGTCCACAAAAGTTTCAAATAGTTTTGGATAACAGTGTATACTCCTTGTTTTGTTGGATTAAAAAAGTTATAAATTTAGGATATTATAGTTTGGCTTAATACAAAGCATATTTTGTTTTTCATTTTTACCAAAAAAAAATATTTTGGTTTTCAAAGAAAACACACTGCTGTAACGTGTAATCTATGCCCATATCGGAAGAAAAGCACTTAGGTTCGTTGTGGTAATCTTGAACTCAGAACTATACATATGTTGGGGTATATAAACACTCATTTGAACCAGTTTTCTTTTACGTCCAATAATATCAACTAGCTCATTGGGGTAGAAACTCATTTTGCTTGGTTTTTTTTTTTTTTTTTGACATAAAACAATAAGTACGTCATCTTTCTGTAATGCCGTAAGCATACAGACCAACTTTCTTACACAATAAATTTCTTAGATTTTTCTGCTTTCTTTTTCTTTCTTTCTTTTCTTTTTGGGTACGGGACAGATTTTGAGGATCCTTTAACCATTCTTTTAAGAATCGTTGAATCTTTTTCTTTTTTCTTTTGTTTTGTCCTCCTTTAGTTATTTTATCTTCACATACATAACTCAGTGTTGACAATTTTAGGAGACGTTTTTAAATCCAATATCTTGGTTTAAAATAACAAATAATAATAAAAGGACGTTAATAAAAGAATTGATTTCAACGGCCGTATGAAATTAAAAATTCAACAATTAAAAGAAGAATAATCCTAAAGCTAAACTCAGTCGCTATTTATAGCTAAGCCACAGCTTCTCTCACCACAGACAAACAAAAAAAGGTTTGGTTCCAAAGGCTTAAAGCTTCCAACTACGATAGTCTCTCAAATAGCAATCACACACAAAAACACATACACACAAAAAAAAATGATAGCTTACATAGAGCCATACTTTTTGGATAACGACGCCGACACCGCCTCCGCCGCGACCGCCACCGGAAAATCTACCGACGGTGTCTCTGAGTCACTCGACATCCAAGGGGAAATCTTATGGGGCGACACTGCGGCGGGTATCGCCGGGAAGGATTTTGGTGGCATGAACTGTGTGAAGCCTCTTGCCGTGGTGAGGCCTGTGGGACCGGAGGATATCGCCGGAGCGGTGAAAGCAGCTCTGAGGTCCGATCAACTAACAGTGGCGGCGCGTGGAAACGGCCATTCTATCAACGGCCAGGCCATGGCTGAAGGAGGGCTTGTCGTCGATATGAGCTCCACGGCGGAGAATCATTTCGAGGTTGGTTTTTTATCCGGCGGTAGTGGTACGGCGTTCGTCGATGTCTCCGGAGGGGCATTATGGGAAGATGTGTTGAAACGGTGCGTTTCAGAGTACGGGTTGGCACCGAGGTCGTGGACGGATTACCTCGGGTTAACGGTGGGCGGGACGTTGTCGAATGCCGGCGTCAGTGGACAAGCGTTCCGTTACGGACCACAGACGGAAAATGTAACGGAGTTAGACGTGGTAACGGGAAATGGAGACGTCGTTACTTGCTCTGAGACGGAGAATTCTGAGCTCTTCTTCTCCGTGTTAGGTGGTATTGGCCAATTCGGTATCATCACCAGAGCTAGGGTTTTGCTACAGCCAGCACCAGATATGGTGATTACTTAAAACCAACAAATTTAAAATTTTAATAATCTCAATTAAGATCTTTTTTTCTAATCCAATCGGTAACCAGAAAATTGGTATACAGAGACGTTCTTAACCTAATGCATATTTTGATTGGACATGTTTTAAACTTTAAAAAATTTCAATGATGGGTGATTTTGTGTTTACGTGAGTAATTAAAGATATATAAAATGATTGTGTTATATATAGGTGAGATGGATAAGAATAGTTTACACCGAGTTCGACGAGTTCACTCGGGACGCCGAGTGGCTGGTGAGCCAGGATGACGAGTCATCGTTTGATTACGTGGAGGGATTCGTTGTCGTCAACGGCGATGACCCGGTCAACGGATGGCCTACAGTTCCGCTCCATCCAGACCACGATTTTGACCCGACCCGACTCCCACAATCTGCCGGGTCGGTTCTTTACTGCCTCGAACTCGCTCTTCACTTCCGTGATTCCGACTCAACCTCAACAGTCGACAAGGTACCTTCGTAAACACAAACTCTAAAGTTGTCAAAATTTCAGCAACCTTCACCAATACTTTTTTTGTTTGATCCGACGGTGGCGGAAGCTTCGGATGTTCTAAGTCTTCTAGAAACATTGTTTGACCGAAATTGACCTTAGATAAGTGTAAAGTTGACCGTCTGATCAAAATCAATGGACCCTTTATTTTCACTAACATTCATTCGACACGTATTTAAAAATACAGGACCGCATCGAGTTTTCTCGACCTCCATGATTACAACCTAAAATTCAAAAACAGTGAAAAACAATAAATTATGCATTTAGTTTATATACTATATTTTTAAAAAGGAGAAAATATAATAATAGGGTGGGAAAAGGAATTATACAGTCTCTTGTCTGACTGCATAATATGAAACTGACCATACATTTACATTGGGTAATGTATCTTCCATTTTGGATTTTCTGACAAAATAAAATAAAATGCGATTCCTTCTCTCAAATGCCCTCCTCTCAACCACGTTATTACGAACACGACATTTGTCTTCTTTCTTTTTTGCTTTTGTTGTCTCTCTCTCATTGAAACCCATATTTTTAGATCACTAGCTTTTTCTAACTCAATTATTTAGGTTAGGCCGCTTTCGAATACCCAACACGTGTGACGTGTCCATTGGGCATGCGGGTATGTACGTAAGGATAAAATTGTAATGATCTAATGAAAACGTTACATTTGATGATGGTTTGATTTTAGACGGGTCCCCGAAAATAGCTAAAATCTGGATTTGCAAAACGAATGTACCAGAAATACCCCTGACTGACTCCATTTTTTTGTTGTTTTAAAGAGAGTGGATAGATTGATCGGACGGCTGAGATTTGATGAGGGATTGAGGTTCGAGGTAGATCTGTCTTACGTTGACTTTTTACTACGGGTAAAACAGTCTGAGAAAATCGCGAAGGCGAGCGGCACGTGGGAAACGCCGCACCCTTGGCTTAACCTCTTCGTGTCGAAGCGTGATATTGAAGATTTCGATCGGACGGTTTTCAAGGAACTTGTCAAGAACGGAGTCGATGGACCCATGCTCGTCTACCCACTCTTGCGAAGCAGGTGAATATTTCCCTAACCAAATGCATTTATTTATACAGTAGAACTTTTATAAATTAATATTTGATAAATTAATAATCACTATAAATTAATAACTTTTGCTGATCCCAGGTCGGGTCAGTGTAAAAATTAGCAAATTTTGATAAAATAATAATTTTTTTTGAAACTCTTATGTAAAAATATAGTCCCAATAATTAGATAAATTAATAATTATACATTTAAAAATATATGAATAATATAATATAGTAAAATATAATTATATTATTATTTTAAGTTTATAAAAATTGTTTGACTTATTTTTCAAATTCACTTATATGATATTTTCTGAATAAATTTTACATTATTAAAAATATTTTTTTGTTTTTTAACAAATATTTTAAATTTCAACTGAAATATTTATCTATAAATTAATAAATTATTAATTTCTCGATAAATTAATAATTTTTAATTTATTAATTAATTAATAACTCTATAAATTAATAAATTTTTGAAGTTTTAATATTATTAATTTATAAAAAATTTACTGTATAAGACTAGATAGATTTTTTTGGCACGTGTTAGTCACGTGTGATGATTAGTCGTGCTAAAAGCCTCCACAAGTCGCACGACGTGTGATCAACAAATTGTCGCCGGCACACCGCACACGTGTCTGTTTTCAACCCATCTGCAAAAAAAAATTTACCGTACGGCTTTTAGAGTACAATACAAATTGGAACTTAGTGACGTCGTCGTTTAGATTCTGTAGGCGAGATACGAGAATTTGTACTAATTTCTTAAACACTAATTAAAATTGAGGAAAGAAAGGTTTTAGTGATATAAATACGGCTCCGTATTAGGTATTACAGTTGGGTGGGTGACGGAGTTGTATTGCAACCGTCGTTAAGGTTAGCGTCATATAGGGAAAGAGTTATTTTTTTAAAAAAAAGAAAGAAATAAAAAATCTGTGGGGACAAAGATACGCTTATGGGACCCACTAAAAAGCTACAGTGAATTTCATTTACTTTTTCTTTTGTAAATAGTCTTTTTGTAGTTTACTGAGCTACTATATGTATGGGTCCAAGGGTAGTTTCGTCTTTGGATGGTTTTACTTTATGTGGAAAATGAGATTTTGCTGGTACAAACTGGTAGACGTAAGAAACGAAATCACACGAGAGGATTATTGCAAAGGGCCAAAGTGTCTGCTTAACTTCATTTTTATCCTCCAGAGATTTAGATTCCTGTATTGACCTATATGCCCTTGTTGGGATTTGGCTTCATGAATTTAGGATTCTCTTTAGTGGTATCATTTACATATGAATGATTTAAATAAAAGTTTGGTCGTATTTTTTTCTTTGTCAGGTGGGATGACCGTACGTCCGTGGTTTTACCGGAAGGAGAGATATTCTACATCGTGGCGTTGCTGCGGTTCGTGCCGCCGTGTGCTAAAGCTTCATCGGTCGAGAAAATGGTAGCTCAAAATCAGGAAATTGTTCAGTGGTGTGTCAAAAAAGGAATAGATTTCAAACTATATCTTCCTCATTACAAGTCTCGGGAGGAATGGATTCGTCATTTTGGAAACCGATGGTCGAGATTCGTTGATAGGAAAGCTATGTTTGATCCCATGGCTATCCTTTCGCCGGGTCAAAAGATTTTCAATAGGGCTCGTTGACCCTCTATTTTTTTTTTCCTCTTTTTTTTTTTATTTTACTTTTGTTATCTTGAGTTTTGTGGATTTCATGTAATTTTTATATATTTCTTTTTTTTTTCTCTATAATTTACTTCAGTTGTTCTTGTCCAATTATGGAGTTCTATTCACAAGATCAATGTTCTTTTTTGGTTAAACTTAAAAATCTAGCTAACGCTTTACACTTGGATATTCACTTAGTTTATTTCTGCATAAATTTGTAAATTTGTATGGCCATGTTCGATCGAGGATATCTATATAAGAAAGGAGAGAATTGATAGACATTGAAAGGAGTTTTTTCTTCACATGCTAATTCCAATAATTAAGTAAATGGATCAACCAAATCAATCATCCACCATCCATATTGGAGCCAGTCCATGGTACCATTGTGATTATGACCCTATTTTGGATCATTCCTACTTAATTTTTATGTCCTATTGACTATTCGATTTGGACCGTTCGAATAATATATGCACTTACAGTTATAAACGTGAATATATGCTTTCCAAATTTAATGAAACAACTGTGACATGTCATAGAGTTTCCAGTCAAAGTTCATATTCATAAATGGAGTGTTGCGACAGTCTGTTGTAACTTGTTCAATTCGGTGATGTGATAGCGAAATCTCGCAAATAATAAAATCGAAAACATAATATTATATACGAAGATGTCGACTGAAGGCAAATTAGATGATGTCTATATCAATGCCATGTTATAATAGCACGCGAGAGGTATTGATGTACATATGAAGGTGACAATGAATAATAACCGATCGATTTAAATGGAAATAGAGGGATATAATTTATTTAAATGATTCAAGTTCGAGATCAAGACATGTATACTTTAGTGATATGTCTTGTGATCAAGACATGTATACCATAGTACAGCATTTAGGCGCTATTTATTTTTGTTTAAACCGTTTAATTCTAAAACATTTTGAATCATGGATGGATAATTATAAACCAATTCGAATAATATAGTTATCCCCGACGTCTTGTAATAAAAATCATTTTCGCACATGAAAAGCTTAACTGGCGAAAAATTAATAACGAAAAAATGGACGCGTTGAGTCCGAGAAAATTTACTTTGACTAATCTGTTAGTCCAAATTATCTTTTTAATTTGCCAATTTTCGGGAGAAAGAAAAGGTCATACGACTAATAGATTTGGGGCATCAGATTCTTCTCTTCTTACCACAAAAGAATCAAGGAAAAAGGTTTTGAGCTTCACCAACCTTTCAGCATATATATATATATATATATATATATATATATATATATTTAACAAAAAGAAAACAGTTCTACGTATATTTTTTTTCTCTTTTTTGTTGTTGTTGATAATCATAGATATTTTCGTGTGTTCCTCTTACGAGATTCTGATTCTTTTGTCTTCTATTTTTTTTTTCTTTTTTTCTATTGGAAAAAGCCCAGATGCCCATAAAGATAACGTCGTAAAGCTAGTTTGAAGATATCAAAAGAAATGATTTCAATTGTAATTTGTTTGTATCTGTATGTACAATCAGCTAAAATGAACTTTGCTTTGTGTAGACGTACGTAAATATTTGAAAATAACTAATCTAACCAAAATTGCTTCAGAATCCAACCAGGCATATAAAAATCGCTAACACTAATTTAGTTTATATATAATTCTGCATAGCAACTTGATGTCTGGATCAAACTTGTAGATTTTAAACAGAATATGTCTTTAAGTTTCTTTTCTTTTTGTTGCTAAAGTCTGTTTCTTTTATTCCATCTTTAACTATTGTACACCAAATGTATCCGTGCTTTTAGTTTCATACTGGAACAAACTGTCGCATTGTACTCGATTCGTTTTTACCTGGACGGTGTTTCGAACTCGTGCCCCACGGGTAATTATTATTATTTAAAACCTCCAATCGAGTGTTCATTTTGGTCTTACATGTTATGGAAAAAGGAATTATTTGTATGTTGAATCTGATCACTCGTTCGAAAATATACAAACATCCATCCTTTAAAAACAGCTAGACGTCTAATCATCGTATCATTTATATAAACACTAAATTTTCTTAATCTAGATAAGTCACATTTAGAAGATGAAATATAAATTTCGTGAAAGATGCCAATATTTAATCCTTTTCTTGTGACGTAGCTAGTGAACACCCTTTCTAAATTCATAGAGAACTACACTCTGTTCAACAAAGAAAGTGCCCTTTTTAATGAAAAAATGTGAAAGCTTGTCGCATATCAATGGATAAATCTTCGCACAAAAAAAAAACTTAAAAGAAATAGATTTTCTAAGTTTTGGGTTCCGAACCAAAATCTACTCGATTTCTCCCCAAACATTATATATAGCAACTTTTCTTTTCTCGTTGCTTTTCTGTTTGTTTTTCTTTGACAAAAAGATATGATTTTTATTTTTTAAGAAATTTGCTCGCAGCTTTAGATAATGCAATTATAAGATGATGATTTCATTGTAAGAGGCAAAGCATTACAATAAAAAATTAAAAACGATAGGCTAATATCCTGCATGCATGACCATTATTTCCTTGTACGTTCTCTGGTAAACGTGCCATGCATGCACGGACGTGTATATTTGCTGGTTATTGGGCACTACAAGCCGAATAATACTTTACTATTTTGTAGCTTCGTTTTGACTAAATCGACGATATTTATTATGTAATAGCTAGTAATACTATAAGTTTATAACTTGGGTGACTGATATAGTGATATATATGTATATAATTTTTTTACTTTCAACATAAAATTGGTTTAGTACGTCTTATGATTAGCCTAACTTTTTTTTTTAAATGCATGCATGCATATATTAACTATATGTTCAATGAATACATAAAGTATTCGATAAATCCATAACTTTATTTTTTAACCAATCATATATATAACGATTATCTATTTATTATTTGAAATGTACGTACGTATGGTACTCATCACAACTTGAACTAATGTATTGGGTTATATAAAATCCTGACACAACGCGGTTATGGGAGACTAAAATCCAAACTTGAATAATTCATATAGTAATAGTTGGTAAAACTTTATAAAGTTGTCATGGCTGATCAAATTAAAATTAATTTTTCATCGCGAATTACATTCTGTGACTTGGGTTTTATGGAATGCCGTCCCGTTTGACACGTGAATAGAGATGCTTTTGCATGTGAATTTTAATTTGCTTTGTAGCGAATAAATTAAATAACCAAAAGAATATATATGATTCCCCGATAAATGAAAAGAAAGAAAGATAAAGTTTTAGTGACCAAGAAATGAAAATCTTAAAGAGAAAAAGTGAAATTGAAATTTTAAAGTAAAAAGAATAGAGCACAATCGAACAACAATGAGAAGACAATTATCATAAAGATACTTTCGTTGTTTGTCCTCGGACTTGCCGTTACCTATATAGATATATAGAAAACCAAGTTTATGTCTATTCATGTGATCATAGCAACTAGATAAGAAAAGTAAAAGATACAATGACAACTCCATAAATTGCCCAAATTTAAAATCATCAACATTTATACTAATCTTAGAAAAGGGGGTCGAGATTGTTATAATGGATCGGACACTTTTTGTTTTGGCCGACTTGCTCGTTGTTGGGCATGTTTCACATTTTCTTTCCAATAATGGTGCTCTATCTCCGACTTGCTCGACATTGTTTTGATCTCCAGTACCTACTATCTCCGATCCGGATATGAATAGTAACTGAATACGAAATATGTGTACACATTATTTTCCTTCAGTTTTCCGCATTGCTCATATAACAGCCATTGATGATTTAAAGTAGGGGTGGGCACAAAAACCATAACCGAAAAAACTAAACCATACCGAACCGAAAAAGTGATATGATTTGGTTATGGTTAAACCTAAAAATCTATTTGGCCATTATTTTTTTATAGTTTTGGTTTAGGTTTGGTTTGGTTAAAAATCGTCAAACCAAAAGGTTTTTTCAATTTTTAAACTAAACTTTAAATAATTTATATTTTTCTAGTTTCTTAATTTAGTTTAGGTACATATTTTATTATTGAGCTTAGTTATCTTTATAATTTACTAACTTAACTCATAAATTTAAAATATCATATTTATAAAAAATATCTACATATAAATAATAAATAAATCTTAATTTTTCAATAAAAAATAACGTGATTAACTCATTTTTCTTCATATTCATGTCTTCTAGTTCTAGTTCCAAGGTTACATGTATTAAATTTTAATCTAGATTTGTTTATTGTTTTATAATTATTTATTATGAAAGATTTGATAATTTATTTGTTTATCTGTTTTAAAATATGTCCTTATTGATGAATTTTTTATGACTTTGATTCTATTTTTTGAACTTATTGTTTTATTTCACTCATATCTATTATTATTTTTTCCATTAGTTTGAATCAAAATTTTCCGTAAAAGTATAATTCCAAAAAAACCGAAACCAAACCATATTAAACCGAACCGTAAAAAACCAAACCATACCGAACTGAAATATATATGGCTTTTATATAGTTTGAATTTTTGTAAAACTGATAAACCGTAAAACCAAAAAAACCAAACCGAAACCAAACCAAAAATCGAAGTGCCCACCCCTAATTTAAAGTAATTAATTTAGCCAAATATTGCAAAGAATATTACCAAAAAATACAAACAAATTGCAAATAATATTTGTTTGAACTTATGATAATGTTTAAGAGTTTAAAAATAATAATTTTCATAAGAAATCAACTACTGTAGAATTTTAGAACATCCAGATAGATTTTTTTATGGCTCATATTAGATTCACTGAAATTATAAATTGAAAAAAAAAAACTTGCAGATATGTCATGAAAAAAATTAAAACTAATAGGTAGATATATATTACTAGATCTTAAATGATAATATTTTTAGACATGTAAAAAAATAAAATTGATAACGTTTAATATTTACTTTAAATAATATAAAAATATAGAGAAATTAGCAGATATAATCACACAAAACTATTATTTTATGTTTATTATACATATAAAACTATGTATACCTAAACAAAATATAGAGAAATTAGCAGATATAACCACACAAAGCGATTATTTTATGTTCATTCTATATATAAAACTATTTATACATTAAAAAATATAGGGAAATTAGGAGATATAAACATAGAAAAGTTACCATTCTGTTTTTTTTTTAAAATTACATATTCTAAATTAGCATTTTATTTCAGCTAGGTGTAATATACAATGACACATTATTATTTATTTTGTTGCGTATAATCTAATTCTTTTGGGTTAAACTATATGATTTTAGGTTTAGG